CTGCACCACCACTCCAGTACACTAGGCCATACAGCCTGGACCGGAATGACAAGCACGTCATAATGACGTCACTCCTTGTCAACACCATGTCTGAACAAAATGTTATCACTTATTTGCGTTAGCTTAGATTGGATTGGGTTGTTGGGTTGGGTTAGCTTAGGTTAGGATAGAATAAAGGTGGGTAGCGACGTGCGGGGTACGTGTAGCTGTTCTCAAACGTATATGGCAAGAATGATTTACGCAGGGATTCGGTTGTGGAAGAGAGGGGTGGCGCATCGCGTGCTTCCTGAAGGTGAGCTACCGAACCGGGAGGCGTCTTCGGTTACTCTCGCCTGTCACTCGTCCCTTCCAAGAAGTGAGATCACATCCTGGCCCTCGTGGCTCCCGTCTGGCGAGAGTCGAACCCGTGAAATGAGAGGTGCACCTTATACCACATTACCAAGACCGCCAACTAGATCATCATTCCATATATGCCACCGTAATGATTCCGGTAGACCGGGTAGACCGGGTAGACTGGGTAGACCAGATAGAGTCTCCCTGTCTGCTCACTCACGTTGACCTACTCGAACCCAGCACGTGTGACCCCCTGTACACAGGTTGTTATTGTTCTCCAGGTCCTTTGTTGCTTCCTCTCACCCCCACCCCCCTCTCTGCTTCTGTACACCCTCCTCCTCCTCCTCCTCCTCCTCCTCCTCCTCCTCCTCCTCCTCCTCCTCCTCCTCCTCCTCCTCCTCCTCCTCCTCCTCCATCCTCTGCTTCTTTATCCCCCATCCATCCTCTGCTTTTAACCCCTCTCCCCCTCTACCCTCTGCTTCTTAACAGTGAATACCTGTACAGTGAATGGAGCTCGTGTTTACATACCAGATGATTTGAATGAATATAAATACACCCGTGGAATCCTGTATTAATCTGTGGTTGGGTGAAGAAGGTGCCATAAATAGATCACCAAGTGCCTTGCTTAACAACCTGAGCCTACCTCAGGCTGTGAGACGAAAGACGAAAAACACCAACAACAGAGGTTACAGACTCCTCAGACGAGGAACTCTTAGTAGAAGCTCCATCGCCGCACCACAAATACCACACCTACTCGGTACAAGACCTTTTCATGGAGGTCACCTCACCGAAACACCAACGACAGCTCGGCTCAGCCAAAGTCTCAGTCAAAGAAAAAACGGAAGACCTGGAGGTCTACACTAACCCACCAGCTCCATAACTGGTACAGCCAGCCCTCCGAGGCTGAAATCTACCATGAAGTTCCTCATCCATCCCCCAGATCTCCAGTATCAACTATTGGTACTGGTAATGGCTCGAAAGAGCCTCCACTTACGGGCTATTCATGCCCGTGCCACCTTTAAGGTGGCTTAATCTTCATCAATCATCATCATCTGCATTCCTGCTCTTGGGTTGGATTGGCGCGTCCACGGACCCCATCCCCCAGATCTCCAGTATCAGGTATTGATACAGATAATGGCTCCAAAGAGCCTCCACTATACGGGCTCACCATAGCCCGTGCTACTTGGAACTTTTGTTCCCAGTAGCTGAATCTAAAACAGCAGCAACAACAACTTGCTTAAATAAGTTGATGTGAATCAACTCTATGGTTTGGGGTATATAAGCTTTCTGGAATATGTTGATATAAATTATATGAATGCTAAAAGGGGACCCGGCGGTGCCCGGGTTAGCCCCCTCTGGCCTCCAACCTTGAACAGACAGACATTTTTCCACACACACACAGAGGGCCTGTGGCTGAGTGGACAGCGCTTGGGACTCGTAATCCTAGGGTCCGATTTCGATCCTCGACAGAGGCAGAAATAAATAAGCAGAAGAAGAGTTTCTTTCACCCTGATGCCCCTGTTACTTAGCAGTAAATAGGTACCTGGGAGTTAGACAGCTGTTACGAGCTGCTTCTTGTGTGTGTGTGTGTGTGTGTGTGTGTGTGTGTGTCTGTCTGTAAGGGAAAAATTATTCATTAACAGTTGAGAGGCGGGCCCAAAGAGCATAGCTCAACCCCCGCAAGCACAACTAGGTGAATACACACACACACACACACACACACACACACACACACACACACACACACACACACACACACACACACACACACACACACACACACACACACACACATATATATATATATATATATATATATATATATATATATATATATATATATATATATATATATATATATATATATATATATATAAGAGGTACCCGGCTGCACTCGGTCTCCTATTCCCTCTTTTTATCCCATCTTCCCCTTTCCCTGTCGTCCCCCTCTCTATGGTCCGCTTCTTCTTCCCTCCCCTCTCATCCTCTTCCCCTATATGCCTCCGACCAGCCTATGTACGTCTGGTACCCCAGACCAGTCTCCCTACAAAGTTTAGTGAGACTAGCCTCAAGTGTCTGATCTCCAGCCTTGGACAAACAAACAAAATATTATCACTCCATCTGTAATTTTGTTCTCGTCTAAAGCTTTTGGGCCCTATTTCACACTAGTCTACATTTCATAATTATTTTAATGCGTTCCAGTTCAATAAGTTTCTATGATAAATATTGCAGCAGGTGTGTTGTAGTGGCTGGCGAACCTCTTGCACCTGCGAGCGACGTCTTAAGGCGTTTGTCCTGAGCCGTAGACGATGTGTGTGCTTACCTAACAGTACTTAACCTAGTAGTAACGGCAGGGCGTACTGCCCGCCTCCTACATGCGATTGGGTGGTTATAGAACGGAGCTGCCTCGTATGGGCCAATAGGCCTTCTGCAGTTACCTTGTTCTTATGTTCTTATGTTCTTACATGTTTGTACCATTGTTTTAGCGCTGTACTGTTTGACTGATCCAACGCTGTCAGCAAAATATTAACAAGGTGTTACTGCATTAGTCTGAAGTTATTATATTTATTTATTTATTTATTTTATTTATTTATTTATATATATATATACAAGAAGGTACATTGGGATTGTGAGGATACATAGCATAGTAATTACATTCTTGTAAAGCCACTAGTACGCGCAGCGTTTCGGGCAGAAATAATTTGGCAGGAAACATTTTGCGTACTAGGCTAGGAAATATGTCTCAACTTGTGAGCTCAGACCCCAAGACCCAAACTCTTTAACAGTGTGCTCCCAACCCTCCCTGGTATGCTGGCCACACAGTATGCAAACCACTACAGTCTTAACTATCAGAACACTGCAGAACAGTATCAAGCCCCCTACAGTTATCACACTGTGACTTTTATTTAGGTAATGAAAGGAAATGAAATTGTCAGGATATGGGATATGAGGACAAGGAGCTGGGATATGAGGACAAGGAACAGGGATATGAGGACAAGGAGCTGGGATATGAGGACAAGGAACTGGGATATGAGGACAAGGAACTGGGATATGAGGACAAGGAGCTGGGATATGAGGACAAGGAGCTGGGATATGAGGACAAGGAACTGGGATATGAGGACAAGGAACTGGGATATGAGGACAAGGAACTGGGATATGAGGACAAGGAACTGGGATATGAGGACAAGGAACTGGGATATGAGGACAAGGAACTGGGATATGAGGACAAGGAACTGGGATATGAGGACAAGGAATTGGGATATGAGGACAAGGAACTGGGATATGAGGACAAGGAACTGGGATATGAGGACAAGGAACTGGGATATGAGGACAAGGAGCTGGGATATGAGGACAAGGAGCGGGGATATGAGGACAAGGAACTGGGATATGAGGACAAGGAGCTGGGATATAAGGACAAGGAGCTGGGATATGAGAACAAGGAGCTGGAATCTTTTTATATTTAGAGGCGTCAGCACTTCACTTCCTTCCAACCGGCGACCCCACGAACGTGAGGCAGAAGCTCTATCAACTTTGCTATGAGTAGTCTTAATAAGGAAAGATTCCTGAAGCAATTTACCGCTGCCCAGCTGAAATTTCTCAGTAGTCAGGGAATGTTGAAAATTTCAACTGGGCGGCGGTTAGTTGCTTCTGAAATCTTTGATTATTAAGACTACTCATAGCAAAATCGATTGAGCCTCTGCCTCACGCTCGTGGGGTCGCCGGTTCAAGTCTCCAAGTGCCTTGGTGAATGGAATATATATATATAATATGACGTTAATCTGGAAACTAGAGCAGGGTTATGCTGGCTACATACTGCATCATAGCTATTTAGATTTTTAGTCAAAGTCAACCAACACCATACGGACTCATCACTCCAGAATTCCTCTCTTTTTAAATCATTATAAATGAGACTAATTATATATATTTTACATTAATTATAAAATTAAATTATATTATTTTTCCACGTCGACAAAATGTAACGTACAGAGCCTCTTGCTCCACGAAGCCCACCTCCTTCACCTCAGTGGTGTAACATACTCCTCCCGAGACTCCTGGGTCGTCCTTGGGACTCTCCCACTTGTTAGGGAGATGACACTACAACGTTGACATTTACTATGTTCTTATTATTGATATGGTAGTTATATCAGATCTCTCTGTCTTTCAGGGGATTTGGTATTATGTTAATTTCTTCCTCCTGCTGGCAAAATATTTATTCTTCAGTGTACCATTTCTGCATATACTGTACCACATACAGCTCTCCCACGCTTCAGCCTCAACGTGTCCATAGATATATCTACTTCTATAATCTACTTCTACCTCACCTCCATCCATTTCAAAGTATTCTCACCCCTTACTTCTATTTTCATCTTCAACTGTTTTCATTCATTTCTTTAACATTGCCAGTGATGTTTCCACCAGTCATCTTGCTGCACTTCCTTATGCCTTTCCAAAAAGAGGTTCGCGTTTAGAGAATTTTTTTTTTATTATTATTATTTTCTACCGCAGACGTGGCCACACATTTACAATGCTTACCAGCATATATACATTTTCTTCTGTCCTCCATGGACAGGGTGAGAGAAGTGTTAAACATATAGTTGTTTAGAGAAGTGGCATGAGTACGCGTGAAGAGCCCGCCAGGTACTGACCCTACACCTTCCTTCCCCCAGAGTGGGCGGCAGCAGCGTACTCGTCTTGCCCACAGCCCTTCGTCAAGGTGGATGGCGAGTGCTTCTACCTTGCTGCTCATGATTTGCTAGGTTGGGAGGACGCCCGCAGGGACTGCGGCAAGCTAGGAGGCGACCTAGCCTCCCCCCACAGCCTGCCCGCCCTCAGAGTGTACCTCGCATCTATCCCAGGTGGGTGACCCAGAGCTCAACCTGCCCTCACACGGTCTCTACTGCCTCTAAGGTGGGTAAACCAGTCCAAAAAAGATGGCTTCAAAACCCCCTCAGGTTATTCAAGATGGGTAGTCACAGTAGTCACATCTTAAATAACGTGGAGAGTAAGTAGTCCCTCCAAGCTTGGTGTAGCTGTTGTGTACCTTGTTGTCACCGCCTCACTACCGTCTTAGGTGAGTTTAGCTGGTCCAGCAACCTCCCGTCACTAAAGACAGGTCCAGCAACCACCCGTCACTAAAGACAGGTCCAGCAACCTCCCGTCACTAAAGACTGGTCCAGCAACCTCCCGTCACTAAAGACTGGTCCAGCAACCTCCCGTCACTAAAGACTGGTCCAGCAACCTCCCGTCACTAAAGACTGGTCCAGCAACCCCCCGTCACTAAAGACAGGTCCAGCAACCTCCCGTCACTAAAGACTGGTCCAGCAACCTCCCGTCACTAAAGACTGGTCCAGCAACCTCCCGTCACTAAAGACAGGTCCCAGCAACCTCCCGTCACTAAAGACTGGTCCAGCAACCTCCCGTCACTAAAGACTGGTCCAGCAACCTCCCGTCACTAAAGACTGGTCCAGCAACCTCCCGTCACTAAAGACAGGTCCCAGCAACCTCCCGTCACTAAAGACTGGTCCAGCAACCTCCCGTCACTAAAGACTGGTCCAGCAACCTCCCGTCACTAAAGACAGGTCCAGCAACCTCCCGTCACTAAAGACAGGTCCAGCAACCTCCCGTTACTAAAGACAGGTCCAGCAACCTCCCGTCACTAAAGACTGGTCCAGCAACCTTCCGTCACTAAAGACTGGTCCAGCAACCTCCCGTCACTATAGACAGGTTCAGCAACCTCCCGTCACTAAAGACAGGTCCCAGCAACCTCCCGTCACTAAAGACTGGTCCAGCAACCTCCCGTCACTAAAGACAGGTCCCAGCAACCTCCCGTCACTAAAGACTGGTCCAGCAACCTCCCGTCACTAAAGACTGGTCCAGCAACCTCCCGTCACTAAAGACTGGTCCAGCAACCCCCCGTCGTAAACAGTACTTCAGCAAGGAATAAGATAGAGTACGAAACTATGGACACCCTAAGGTATTTATTAAACAAAAATGATAAGTATTAGGACTGCACTAGTATTTATTCTTCATACGCAGTGTACGACGACATTGTTCAGTTGAGACTTAATAATATCAAGAGTTAGCCTTAGTTCTGTCGTTGACATTAAAGATTAGTCTTCGTACTGGGTTTCTTTAATCCCTTGCAGCTGAAGCATTAACTGATATAAAAATAAACACGTGTAAAAACAAAAGCTTTTAGTGTATATACAGAGCCATACTCTGTGTATATACAGAGCCATACTGTGTATATACAGAGCCATACTCTGTATATACAGAGCCATACTCTATGTGTATATACAGTGTATACATTGTACCTACACAGTGTGGAGTTATGACTTGTTCTCCTGGTCCCCAGAACCTCCTGAGTACCTGTGGGTGGGCGCCTCCCAGCGCGACGATGGTTCCTGGGTCTGGTCTTCAGGTCCTCAGGTCAGTACACCCACGCTGGCTTGGCTTACCCCAGCCACTTGCACTGGTCCGGAGAGTGTCGTTCCGTCCGCCTCGGTCCAAGTGGTTGGGCACCGTTCCTTCCCTCTCTCTTATTCCAGTTCTTTGTCCTCATATCCCCTCCATGTGCTGTGTAGTATACTTGTGCTCATCTTGCACTTTCTCCTGATAATTTGTTGTTTGTTATTGTCACAACCCACGATGGCTTCTCTTGTCACAACCCACGATGGCTTCTCTTGTCACAACCCACGATGGCTTCTCTTGTCACAACCCACGATGGCTTCTCTTGTCACAACCCACGATGGCTTCTCTTGTCACAACCCACGATGGCTTCTCTTGTCACAACCCACGATGGCTTCTCTTGTCACAACCCACGATGGCTTCTCTTGTCACATAGTATTTCCTGCACATCATGCCATGCAGCACTTGAGCAATAAAAACACGTCTCCCCTGACCCTACCCAGAATTCTAGCTTGACTTATCTAAACCACACTAACTTAACCCTAAGCTAACCCTGTAATAAAGCGGAGACTAATTGACGTCACAGACGGGAGACCAATCACGGCCCGTCTTGCCTGCATGCATCTGGCTTGGGGCTTTGTTATTGGTCGTGGCGCCCGCGGAGGCCACACCCCACCAACCCCACGTCTTGCGTACATCTACAAACGCTGTTTCCTTTTTGCTCTAATTTGTTTCATGATTCATTTATAGAGAACTACACAGCAATGTACGAAAGGGACTACGCTGGCTGTGCTACGTTCTGGTTCATCTGTTCGAACATATGAAGCATTTGCTTCATAAAATGTCGCAAGTCTTGGCGCCAATGTGCTCGCTAACATATGCTCTTCCATATACTTATTAATTCATATTCTACTATGTGCTCTGATTATTATTATTATTATTATTATTATTATTATTATTTATTTTAATGCCATTAAAGGTCAGCGGGGCTTGGCAAAACAGCAAATACTGTGAATTGAGGCTTCCCGCCAGAACTTATCTCAGCTGATCCTTGAATCCCAGATTAGTGGGGAGTGGGAAGGGGGGGGGGAGGGTGACCCTGGAAATGTTAAATGTTAAATATAAATTAATAGACAACTGCTGATATAATCAGAGTCGGCATTACAATAACATCAGGATTTGCATATCTGTTGAAGGATTAGTTTTCTTATATGAATTTACATTTAGCCTTGAACCTTCCATTAACTAAACTTTCATTGTCATGAAAATCATGATTAATGTCATGAATTGTTAATCCAGACTTCATATCGAGGAGCTTATGGCGCAGTTACATGCTTGGTACCCCGGTGGCCCCCAGTGGCCCCCTGGTGGCCCCCAGTGGCCCCCTGGTGGCCCCCTGGTGGCTCCTGGTGGCCCCCGGTGGGCATGGCGGCCTCCGAAGGGCCTATTTAGCAGGCCTCTGGTGGTGCGTGGCGGGGTATTGAACAACATAAAGATCATACGTATTCATCGCCTGTTAATTCTTTATTTTTAGTATACATGTGTATTAGTTGCAGTGAGCTACAAGTAAACCCCAAGACTCTTTAAGTGTTGTCCCAGCAACAGACGTCAGAGGTCAGAGTTTATCTCACGTCAGAGTAATTATCTCATTATGAAATAGCTACTGCGCGCTGGTCTCAGTCACTCCTCGTCTCCTCTTAATAATACCTTCACAAATTGGTACATTTGTTCTAGCTCCGTAATAAAGTAATTGGTGCCGCTAAGTTCACTATTCTAATCTTTGGATTTAGTTGACACTGTACGTTCGACACCCCATCAAGAAGAATCAAACCTATCTTTAAGGCATCACTAATTAAGCCATGCTTGGTGTCATCCAGGTGATCAGAGTATGCAGCCCTTGACACCACAGGAAGCTGGCGCTCCATAACGGAAGTGTAATAGATAATGCACTCCAGCCTATGATGAGATAAACAAATCCACAAGGGCCGTGACGAGGATTCCAACCTGTGTCCGAAAGCATTCCAGATGCTGCCTTAATCGACTGAGCTACGACATGGTTAATTTGTTCATATGATGCATCACGGTATTGTGATTTCTGTGTGTTATGCTGAGATAGTCCTATAGCTGTTGAGACGTCAATGGTTCCCCACACACGGGACAGGACTCATGTTAAGGCGTATCGAGATCAACCTAGGCTAGCGACGGACCTTCACTAGGATGTAGCCTACAACAGTGGCCTGACCCCCCCAGGCACCTGTTTACTGCTGTGTGAATAGAGGCTTCTCTAAAAAGCAAAAAGAGGCATGTGAGAAGAAATATGCTCAAACGTCTCCGTCTTGCGTAAGAATTAAACCTGTGATTATTCGGTTGTGAGTCGATTGCAATGATTGAGCTAAGACACCTTTTGTCCCATTGAAAATATTTATAAATATATTCACGAAAAACATCTTATCCTATTTTAACCTTAATGTAACTTATGTTGGGACTAATATGAGCATTCGTAGGCTTAAAATAGTAATATGCATGCTACATTAGGCCTAGGGCACATTACTTTGTTGTTGATTTAGGGCCTACGACAGCCCAAGTGTTCCATATATCCCGTTTTCCCGTGCAGGGTAAAATACAAGGCCTTGCGGTAATATACACGTCGCCTGTTGGGTTGGCGGGAAGCTGCTGTAACTTGGGGCAGCTAAACACATTGTTAGGCAGATGTTTTGCGTCCCACAGTTGGGCGAGAGTCGGAGTCCCACCCTACACAGAAAACTAACTGGGAGACTACCTGTCTGCACCCAGTGACCCTAGACGATAGAGCGTCAGGGTCTTGTGAACTCGGGGTAGCCAAACAAAGTCGCAGCCAAACGATAGAATAAGGAACCTCTTCGAATTATAATCTAATCCTAGCGAGCAAAAACCCAGCAACACCTTCCAGTGACCTCCGGGGAAGCATGAGCCAGACGCCCACTACGCCCCCGAGGGCATGCCTGGAGCCCATTAAAACCCGCCAGTTCCCGACATCTCTTGGCCAAGCCGGCGCCGGACACCCACCGCCCAAAGAGTCAACCGGAAAACGGAACATAATTTACCAGGTTCATTGTGACCCTAGTCGATAAGTGCACCAGGAGTTGTACCAATAGTGGGTTGAACGAGCGTCCACAGGATACTTTGCTAAGTTGTCTTCGTTTTCCATTTATTCTGACCTATGCCCGTTTTCTTTAATTCTTCAATAGAACTGATGGTAGACTGTTGTGTTCCTGTCCAAGATAATATTTTGCCTATGCAATCTTTCAGTCGCAATATGGAAAACGTTATTGGAAGATGAGATGACATGACGCACTAGTGACATGTCCTTCTGCTGTACATTTTGATGATTCACAGTGGATGTTGCTCACTGGTGTATGGCAGACAATACAGTATGCTGCGTATTACCCCCACAGTTGTTTGATAGATGAGATGTACAGTACGCGCATGACCCACTAGTTGTATGATAAAGCACTACGCATGTGACCCACTGTTGTATGATGGCTGATACTAGCCATCTGGATGGCCAGTGAACACCAGGTCCAGACGTGCATGCAAGCTGAGGCAAAACAGACATCGACCTTGTCAGCGCGTGAACAAATTCTGACACAATTCCACGCTAATTAGCTACCGTGTCCAACTACGGACAGCAGGTCCACTACGGGCTCACCATAGCCCGTGCTACTTGCCACTTTTGTTCCCAGTAGCTGAATCTAAAACAACAGTTCTGATTCACTTATATATTTTATATTAACTATACATATAAGGGTAAATAAACAAAGGAGGCTGGTGATAGTCGCACCGCACCAGCCGGGCGAGGAGAGTGCCAGAGATAGGGGGCGAGGCAGCTATCTACCGCTCCATCTAACATGAATATGACCTTTTTGTCTGGCGTGGGGGAGAGTGGGGCGGACTGCTGTCTGCGCTAAATCATAATATCTTCCTCTGAGGGTCACCCCTAGCCAAGCCCCTTTTGTCTCCCCTACAAAGGTCATTATGTACGCACACAGGCGCTTATGTGGGTGTACGTTAGGTCTTAATATACGCACACACACACACACACACCGACGCGTGTGTGCACACGTCACATTAACACATACATCCATGTGTGCACGCATACAAACACCTCTTATATAAAACACTTACATGGTTAGTGACGTCAGAGTGCCTACAAATTGTCTTCATTATGCTAATTACGGATCCAGACGGGAGTGGCTAGTTAGTACCAACCAATGTCAACTCCGCTAATAACATTAGCACTGTTGGCACTCCTGACAACACTGCCTCCACAGTTGACAACACTACTGATAACACTGCAGCCACCGTTGGCAACACTACCACCACCGTTGACAACACTTCTACCAACTACCACCGTTGGTAACACTACTGACAACACTTCCACACCTGACACCATCTAGCACCTTCACCACTGACAACACTTGCAACACTGTTGTCACTGCGTTTGTCCATAATCTGGCCAAGTAACAAATATTTAACAAATAATAAACAAATAAATGTTCAAAGTGCCATAATATAAATATTCTAAGATTATACACAGTAAAAATATTTAAAGATGACTATAGTGTTAATTATATTTAAGTGTTGATGTTGGTAGATGCAATGAAGTTATTGATATGGTATGAGTTGTGAAGGAAGTGTGTGCTGTTGCAGGCTGGAGTGCCGGTGGACATGAGCAAGGACACGTGGAACGAGGAAGTGCCAAGCGGCTCAGGCAAATGCATGGGACTCTTCGCTCAGAGTTCCTTCCGTGCCTACAACTACGACTGCCAGGAGAAGGACTTGTTCGTCTGCCAGTACTACTTCTAGCCGCCAGGGTCCTCCTCCTCCTCCTGGTGTGTCGCCATCCCTTCACACACACACACACACATTACACCTGAGTACACATAATAGCATAGAAATGTGGTTAGAGTAGCGGGGTGTTCTCAACGTGGGTAGTCGAAGTTCCAGACGGCGACTAACTGCCATGGCCGCTTCCCGTACTTCCAGACTCGCTCTCTGCATCTCCAAAATAGAGAAGGTAAACCAGTGACTGTAATATGTCCTTCGCTGTAGAAGAACCTTAGTGAATGCAGAGCGTGAAGCCGAGGTGAGTGTGGAAGATATAAGAGCTAAGCTCCCGATATCGTTGTTCACGGGAGACATTTCCCGTCATCTTCATCAATCAATCGATATCGTTGTTGAGAGCCAGTAGTCTTCGCCTGCCCACGAGTACCCATACTCCACCTAGTGAATGTGGCTCTTATTATTTGGACCATAATATTTATTGTTCACTTTAAGTCCTGTACAGTTATGGTGTGTTATCTCTTGTCGTGCAAGTGACGTCCATCAATTCCTGGTGTGGGAGGCATCGGCAGGATGGCTGCTCCTGACATCATTGATAATCCCTGAGGTCATTAATGAGTGTATACTGTTGATGGTAGTGGAGCGGCTCGGTTATGTGTGAGGTTTCTATTAGACGTGATCCTCCAGACTAGTAAACATTGGACTTGATCCTCCAGGCTAGTAAACATTGGACGTACGTGATCCTCCAGGCTAGTAAACATTGGACCTGATCCACCAGGCTAGTAAACATTGGACCTGATCCTCCAAGCTAGTAATCACGACGGGATCCTTCAGACTAGTAAACATTGGACGTGATCTTCCAAGCTAGTAAACATTGGACGTGATCCTCCAGACTAGTAAACATTGGACGTGATCCTCCAAGCTAGTAATCACGACGGGATCCTTCAGACTAGTAAACATTGGACGTGATCCTCCAGACTAGTAAACATTGGACGTGATCCTCCAAGCTAGTAAACATTGGACGTGATCCTCCAGACTAGTAAACACTGGTCATGATCCTCAAAGCTAGCAAACGTACCCAGCTTAAAACATTATCATTATGTACGAATCTTCCACATAAATATATATCACATGAAAGTAAATGTGTGTATATCCGTTTTCTTCCAGGTGAAAATATTGGGGCATCATTTAATTAAACAAATCAAAAAGTATCCTTGATTCCCGTGTGTACCTGTTTCTGTATCCTAACTCCAGCATTCTGTATTTTGTACTGGCTACATGTCTCTCCTCTCGAATTGTGCTCTTGTTTAAATTGGTGTTCAATTGTGCGAAGTGTACTCAATATTTTAATGACTCACAATGTACCTTATACCTCACCAGCGGGTTGTACCAGGCTGCTCCTCCTCCTGCTGCTTCCTTATACACCCACCTTGCTGAAGCTTACACCCCCTTCCTGAAGCTTACACCCACCTTCCAGAAGCTTACAACCCCCTTCCTGAAGCTTACACCCCCCTTCCTGAAGCTTACACCCACCTTCCTGAAGCTTACACCCACCTTCCTGAAGCTTACACCCACCTTCCTGAAGCTTACACCCCACCTTCCTGAAGCTTACACCCACCTTCCTGAAACTTACACCCACCTTCCTGAAGCTTACACCCCACCTTCCTGAAGCTTACACCCACCTTCCTGAAGCTTACACCCCCCGCCGTCCGCCAAGTGTGGCCATGTCTGTGGCCAAGTCATCGGCAGAAGGCCCCTGCTAAGTTTCGTTTCAATGACTTGGTTGTTCATCATTGGACAGTAGAGCTGCTGGTTTATACTGGCGTAATGGTGTTGCGTCACTGAGGCTGTGATGCTCACACGCTTCGCCAACACTGAAGGACTCGTGTCGTAGCTGGCAGACTGTGTTCATCTGTCATGCCTCACTTGTTCACCTGCCATGCCCCACCTGTTCATCTGCCATGTCCCACCTGTTCATCTGCCATGCCGCCATGCCCCACCTGTTCACCTGCCATGCCCCGCGTGTTCATCTGCCATGTCCCACCTGTTCACCTGCCCCATCCTGACCTTGTACACCTGGTAACACCTCCACTTGTCTCCAGTTTACACTCCATAACTCCCTTGAGGTGGTTGGTGTATACGAAGACGTGCTTGAGGTAGCCCGCTGGTATCCACGTCACAAGTAAGGAGCTCTATGTGTATGTAGCCTGTATTCTCAAGTCTCTCAAATGACCTCGATCTTGAACGAAACTTAAAAGTATTGGGTTTCTATTCAAATTCGAACGTTTGTGAAACTTTTTTGGACTTAGATTAATAAGGTTTCTATTTCATCTTTTTGTATGTGGTGTGTTAGAGGTATTTTTTTAACAAGTGATTAATTAATATACTCGTTCTACACAACTCCGTCGCGGAGAGAGAGAGAGAGATCAACAGTTCCTGGATTTGGATCAACTGAAAAATATATACAAATATATATAATTTATATGTGATAGGTCTGTATTAACTTTTAAAATAAATGTATCGTCAGTGGCTTTTTTCGTGAAAATAACTATATTTAATTTTGTAGGTAATGACAAAAAATTGTAGATGTTAATAATAATATATTTTATCAAATTTGGAAACATTTTTGTTTGTTTCTCTGATCCTAAGGTTACTATTGAGAGGAGAGAGAGAGCTCCGGGGACATTACCTATGTGTCCACGGTGTTGAGGACACATGGACACACTGCTGGTCACGGTAATACAAGTCTCATATATAAACATGAACAATTGTCAACGAATATTTCTGAGAGTAAACAAGAGGAACCTTTGCTTGCTAAACAAGAGTTCTGTGTGAACTCTTGGTGTGAGTGGTGTGGTCCGCCGCCCCCCCCCCTCACAACCTCATAGGTCTATAGGCCTACCTTCTTGCAGTGTCTCTTCATCACTCATAATGCTACACAAGTCACAAGTTTTGTCATGACAATATTTATGAAACTAATTAAGCCCTGTAGATGTATTATTTTTACAAAACTAAGATAAAATGCTCTTTATTCTCCCCCTCTTTAAATCCCATCTTAATTTGACTTCCTTGACTCGTAAGAATCCAGTTGTATCACTTTAAAACATCATCACGTGAACACTGAAACAGGATAGTGCCAGGATCTGCCGCTCCAAAGATTGATAAAGATTAAGCCACCCAAGAGGTGGCACGGGCATGAATAGCCCGTAAGTGCCGCTCCAAACCTACGGATTGCTAAATATATTACTTTCATCTATTTTGGTTGATGACACGGAAGTGACGCGAGGCGCGTGTGGCGCGGGTCGCAACTCCGCGCCTCACTTCCGCTCCACGCGCCATAGTCTGGTCGTCACAAAGGAAAATAACACAGCAAATCCTGTTGAGCGACGGCTAATTGTTCCAGCTTTACTCATAATAATACAAAAGTGAGAGGGAAATGCGGTGAGGTATATGGCTCAGGGCCGCGCTGGAGCAGGTCACAGAGGGAAGAGGAGGGCGACAGTAGGGAGCAGCCTCCGCACACTGCGACATGTACCCGCTCCTCCACACACGGTAAGTACAGTACTCAACACTGTTGACAGCGGTGAGTACCTCGCCAGTACTCACCACTGTCAACATTCTTATAAAAAGAAAGAAATAACATTTCATGACTTCATAGGTTCATGTCAGTTAAGTAACCATTTAGTAAACAATATATTTCTTATCAATTTACCCAAAATATACTTTGCCATGAATCAATTTTATTGGATAATATAAAGGACGGTATTATGTAGTACCCAGGGGGAAAGGGGGCTGGATTGTGTGTCTCCCAGGGCACCACTACCCAGTGGGGGCTGGACTCCACGTCTCAGGACTACCAGGCATCACACTACACTTGAGATTACAAATACTTACAGAACGCTTATGAGAAGATATCTTGTGGGCGCCGGAACTACTCGGTGTAGTGAAGAAACTATGAAGACACTGTTGATTTATTTGTGTTTACAAACTATGGAACTAGTTCGTCAGTGCTGTAACTTGCTTAGCTAAACGAATTTTGGGGTTCAGTACCTGAACGCAATTTTTGACCTGTATATTTTCTGTTGCATCTCAGGATGGGTATGGGGGTCCACTAATGTTTGGGGTCTACTATCGCTCACAGGATGGGTATGGGGTCCACTAATGTTTGGGGTCCACTACCGCTCACAGGATGGGTATGGGGTCCACTGCCGCTCACGGGATGGGTCTGAGGTGCACTATTGCTCACAGAAAGGGGGTATTGGGCTGTATAATAATTGAGTTAAACTAAACAGGTTTCACACAGCCGTAACCCGGGTAAAGATCTTTACAATTATTACCAAAACTACCATTATGTCCTTTTCCTGGAGGCCCTCTACCATGATATACGTTTGTTGAATTACATTCCACCTTGTTCAGTTGCAGACTTTACAAGTATTTAGAGGATATTTACCCAGAACTCTGTCTTCCTTGCAGGCTGCTCTTGGGCTTTCTGGGCTTGGTATCATGCGCCAGGGTGCCCGACGATGCTTTAAAACCTTTTATGCCCAGGACTTCTGTTGATATTAATGACCCACCATCCACGGACACCGCACTTCCTGTCGCTAGTGACCCACCATCCACGGATACCAACCTCCCAGCCGCTAGTGACCCACCATCCACGGATACCAACCTTCCAGCCGCTAGTGACCCACCATCCACGGTTACCAACCTTCCAGCCGCTAGTGACCCACCATCCACGGATACCAACCTTCCAGCCGCTAGTGACCCACCATCCACGGATACGAACCTTCCAGCCGCTAGTGACCCACCATCCACGGTTACCAACCTTCCAGCCGCTAGTGACCCACCGTCCACGGATACCAACCTTCCTTACCATACAACTACAGCAACACCTGACGGAGATGAGAACTCAGCCAAGACGCCCGGGTCCCGTTTGTCAAAAGCGTCCCAACAACTGGAAGACCCAAGTAAACGCCTTAAGAAACTGCCTAGTGTAGGTGGAAGCGGTGGTAACCTGACGGAGAAAACACCGCCAAATGGTGTCTCTGGTAGAGGCGATGATGAGGGCAGTGTCAAAGGGGAAGATGGTGGTGGTGAAAGTGACTGGAAGTCTACATATGACAATGACGACGAAGGTGAAACGGACGATGACGCTGAATATATTGATTTAGACGATGCTGAACTCGACCATGAAGAGGAATACGAGTATGAAGATGACGAGGGTGATGACACTGATGCTGATGACACAGGTGATGAGGGTGACAATGCCCTGTACAGTGGTGATGGTGATGATGATGATGATGACCAGGAAGAGAGTGATGATGACCAGGAAGAGAGTGACGATGACGAGGAGCATGATGAGTCTGAAGATAATAATGATGAAAATGAGTACGACGGATACATCCAAAGTTACTGGGACGGAGACGATGATGACGACGACAACCAAGACCACGACGACGAGGAAAATGACAACCGCGACTTCCCGATGGACAGTGATGAAGAGATGGTATTCATGTACCTTCTTGGCAACGAAACCAGTGCCTTGACCCCCTTCAGTTCGAGCAAAGACCATGACTCTCTGCCGGTGCTCGCTAGAGACGCCCGAAACACATCCCCTGAAACACTCGCGGTCACAGACGATGAAATGGGCGGTGCAGGGACGCTCGCGGTGACAGAGGCGGCGAAGAACGCTGAAGAGCACCTTGGTTCTCAGAAAGTGTCTGGCGACGGGAGGCAGACGCCGTACTTACTTGGCGACGGGTATGTGCCCAGAAGCGAGACAGTGATTGTGTTAACTGAGGAACAGCTCCAACATCTCAGTGATCCTGGAACTGTGGAAAGGGCAAGTGAAGAAACAGAAGAGTCAACGGGTAAACATGAGTACGACGAAGAAACAAGCATCGAAGAAAACACTATGTCAACTATCGACTATACTTTGATCTCTGGTGATAACTCGTGGCAGGGAGCAACAAACAGTTCAGCTCCTCCCTCCAGCGACGCCACACACCATTACGAGTCAGAGGTAATCACGGAGGAGGAACTTGAGGAATTACTGGAAACCTACCACGACTTCATCCAGACTGAGGAAGAGTGGGAAGGTAAAGGGGAAGATAAGACTGCAGAGGAAAGTTATTCTGGCACCGAAGGAATCAGCCACGCAATAACACTTACGGAAGATACAGAATCCACACAAGGTGATACTCAACACCTCACAAGCCCGACCTCGCTCTCACCTTCTGCAGGAAACAAAGTGAATGGTCTGAAAACCACGTCCCTAACAAGTGGGGATCCCGGCTTCAGCTTGAGGAACCAAACATCTACTGATTTAGACATCCAAGCAAACTCGCCGAGCACAGTAATCTCAAGCTTGTCTCAAACATACAATGATCTCACCAAGTCTGATCAACTAACAGTAGAGGGAAAGGAACAACTGAGCAATCTGGAAAGACTACGGAGGACAGTAGAGGCCCTGGGAGGGGAGGACGCCCTTCGCAGGAACCCCAATGTTCATCACATTGTCAGGAGACAGCTGGAGGGGAACGAGGCATGTCGGGTGTTAAGCAGGAGGCGCAGGGCCGTCGATGACGACCACCTTACCAGAAGGGAGCTGAAGAGTGAGGTAGAGCAGTTGGCGAGAGTTCGTCGGGGCGTGGTCAACGTCGGCAGGAGGCTGGAGCAGGGCAATGCGGGCTACAAGCAACTCTACAACCAGTACAAAAAGATGTGTGACTTCATCGCAATGACTGTATTCGAGTAATAAATATCCAAGTGTAGCCGCTCTGACCAATTATCTTACGCTCGAGGTTGCTTATTGCTATGACCACAATATCACCTTAATAAAAAAAGAACCAGTTTTATCGTTATCTCACCGTCGGATACACTCCGATGGCTAAACGGCTACACCCCGATACAACTTTCAACATCTTGAAGGAGCGACACCCACCACTGTCTTGGTGGTAACGAAGGTATAAGTCTCTTACAAAAATATTTCTCCGCTTCCCACGTTAGTGGAAGAAATCCTCACCCCGGACAAAAACGGAAGTATTTTAGGAAAAATAATTTAAAGATATTTTAAAAATTCACTTAGACATTAACAATATATTACCCAGTACATAGCATCACGGGTAAACAAGCAACACCACACTCCAGCAAGTCCTCCAGAATAGCACTCAACCACTTCATAAGACTAGGTGTACAGTGCTACTATCAACGTTTATATGTAAACAAAACACTCGCTCCCTCTTCACAGACTATGTTCCTTAACCATACTCCACATCACGGCCCTGGTGATGCTCTCACTCACTCCCTGCTTCCTCCATCACTCGCTACTTCCTCACTCACTCACTCCCTGCTTCCTCCATCACTCGCTACTTCCTCACTCACTCACTCCCTGCTTCCTCACTCACTCATATCCTCTCCTACCTACCCTCACATTCCACTGAAATCACTACCCTCACCATATTCTACCATCATCCATTCGTTCAATATAACCAAACCACCATAGTACACTTTCTTCAATATTGCTATTTTACATCTTTTTTCAGCCCATATCTTCTCATAAAATTGTCACTTCATTCTCTACGTAGTTTCCTAATACCACACATGCTTCCTAGAGTGTCCATTTATACTGCACTAATTCATGATTTGTCACGTTCATGCCACAGTTGTACTTGACTCATTCCACTTATTTCCTTATTTATTTTCCTCATTATTTGTTATTATATTTCTTTCAAATTTCGTATTTTGTCAGTCACAGCCTACTCCACCATTTACTATAATTTCACATAATTATCTTTCCCTTCCACCATAACTTGATTTTTGTCTACATTCACATTTAGGAATCTCTCACACACACGTCATGAAAAAAGTCAACTAACTCGCATAAATCTATCTTATTGTTTGTTAACAGAACTGCAATATTTGCATACATCAAATCTGACATACTTTAATCACCTCTATCATACGTCATATTCAAACCTTTAATATTTTACTTTGTCTTCCCTCATGACCATGTATATGTATAAATTGAAATCCATGTATAAATTAAACAACATGTGTCTATGTATGTATTAACACGATGTACTGAACGGGGTGAGAATAGCTTGAGCTACCTCATCCCTTTGTGTGTATTTTACCTCAATGAACTTGTTTCAATTTCAATTTCAATTGAACAACCTGCCGAACACCGATATTGATATCAAGCCATTACACCATTAACTCCTGCACATGCACTACTTCTTATATAAAAACTTTTAATAACATTTAAGACAACTCTGCCAACGCGTACCTGTTTATTATTATACAAGTTATACTATATTAACTATCCTGAATTTACCTGAGGGTCACTAACTCTAGTGGCTTCGGCGAGAGCAGGAAGTTCGCAGCTTGTCTAAGGCTCCCCCCCCATTTGCCTGGATGTTTTTTATACCTGGATTTGAAAATTCAAAAATTTTTGGCATTTACGGCTTCGGGGGGGGGGGGTGTAGGAGGTTACATTTGTTTATAACCCTATGGTAAAAAAAATGCCTGTTTTCTGTCCTGCATTGTGGCTTGTTGAGCTTGAAGCTGCTGTTCCTTGTTTGTGCTACATCTGACATTTTGAAGTTGTCTGAATCAACATCCTCTAAATTGTTCAGTATTGAAAAGTGTTGATGAGATCAGCGCCGTCACGCCTGGTTTGTAGTGATAGCTTCGTGGCCTTCAACCGTTCCTGGAAGGAGTTGACTTAGTTCTGGAATTATTTTTGTTGCCCAATGTTGAACTTTTTCCAATGCAACTATGTCTTTCTACAACCCGTTCTCGCACTTTCTTACAGTCAATATTGACTTATTGAATACGTGCATATGTGACATACTAAACATACTAGTTTACCTTTAAAAGCTTCATAGAAAACACTGACCTTACCTAACCTTCTTAGTATGTTAAGATAAGCATCTTCTTGCTTCGTAATTACAATTATTACTTAACCTATACCTTTAATAGGTTAGTGGCGCAATAAGTGAAGAACTGCTCATGGTAAAGCAAGGCACTTGGTCCAAACTCTGGGTTATGAAGGTAAAACCATAAAACGACACAAGTCAGTAATTATCAAAAGAAGGCACCAAGCCAGGAAAGTCAAACGACACAAAACATTGGAAAATCTATATAAATATATATATATATATATATATATATATATATATATATATATATATATATATATATATATATATATATATTGTATCAAAGCAATTAAGAAGCCAGCAGCGAGGTATAAACAGGGCCGGATGTATAAGGGTACAATTACGCCAGCTACCCAACCTCCCCCCCCCACCCCCTGCCAGATCTCTTTCATTCCCCCCCCCCCCCCCCCCAAAAAAAAAAAAAAACTTCCTTTAGAACAAATATAATAATTGTAAAATTTATTTATTTTATTATTAAAACAATTAAAACTGTGTGTGGGCGTCAGAAAATAAAAAGAGACGGCGCCAAAATTCCATCCGAATGTAATTGTAGAAAGAAAGACTTTTTGTAGATATCGTAGAGTGCTGCATTGCTACTTGTAGTCAACGTTATTCTTAGTAAATAAAACTGAAAAACAAATAAAATCAGACAAGTGTCTTCTTCGGAACCTAACATTTTCTGGAACATGTACGGTTTATCACCATTGTAGTTCACTTTCTACTTGTAATTGAATTTCTATGTTGAGGGCCCCCCCCCCCACTCGAACTTGAAGTGCCTCTGGCCAGGTTTATTGTTTGTGATGTGTGTCTATGTATGTACTAACACGTTGTACTGAACGGGGTGAGAATAGCTTGAGCTACCTCATCCCTTTGTGTGTATTTTACCTCAATAAACTTATTTCAATTTCAATTTCAATTTCTGGCCCCCGCCCCCCCCCCCACCCAAGATCTAAATCTGCATTTAGGCATTAGACTTGGTTTATTAGATTTTTGCAACAATTGTCTCCGGACTAGTGCCAGGCTCCTCCGCCCACTGATGGCACGTTCTGACAGTACACATAATACTGTTCACTGTCATTGGTCTTATTAACCAAACTCATGTACAGTACAATATATATTGTTGTATTATAGTTAGGAAGTAGGACTTGTATTAAAACTAATCTTTATTTTGTATATACCTTCAACATTATTACTATTTAATATTATTAGTTTTAAAGTAATTCCTTTTAAGATTTAAATCATTATAAATTACTGAAATGAACTGTTGCTCGAGCAACAAATAACCATATCACTGAAGGTTGAATCATTTACTGTACGTTATTTTCCTACAACACATTTAGTTGATTGAATCATGAGTTTTATTGCATACAAATTATTTAAATACAACTTATGAACAAGTTGATGCACTTTCAGTTGTGACCAAGTAATAAACAATGCACTTACAGAGGTGAGGGTGTAGAGTAGAGTTCAAGTTCAAGTATGTTTATTGAGACAAGAAAAAAATACATATCAAAGGGATAGAGTAGCTTAGGCTATTTCTACCCCTCTCTACTTCAAGTCCCTCAAGGGGCGCACAAATGCAGTGAGTACAAATACACAAATCACAATACAAGAATCCCATTTAACATTGCAGGTTAATATAGTAAGCACAGCATATAAGTGTTAGACTCTTGGGGCAAAATTCTTGTAGCTCTTGCAGAGTGCCCTGACGCCCGTCTGGTCCGCCACACACCGCCACTTGTGGGGTGTAGTGTCGCCAGATATGGCTGATGGCATATCGGTGCCATATTGGACTGTCACTTGCTTAGCTAAATGAACTGTGGGGGTTCAGTTCCTGAACCCCCTTATGTGCCTCTGTAACCCTTTCCACCACCGCCCGCGGGATGGGTATGGGGTGCATAATAAAGAAATTGAATTAACTTACAACTGCTATAGTTTTTTAAACTATACATTTATGCATTATAAGCTTCTTTAAGAAGTATTATGAACATGAATATGTGGTAGTATTTAAGAAACGAAATTGATCTTATATGTAATATATCACACGACTTATATATATAAAGCTGTTTTTTCCACACATTGGTGATACTTTTGCAAGTATATAATATTAAATGGCAAATTACGAAAACAAACGGATGAAAATATAGAATAAGATGTATATACAAATTTTTGTATATAGATGGTCTGTTTATATTAGTGATAACATGAAATATGACTACAGTATTATTGTTTAGCCGTCAGCTCAGAAAGGAAAGCGACCGAGTTTGATTGGTTTGTATACGTTTCCTTAATCCTAATGCTTCTGTTCACCTAGCACTAAATTTGTATAACCAAGTCGAGCTGGTGAACTGTTGTGGGTTATAAAGGTAAACATTACCCACCTCTGTTGTGGGTTACATATTCTGGGGAGCATTGGCCGTACCTTGATAAACCTAATTATACAGCTTCCAAGTATCTCTCCCCAACAACGGGAAATCATAACATTGGTTTCTAATAACCGCATGTAATGATATATGGATAAAGCAAATATCACCCGAATGAATGAGAGACCATATATAATTACTAAACTCATGTGACAAATATAATAAATTAAAATTGTCTTTTGTTACCGCATTTGCGTCTATAATTCTTTTTGGAGAAGGGAACCTTTGACAAGCCGCCGGGTTCCTGTTCCCATCGTGGTCACTGATTATGGCCCTTAGGATTATTAGAACCGCCTATACCCACCAAAATTGAACAGCAGTGTATGTCAGTGTAAAGTCCATATACTGCAATTCAAAATCTAGCTGGAAAAAGTCATCAGGAAAAATGAGGGCAGCATTGACAAGCTATCAGCTTCCTGTCCCTGTCGAGGCCACTAGATAAATAGCAGTTGTTGACTTCAGAGCGGCGACAATCTTATGCGTCCCGACGTACCCATGAAGGGTTAATCGTGAAGCCTAATGGCAAAATGAATGTCACCTATCGGCGGTGACATTCATGTACATTCGGCGGTGAAACTAATGTACTCGCCTTTGCAATGTAGTGCGCCTCGGAGCGAAAAAACATACTGATGGGCGCCCCAGGAGACCCTCGGAGAGGTAAGCACCGGCCGCCCCCACACAGAGAAAGCAAAAACTCGGCCCCCTTCTCAAACGCAAAAAGTCATCCAGTGATCCCCAGCAGAGCCGGCCGCCCACGACGGCTGAGGGCACACAGGGAGCCCACCAAGACCCACCAACTCCCAGCACCTCTCAGCCAAGCCGGTGCCAGACTCTCCCTGCCCGAAGAACCAGCCAAAAAACGTTCAAAATTTATAAACTATCCTGTGACAGCAGACGATATGTGCGCCAGGCGTCGCAACAATCCGGACAGTTAATTACGAACGCTAAACGGCAGTATCAAAATCCAAAAGCGGGAAACAGAACGTGATCCGGCGGCCGCGTCCGCTCGTCGTTAGGGTTAAAGCAGGAGTCCTAGAGAAATGGTGGTCCTCAGGTAAATTCAGGTAAACTCCAACCACTTGGGCTGGATGGTAGAGCTTAATTGCTTAATGCAGGCCGGCGTTCAATCCCCGACCGTCCACAAGTAGTTGGGCACCATTCCTTTCCCTCCCCGTCCCATCCCAAATCCTTATCCTGATGATTGATTGATGAAGATTAAGCCACCCAAAAGGTGGCACGGGCATGAATAGCCCGTAAGTGGTGGCACTTTTGAGTCATTACCAGTATCAAGAGCTGATACTGGAGGTCTTTGGAGGTGCGAGTGCACCCTGCATGACGGGAGATGTCTCCCGTGCCTTATCCTGACCCCTTCCAAGTGTTATATAGTTGTAATGGCTTGGCGCTTTCCCTCCCTGATAGTTCCCTTCTCCTGGATCTCTAATAGCGCAAAACGCTATGCGTGCTAGTGGCTTTACAAGAATGTAAAATCAACATCATTTCTATGTACTCTCTTAACCCCCAATGTATCTTTAAATAAATATAACAAAATAAAATAAAATTAATATTATTGGTGTTCTAATATGGCGTCCAAACATTACCTACCAATTTATTCGCTATCAATGTTAACCCACTCTATTAATAAAAGCTCTGTGGTGTTGACGTCGCTTACTCAATGGAGCAGGTCGTCACTCACCTGTGACAGAAGAAAACGTTGTTTTACTGTGAAATATTAAAATAATTTCCTCTGTAAATTGGTGAGTATATATGTATACTGTATTTTGTCTAAATTTCAAATACCAAATACAATATAACAATAAAAATGAACGTATGAAGTAGGTTGTATAATAATTCAGTAAGGGTATATGTGTCGGTGTGGGCAACAGGTGCTGCTCAGACAATCATGGTGGACCACAAGGGGCGCCAGGCCGTGGTGGGGAACTACCGCAAGATACGTCTCGCCATGATGCTTCTTGCCTTTATTGGTATTGGTCTCTCCCTGTACGCTCTGTATGTGGAAGTTATGAAGGAGAGTGACGCGGCTTACCAAGCTATGTGTGACATCAGCCCCTCCATCTCCTGCTCCAAGGTCTTCACCTCTAAGTAGGTTTCACTCACCGGCAATTATATTGTTTAACTTGCTTTAAGATTAAGTCTTATACTGTATCCATATCAGCTTAACATTTCCCACTGACAATTACCCACTGCAACATTTTTTTGACACATGTTCATGATGCCATCACTGTTCTGTAAGAAAATAACTGTTTGCTTCACTGTTTTATATTTTGTTTATCAAGTTGATGAATTATTACAAGCTAGACCAACATAACTGTACCAAAACACTATTTACTATGAAAACAGACTGCCTAACTCAACCTAACCTAACAAAACCTAAATTTTATTTATTTTTATTTTATTTTATTTATATATACAAGAGTTTTACATTCTTGTAAAGCAACTAGCACGCATAGCGTTTCGATCAGGTCCTTAATCCTAATTTTCTCCTGAATACGACCGTCAAATCGTTTAACAACCAGGTACCCATTTACTGCTGGGTGAACAGAGGCATACAGCTAAGGACTGGCACCTAATCAGTCCTCTTTGGCCAGGATATGAACCCAGGCCAAATTGCTCCCGAAGCACTGGGCGAGTGTTTTACCATTGCACTACGAGGACTGCTAAACTAACCTAGTTTAATTCAACCTCCTAAGTGTGCATTTGCCCACTAAAAACTGAAAAGAAAGCATCAGTGAAGAAAGCAATTAGCATTTTGATAACTCTATTTTTCCTATACTCACTAGATATTTTTTTGAAGTGATCCTAGCATCAAATGCTACTTTCACCAACATGGTGCCAATGGTTTTGGGTTGTTTCTGCAGAGGAAATGCATTACAGTATTAGGTCAGACAGTTTTATGTTTGTTAGAACAGAATAAAGTTGAGCAGGATTTGCTGTTATACCTTATACTGATTTGATATTGAAAGGAGACATTTTTAAATGATGTATGTGAACCATGAGGCATCCTCACAGTGAAGAACAAGTTTACACCAATACAGTCCTACAGCTAGGGAGAAATTCAAACACTATAACAGTTGTGAATGAATACTGGTATTCATACATAAAATCTATAGGTTTATATCATAAAAAGTACTGTACTACCAATTATTAGACTAGAAGAATATCAATACTTTATCTCAATATAAATTAAAATTAGGTACTGTATTTTGTATGACCTTTAATTCAGATAAAATACTATAATATTGTCTATACAGTATTACACTTATGCAATACAAATACTTGAAATAACATTAATATTAAATGCAAAACAAAGTTTGTGGATGCAACTTTATTATTAATATAAAAATTTGTTTTGTTGGGGATAAGTCTGTGCTTAAGTAGGTACATGTATACACTTTAAGCTTGTATCGATATTCCCCCAAGATGACTCTATTGACCCTCCCCAGGATGCAGCCCCACAACAGTTGCCTAACTCCTGGGTATCTTTTAACTGCTAGGTGAATAGATGCATTAGGTGAAAGGAAATACGCCCAACCATTTCTGTCCTTCCTGAGAATGGCACCCAGGATACCTGATTGTGAGTCGAGAACAAAGACAACTATACTACAAGACCCTGTATTGAATTGAAGAGTTGAAGCTGACATTTCAGTGAAATGGCAAAAAAATGACAAAAAATTGATCAATAAACTAAAGGAGTTGAGAAACTTATTTCAAAACATAAATTCAAAGCTTAAGATAAAGAGATGTCATGTGATTAAGATAGTAGTAGGAGAAGAGAACAATGTCCTCTACTCAGTGAGTCGGAACTAATCCTATAGTATATATATCTTCACCAGCAAGCAAGTACAAAGGGATAATATTCAGAGTAATAGTGTGCAGAATGCAGTTATTTCTTTGCCATTCCTAAAGCGCATCTGTATTTATCAGTTATAATGGTAAAAATTGTTTGTGTTGCATTAAACTTATGTTTAATTAATTTATATTTGCCAACAGGTATGGTCGGGGATTTGGTATAATTGGAGAGCTCTTAGGCGATGACCATATAATGAACCAACCTAATAGCATCCCAGGGATCATCTTCTACTCTCTTATTATTGTTCTTGGTGAGTTAAAGATGGACGAGTTTAATGTTCGAAATTAAGCAAATGTTCTTCGTTCTCTAGCAGCTTTTTTTTCCCTTTCCAATCATTGATTGTATAACTCCTGTCTCTACAATTTATTCATTATTCCTGTGTTCTTTGTACACATTCTTTTGAATAAACATTGTAATTTATTGTACTGTATTTAACAATGATTTTTTCCTCTTGATTTAATACTTAGGAAATATAAGAAGACATTCCATAGAGTGGGACACAGCCATATTTGGCCTTTATTAATCTGCATACCACTATAATAGATAATTTTTTAAATGTTTACTTTTTCTTTCATTCAATTTAAATGGGGAAGTGGTGGTTTAGGTGTAGTACTGTATTAGTACCACAGTAGTATGATTATTCAGTTATATACTAGTCATCACTGCACTAGTGAGTGCACTGATGACTAGTAATGAAACAGTGCCCAGTTGTCTCACTCTGGCCAGGACTCTTAACACATACACCACACACACACTGCTGTCTCCTCCCCCTCTCTCCCTCCCTCCCTCTTCCTTCCTCCTCCTCCTCCTCCTCCTCCTCCTCCTCCTCATTCTTCTTCCTCCTCCCTTCCTTCCTTCCTTCCTTCCTTCCTTCCTTCCTTCCTTCCTTCCTTCCTTCCTTCCTTCCTTCCTTCCTTCCTTCCTTCCTTCCTTCCTTCCTTCCTTCCTTCCTTCCTTCCTTCCTTCCTTCCTTCCTTCCTTCCTTCCTTCCTTCCTTCCTTCCTTCCTTCCTTCCTTCCTTCCTTCCTTCCTTCCTTCCTTCCTTCCTTCCTTCCTTCCTTCCTTCCTTCCTTCCTTCCTTCCTTCCTCCTTCCTCCTATAATCCTCTTCCTCCTTTAAATTTTGTTTTAAAGAATATATTAAAGAATAAACTATATTGTTTGCACAGGTATTGTGGGATATGGCTGGCATAGGAGCTGGGTATACCTCCCTTGATCAGCTATGACCAAACCATGTCTAGTTTACATACCAGTGCTGACCAACCATTTCTTTACTTGCTAACTTATTTTGTATCTCTTGACTACATATCTAGGCAACTGCATATTTAACATCATTACATCCCATAATAACTCATAAAATAGCTTCCATGTAACTTTATGTTGTAACACTCTACTGGATTTGTATTATTAGATAGAGAAATAAAGGAAGAGAGAGGTTGTAAGAGAGGAAGAGGGGATTTGGAGACGTAAAACTGTTAAGCATGTGGTTTGAAAAAGACAATAGACCAGTTGGGTCAGCACCAGTCACTGGAGGTGTAAGCTATAGTCAGCAATTTGCAAGGTGTGTTGCCGTTCAGGGGTTAGTTCAATCACAACAGAGAGAGAGAGAGAGAGAAATTCAATGTATATTCATTTTAATATATAAAATTTAATGTTCTTGCAGTCAATTTATCAAACTTTCTGCTTACAGTACTATAGTTCATCTAGGTTACAGCAGTTATCCCTGTTCCCCTGTGCCTAGTCATTATACAGTTTATCCTAAGTTATTCCATTGTTTTGTTCTCCAGTGATTTATCTCATTTAGACCTGACTATCTTCATTTAGTCCTTGCTTTCCTGAGTTATAAATTTACCCTGTGTTCCCCTATTCTGTGTGATTATCAAGTACAGTACATTATATTACCTTTCTGTAAACTTAATCACATAAAGTAGAGGAGTCATTTATTAACTTTGATTTATTAATTTTTTGTGTAATTTAATATTTAGACAAAAGGGAGTTGCAATCATTATTATTATAGCAATTAAGACAAAAATCCCCACCCCCTCCATAACACTGTCAAGGCTCAAATTGTTTATGAATATTTTTACGTTATCTAAAAATAGTAAGAAGTAAGGTGATTTTAATTAATGTATTTACAGTACATAATTTTTCTTCTATTAGGAGAAACCAAGAGCCTGAAAGTAGCAAAGGTGCAACGGACTGTCATCAGTTTATCTAACCTGATGAGTGCTTACCTGGCTTATCTTCTGTACTTTGTGCTAAAGGACTTTTGTGTTGTTTGTGTCAGCACGTACATCGTTAATATCCTCCTGACTACCTTGGCATTCATGCGTGTTTCTGCTCTCCAGAGACTTTCAAAAATCAAAACCAAATAACTCTCTATTTTAGTCAGAGGTAAGAAATGAAATTCTGAGATTCAGCAGCGTCATTTAATCCAGCTTATTTCATAAAGTACTTCTTGATTTCTTATCCATGCATATGATATCTTTATGTACTTTGTTGTGTTACATAATAAACAGGTATTGTAATTCAATATGCTGAGATGGAAGTCCTAATTAGCCTGATATAATGTGAATTAAGTACACAATAATTCACATATGGCTTACATGTTTGCAGTTTCATAATTTATGTTGCTCTAATTACTTTGATCAAGAACATTTTTGTATACTGCCGTGCATTCCAAATACATTGGCATTAGAAGGTCAGTCTATTCCCTGGTTCTTACCAAGAACCAATATGATGTTTGGTTACATAGAGCCTAATACAAAGCAACACTAGTACAAATGAGTAAAAATCTTTCCATAATAATATGGTACAAATACAGTGCTCATGTAATTAAATCTTTTCTTTACCATTATAAATATAAGACTGATTTACTTAGGTTGTGATCAATGTGTGTTTTATTTCTGCTAAATCTATGGTATGGTGTAAGAATGTTAATACTGTATAAATAATCAGTATTAAGCTAAAATTGCAATATATGTAAAAATGCATTTCAAAATATTAAAACTTGTGTTAGTTATTTTTTAGTCTAAAAATTATGAACTTGACCCAAAATGTATGAGCTATTAAGTTGAATATTATGAAGCAAGTAGTCAGTGTCAGGTTATAAATATCTTTCTCTGTTAAATAATTATGAACATTTCAAATTGTTACAAGTTTAATTTTCATCCATGTTGTGTACAGTATTAGGATGGCAATCTTGGTAGGTTGCCATAATTTTTGTTTTTTAATAATTCTACCGAGACAAAAAAATATTACTTTATTTGCTTTAAAGATGAATATATTATTGGTTAAATATTAATAAAACACACAATCCCTTTTTGTATCCTCTAAAATTCCTAACTTAGCTCATAGGGTAATGCAAAACATGCACTTAATTATCACATATTCTGGCATGAGTACACCGCTTCCACACCTTTGGCTTCCTAACATGCTGTAGCCTCCAGCACTGCTATCACACATGACTAGAACATTGACAGGCCTAATTTTCATGTGTAAATTTTAACAGTCTCCAGCACTACTATATCACTTATGTATATCCTCTCACCAACCCTCTTCCACTGTCACACAAATGTTATTTTCCTAACACAGCCCTCCTCCTCCTCCTCCACTGTCAGAATATTACACGCTTTGTGAAGTACAAGAATATTGATCTTTTGAGATTTATGCACCTGACAATAGAACTGAGCTATGGGAACAGGTTAAAACTCACTAACAACATTAGAAAAAGAGGAGGATTTTGTAAACATTGCCAAAGCAATGACCAGCTATGGCAGTACTGTACCATAAAAATAAGCTGCCTCACAAATTACAGTAAAAATTAACAGCAAATCTCATAAACCATATCTCATTTTAGATGCTGTCATTGTTGAGAACACTGAATTCAATAGTCTATTATTGTACTGTAATATATCTTCCCAGCTTGGATACCTTTGATAATTACTTACTGTAATGTAATAAATATATAGCTGCTGCCTATTATGAGTACTGCTCACATGCGCTTCTTTATTAGAAGCGCATGTGAGCATTCTTTCCATATTAAAATTTTAAGTATGAAGCATCCAAAATCTATACAGTATAGATATTAAATAAGTGAAAATTTTGCTGGCCTTTGCAGTTGATTAGTAATAGTTATTGTTGTTTAGGTTTTTCTTCTATCTCAAATTTAAAAAGACCAGTACAATCTGATGTCTTTTATACCACCACAAACTTCAGTATGGGATAGTGTGCTGCTCATGTCTGCACACATCTATGGATAGAAAAACTAACATGGTTCACCATTTATTTTGTATGCGTTTATTATATAATAATATAGTACACCTTAACACTGTCTCTAATATATAACAACAATAATTACACAATTTATTCATCACTGTCGGCATGAGAAGTGCTTGGCATGTCAGCTTCATCATCCTGCAAACCCACCACAGCCTTCTGTCTTGCGGGTACATAAGGAACTGCGCCAGGCTTTGAGTGTCTTCGAAGATTAGCCTCCCTGAAAAAATTATATACAATAATTGAGTAATGATTAATCACCTAGAGAGCAACTTTGTACCATACGCTCTGTGCTCAATACAAGTATCTATACAATCAACACATTGAATGCAGGATCAGTCACATTGTGACGGCTAATCGGCTGCAAGCAGCGATAGCCTGGCTGATCAGGCAGCATTATACTAGGGAAAGCCTTATATAATGCTGGGCAGTGGGTGAAGAACAACTTTCAAAATCAAACACAAGTGAAGTATAACAAGATTAAAAGTACAGTATTGAGCTTTATGAGGAACTCATTTTCTAATATTTCTTTTACAGTACAGGTACAAAGGAGCAAGAGTGAATCTGAAATTTAGTAAAAAGTATAATAAAAAAAAAAAAATATTTTCACAGGAAAGCTTTGTTGTATAAAAAATATTAAACCACATAATGGTTGGTGACCAAATTATGATGGATATTAGCATAAATTTTCTCATATGCTGATTACTGTTTAATATTTTTTAATTTGTCAACCACACTTCCGTAGAAATAAACATACCATTCACCTGGGCTCTAGGAGACTCAAATTGCGGATCCCATGCGTGTGAGGCAGAGGCGCTTTCTACTCAGCTGTGAGTAGTCTTAATAAGGAAAGATTCAAGAAGCAACTACTGCTGCTATGCTGGAATTTTCAACTTTCCCCGACTACTACTGAAGCTCAGAGGAATTAGTGACCCTCGCCCGCGTCATTAACAATTTATATGACGAGGGCGTGGATCACTAATTCCTCTGAGCTTCAGTAGTAGTCAGGAAAAGTTAAAAATTCCAGAATAGCAGCAGTAGTTGTGTCTGGAATCTTTCCTTATTAAGACTGTTCACAGCTGAGTGGAGAGCGCCTCTGCCTCACATGCGTGGGGTCTGTGGTTCGAGTCTCCTAGAGCCCAGGTGAATGAAGTTTTTCATTAGTTAATTTCAGTTAAATTTTTACATAACTATTACTTGAATAATACAATAGACATACTTCCTGGCTCGGCTGTCCTTCATAATACGATGTTCCTGTTTGGCATGGTAGATGTGTTTGGGCAAATGTCTATGCCGTAATATTCTACGCATTTCTGGGAAGTGACCATACTTTCTCTTGAGCTCTTCTGCATAATTGATGGCAGAACGTTCTCTGGCTCTCATCTGTTTGGTATCACAATAAATAAAAATAAATAAAATACTGTATTGTACAACTTTTGTAAACTGAAAGTAATCTGAAATGTCATTTTTTTATTTGGCCCTGCAAAAATTTTGTTTATTTTTGCACACTCAAAAAATATTTTAATTGGTAAGTTCATTATCAAGCATAAAAGTAAATACATCACAGAATAGGCTAATATTAATATCAGAATAATTGAATACATCAACATTTTTTCAACGACATCAAGTAAAAATGCGAGATGAAGCATAAAGAACAAGACATCATTCCCATAGTCACTGATAGGTAAGAACTGTACTGTCCATTAATTTGAAGAGAAATGAAAGTATCTTGTGTGACATGTAAATTATGAAACAAAAATAAATAATTTTCCTTTAAAAGTGATTTAAGCATTAACTGAAAATGTGTATATTTTGGAACACTTACAATACCCATCTTCTCATTTGATTTAGCTTTCCACACACGAACATTGTGATCAGAGGAGCCAGAGAGAATGTATTTGTTATCTCCTGACCAGAGAACACAGTTCACTTTAAACATTCTCTTTGTATGGTAAACATCATGACTTCTTCCCTGTAGAAAATTAAATCACAAGACAATTAGTAAATTTGTAATAAGTGATATAAATTTACATTATCATAATGTGTTATATTGGATTTTATTTTTTATCAAAAGGAGCATAGATGCTCATTCTAAATATGTTCCCCTCTCAAACTTGTATAACCCTGCAGGGATGCTAGAGAATTCTGTGGATCCATGTACAGTACTTGGATACAGTCAAATCTAACTTGTGAAAGCAACCAAGTGAGGTTGCACTTGGAAAATGTATTCAGTGAAAATTATTAAATTAAATAACGTCCACAGGTTGTACAGAAATATGCCAAGAGTCGAGAAAAATCCTTCCAACACCCATTTTTGTGATGGGGCGAGCAAATACCCTGGGGTACTAGTGCAGGATTAAGGAAGCAAGTGAGTGCTACAGTTCCCCAAATCCCTTACATTATATTCACTTACTTCATCTGTCTTAAAAATTCTGATGGATTTGTCGTAGCTTCCTGTACAGAATTCTCGGCCAGTTGGGGCATAGTCAAGATCAATGACAGCAGACGTATGACCCTCATGAATATTGATAACTCTGTTCTGTTTATTCATGTTTCTGATATCGAATGAGTAGACACTGGAAATACAGTAGATGAATGAGTACAGTAATATTAAATCAAGTGACCTACAGCAGACATAATTATACAGAGGTCTGTAGGTCTAACATTAGACCTACAGACATTAATATTACCGGTATGTCATTTACCATTATAATGATATATGAAATGGATTAAATAGTAGGCATGATAATACAATTTAAAATAAGAAAATGAGAGAAATTTGTTTGCTAAATGACCAAATAAGAGAAACCACACAGCCGTCAATTCAAAATGCTACTACAGTGCAATCAAATTTGTATTTGTGTTAATTTGTATGTACTGTATACAATATATGTATACAAATATACATATATTGGTATGAACATATACAGTATAAATATTACATTATACAGAAATAACAAATATTACATATATACAGTAAATACATAATCATTTACATTTTATAATACAGTACACATTCATATTTAAATTTTATCATAAATTTTGAGGGTCTGGAGATCCCGTTGGCAGTCAGTTTAGGGACTAAGAACCAATAAGTTTATTTGAATATGACTGATGTGAAGTTGCAATTTACATGAAATGGTGTTCAATCATAATAATGTACATGGAACAGAGTACAATATCAGTCCTTTCATATATTGCAGTCCTCACTATATGAAAAGGGTAATTAGGGGTACAGATGATAATTAGCTCAGCTGCCAAATCATGAATTTTTGCATTCACTTTAATCATAAATATATATATATTTTTAATTAACACTTTACTTACTTATAATCTTCACTGGCTGCTGTCAATATGAATGCCTCCATGGGGTTCCAAGCCAAGGCATTGACACGCATAGTCATCTTTAATTTCTTCACCTCTTTAGCTCGGGTGTCGTACAAAACAATGTTATTTGCATGGTCACTGGAAGCTGAAAACAATAAATCACAAAATATGTATAATAATTAAATGTGCAACTATATGCTTATATCCAATACTAATTTTGATTTACCAGTAGAAACAAACTTAAAGAAAAGTTACCAAAGAGGTCAGTTTCAACAGGGTTGAACTTGACAGATACGACACTGGCATCATTGCGATCCCCACTGGTACTCCAGTCATAGGAGAACTTAGGGGCTTTGGTGCTAGCATCCCATAACAACACCCGCTCACCACATGTGATGAACTCATTTTTGTATCTGTGGTGGGTGATGCCTGTGATGATTGACTGAAAGAGTGAAGGCAAAAATTCTCATGAGATGTAAAATGATGGAAGCTGATGAAAAGCTCTGCTGCTTGTATTAGCAAATATGTTAATAACTAAATATTTTCACTACATTATTTCTATTACAAAAGAGAACAACCAAAAAGAAATAACTTAACACATATATAGCAATCAATAAAGAGCTGTTAAAGAAATATTCATTACCTCCTGTGTGAATCCCTACAGTGAACATCTAAATTTATATTACAGTAACCTTAGCCCTCATCTACACAAATTCCTAGTACAAAAATTCAAAGAAATGCAAATTTGTTTTTAACATGCAAGGTCTAAGTGCACAGCTTTTGGAATTGTTTATCCAGGCATTCACAATGTCTAATTCAGCTGTATGCAAGTTGTAATAAGCATGTTTGCTGTTGTATTGCCAAACTGCTGTATCTCAAGTACAGTATTTCTCTACATCACTGTCAGCACTTTGTGCTCCCTATAATAAAATTACAGATGGTTCACACATACCATCAGTTCAGAAATTCTGAAACCTATTCAAATAAAAACAAATGTGTGGAAGAAACTGAGGAGTAGCATTGTGAATGCCATTTGAAACAAATTGTGGATTGAATGTGTCCACAATTTCAGCAGATTCATAAACACAAATGTTGAAGTGGCTGACATAGTGAACTTTGGTTGAAGAATAAGCAGGAAAGGGTTCATTGACTTCCATGTGGAAAATGAGTTGAAGGTCATAGGATAAATTCCCATCACAAAAATCACAAGATTTTGCAACCTAATGCAGGCAATAGATGAAACATCAAGAGGATGAAATTACATGCACAAATATGAGGGCATAAACAATGAAAAACTTTATGAGCACTTAAGGTTAATTATAATCTACTAATATTTTAATAATGTATTCCACTAAACATTTTCATAATTAATAAGGGAATAAGGGAAAATATGTATGTAGAATAAAGCATAGATATTTCAGTGAGCAAGAACTTTATATATTTATTAAAAGGTCTCTATGCCAGTAAACCAGCCATGTATGTGATGTTATGGCACTTGCAAAAAAAAAGAAGCAAGAATATGTGTGAAGGCTGAAGATAACCTTAGCAAGAACATATACAGTACTACAAAAGCCAGATACAGAGAGGAATGCAAGTGCAAAAATTTAAACAGTGAACAAGAAAGTTGCACTTATTGAAATGGCACCAAAGATTAAGATAAAGATGACCAGAATAGGAGTAAGTGCAGTATGCAAAAATAAAAACCAGGATGAGGGTAAATATGCCTTATGTACTTACATCACACAGCCAAGTATCTATCGGTAGATCTTCATTCTCTTCCTGAGCCCGTTGCAGGGACCACCGCTTTATGGTCTTGTCATTCCCAACAGAAAAGAATGAAGCCCCATCAGGAGCTGCTGTAATTGCCCATAACTGACCATTGTGAGCCTGAATGGTCCATTCACATTTTTTGTGGGTAATGTCCCATAACTTCAACTGCAAAATAAATATAAATTATTATTTTATCTTCAGGTGAAAGTAAACATAAATTATTATTGTTTTGTCTTATATAACAACAGTACAGAGTACTGTACAGCATATGCCCACTTTAACTGACTCTTCTTGCTGCAACCAAAATTATGTTGCAAAGTTGGTTAATTTTTAACTTTTATTCCAAATATTTTTTATATTTTAACTAGTGCAAACAGCAGAGCATACTTTTCCATACATATTTTCACTCAAAATACTTGAAAAGGCAGTTACAATTTATGTCTGCATTTCAATTGAATGAAGTATTTAGTATACAGTACTAAGCATTAAATAACAGAAGCCAGAGCCTTACTCACCTCCCCTTCAACTGTTCCTGTGAACACACAGGACAGTCTACTTGGGTGACGGCATATGGCAGACACTCCTTCAGAATGCACGAGACTTCCAATAAAAGGCTTGGCAAACACCCTCTCTAGTTTGACAGCATTTAAGGCCAACTTGTATTCTCGTACTGCCTCAAAAGGATGGAGATCTGGATCGTAGTTTCTCTGCACTAAAATATAAGCAAAATATATAAATACTGTACTAAACTACATTGTAATTAGAGCTCTTGATGAACATTTACAAGAAATGCTTATCTGCTTTATTAGCTAATGAATATACAAGTTTGTGTGTACTGTATCTTGTATCAGCGAATACATAGGTAGGCTAGACATGCCTATTTATGGGGTAAGGTCAAATCATAGACAAGCATTTCAACAAAGATTATTTTCTAATTGTCCAAACCATATACTGTATTTAGTTACCATAAATTAGGATGTATACGATTAAGTTAAGCTAGGCTAGGCTAGGTTAATTTAATGATATACAGTAATTATTAAATTAAAAACATATACAATTTGGTCATATACCACTGTATTGTACTGTCTTGGGGTTTAGTATCTTTATACAGGCAATTTTGTACATGAAATGGTTTGCAAATACAGTAGTTGTTTTAAATAATTACATCCAATAAGGCAGCCAGTTTGACTTATATCAAGGTTCCCCCTCCCAGAAGATTGAATTACTGACCTTCCCCAGGATGCAAAAAAAAAAAAAAAAGTTGGCTAACTCCTGGGTACCTATTTACTACTAGGTGAACAGGGGTATTAGGTGATAGCAAGACTAACTAACCATTTCTATCTTGCCCAGGATTCAAACCCAGGATTCTCGATTGGGAGTTTAGAACAATCCCGGCTGGGCTAACCTGAGATAACCAAGTTTAGCCAATCTTAACCTAACCTAATTTTACCTAATCTAGCATAACTGAATGATACATAATTCTCATACCTAGAAATATAGTTTTTGTGTATATATGTATATATATGTGTGTATATCACGAAAATAAACATAAATATATATTTGTGTATATATATATATATATATATATATATATATATTGGTTGCTTGCTAGGTTAGATTAGGTTTAATCTGTATGGGTTAGGATGGTTTAGAGGTGATGTGTAGGGTATCCTATGGTTGATGGTGACCTAGGGGGGGGAGGGGGAAGAGTGGAAGCCTATGGGGGTCAGAGTGGTGGCCTAAGGGGTCAGAGTGGTGGCCTAAGGGGCCAGAGTGGTGACCTAGGGGGCAGAGTTGAGTTGTGACCTAGGGGCCAAAGTGATGGCCTAGGGGGGGGGGCCAGAGTGGTAGCCTAAGGGGACCAGAGTGGTAACTTAAGGGGGCCAGAGTTGTAGTCTAAGGGCTAGTGTATCACTGCTTACCTTTATGGATATCATTCTTAGTCTCCCTAAGATGGTGATCCGGGTTTCTAGATAGAACTTTGATGCTTTTTATCGACATGTTGTTTAATTTACGTACACAATTATATATTTAATCGTCAAGTTTGACAACAAACTTGCAACACGTGTCTCATAATGAGAGGTTTCCGGATCCCTGAGCGTCCCCAATGACTTTGTCCTTATTTATATGCTGTATATGTATATTACATAACTAAAATTCTATTATTTGTTAAAAAATAGCTTAAGCTATATAATAATTTGTTTCTTTGTAACTATATGTAATAAAAATATCAATGGAATCAGATCGAGATGAGAATCGGGCAACGGTTCGAACAGCGGATTTCAGAGTAAAAACATTACATTTCGTATACTATTTTCGTTCAAAGTAATTTTATTGGTAATGATAATAATAATAATAATAATAATAATAATAATAATAATAATAATACTAATAATAATAATAATAATAATAATAATAATAATAATAATAAAAAAATAAATAATAATAATAATAATAATAATAATTCGTTTTGTAGGGGACAGGAAGCCTGTGTGTGTATATACTTTAGGCAAGTATGGAGGTCGAAATACTGACACTCTCCAATTCAATTTCTTTCTTTATTATGCACCCCATACCCATCCCGTGTCCAGATAACAGTTAACAAACTGTACCACCGAGGCCCCTCCATATGCATTTTATATAAGTTAAAGTTGTTTATTCGTTGTTATGTAGATGTTTTATACACGCATGAGATACAATATGCTGAAAACATTGTTAGGGTACATTACGAGTTATATTAATTAAGGTTTTAATAGCCCGAAACACTATGCGTGTTTGTGGTTTTTCAAGAATGTAAGAACACCGATGTTACGTACAAACCCATTGTACCTCCTTGAATATATATAAATAAATAAATAAATAAATAGCCGTCAGCTAAGTGGTGTCCGAAACGACCCCAACATGCTAGGCAAAAATAAATGCTATAAATAAGCAAAATAAACATACGACAGTTATGTTTTCTTATATAATATTTTTTTTTAGTCTTTCCGCCGAGAAGTGACGTATAGCATCCAGGCTCGAATTTTATTTTACAAAGAGACGGGAACGGAGTGTGTACGACGGCCCTGTGCTATAGCTGCTGCTATCCCAATAACAACAACAACATAGGCCAACCATTCCAGTTACAGTTAAGAAAGCATAACTAGGAGTTACTGTTTGCTTTACGATAGTGTTGTGTGGTGAGGAATGATGGAGAAGCTCGCTCTACTGCCTCTCTGCCACAGAAGTCTGTTGTCTCTCTGTCACAGGAGTCTGCTGGGGCCTGCTGTGGTAAGTCCATTATAGTTTGACTATGGACCTTTTAACATCTAGTGCCAGAAGAGAAGGCAAAGCAAGATAAGTTAAGGGAACTAAATCTCACATCCCTAAAGGAGAAAAAACAAGGGATATGATCACAGTTTACGAGATACTGAGGGGGGGGTAGACAACTTTGCCTAGAACAAACTCTTTAAATTTAGAGAAGGTAAGACAAGACAACATAGGTAGAAGCTGGAAATTCAAATAAGTAGCAGAATGTAAAGAAATACTCATACCCTATATGGTGGTCAATAAGAGGAATGCACTGAAAGAGGACTCCTGGTTCAACCTTGATGACAAGCAGATGTCTGGACACTTGCTCTGCTGCCAGATCACATTCTGTTTCACGATTTTTACCCATTGGGTTTTGATACTGCCCACTGGCATACCTATTCAATAGTCCAGATTGTTGCCTCGCCTGGCACACATATTGCCTGCGGTCACGGAAAAGTTGATATACAGCATTTTAAACTTTTTGTAGCTGGTTCTTCTGGCAAAGAGACAGTGTCTGGCACCAGCTTGGCTGAGAGGTGCTGGGAGTTGCGGGTCTTGGTGGGCTCCCAGTGTGCCCTCAGATGTGGTGGATGGCTCTGCTCTGCTGAGGACCACTGGATGATTGTTTGCATTTTAGGAGGGGAACGAATTTTTGCTTTGCTACCCAGTGTAGCAAACCCTATGTGGGGTAGGGTTGATGCTTCCCTTCCTGAGGGACTCCTGGGGCTCCCTAATCATCAGCCCATCAGTATGATTATTCGCTGCAAGTCGCATTTGTTTCTGCCAACAGGCAAAGTTCATTTAGCAATTAGGCTTTGTGATTTACCCTTAAAAGGTATGCCAGGGTTCATCCAATCCCTTGATTGTCATCGTCCCTAAACCAACAACAACAACACAAAGAAGTTGCAAAAGTGACCTCTATTCACAACTTTAAGGCCAGATTTGACAAGGAATTTAAACACATTTGAATTATGTTGCAACAGGTACAACAAGACTAGGTGTAGTATACATGAACTTCTCTAATGTTTTGATACCACATAAAAGACTAACACAGAAACTGAAAGCATGTTTGAAAAAAAAGAGAAAGGAAAGTATTGTCTTAAATGGGAATGAGTCTGGCTGGAAAATGTTTGTGAGTGGAGCCCTGCAAGGTTATATTTTGAGGCCAACCCTTTTTTGTAATACAGTATACTTCCATAACATAGATGAGAAAAACACAAACCAAGTCATAAAATTTACAGATGACACAAAGTTCTATAGTACAGTGGGAAACAAAAAGATATTGAAGCCTTGCAAAGTGAGTAACATAAAATGTACAAATGGTCAGAAGACTGACAAATGCTTTTCAGTTTTGAGAAATGCATGACTGCATATAGGGCATAACAATACACATCATAACTACCATTCCAATAACACAGTCATGCAGCAGATTGGTAAAGAAAGGGACCTAGGAGCATTGAAGGTTGCTCAGCATGAAGAGGGCTACAATAAAAAAAAGCCAACCAAGCATTAGTAATCATCAAACAAAGCTTTGAGCTTAAGGAAGAGGAAATGGTTATTCATCAGTAGAAATTTCTTGTGTGCTCCCATCTGGTCTATATCCAAACATGGAGATCTTTCCTTCATAAGGATATACTGTACCTGTTGTGAAAAAAAGTTCAACACAGCACAACAAATATCATCCCAGAACTATGTCATTTCCCATACAGTACCAGTAAAGATGTTGGAAGTACTGTATACTGTACTGTATCAGTTAGATAATACTGTATCTTGTAAATTGGAAGATACAGTATTATCAGATCATTTGTTTAAAAGCTCCAATTTAACTCACACAAAAGGCAATAGCTTTAAGCTCAACAAGTCACATGTAGGACAGAAAACTTGTGATGTTTTTCATTCATAAGATAATAAACTCTTGTAATTGCTTACTGATGAAGTCATAAATGCCCAGATAATACTTTATTTTAAAATTCATCTGGAAAAATATCCTTAGAAATAATGGGAGCACCTTTGACATGCCACCAGCTTATTGTCCCTGCTGAGGTCACCAGAGAAGATTATCCTCATGTAAATTCAGGTAAATAAATCTATAGGATGTAAATGGGGTCCATAATAAACAAATTAAAACACTCATGTTAGGTTAGACTGGCTTAGCTTAGGTTAGTATGGGTTTGATTGTGCTCGCATTGTTGTAGTTGTGGTGGATGAGATACAGATGTTAGGTTCCATCAATTAATCCTTAACTGACTGATGTACTGTATAAGTTCCAGAGCATATTGGACTCTAGGTTTTTTAAATCTGCTAAGCCATCTTGGACATGCAATGACCTGTATCCTTAATGACCACCAATAACATTGACATAGAGATGCAAATGATGCATAAAAATAAAGCAAATTACTGGACATAGGACCATATGTGACAAGCTTTTATTTATACCCAATCAAACTCACTTGTATTTATGTCTAAGCTTCATTTGAAACACTAATGATGATGTCAATTATTACCTGGTAATTTGTTCATCAAATTAACAATCCTATTTCACACAGAAATCACAATAGCGTGATGCATCAAATGAACAAAATTTTTGTTCATTCTACAAAAATTTCCCTTTGTTCATTGTTCATCACAATTTTTTGCTATTGTGATTTCTGTGTGTATTGAAGTGAGGGCGAAGAAGTAGAACAGCTTCTTGGCAGAGCTTGAGTACATGGGGGAATTGTGTAAAACCCTGATTTGTGTCTTGGAGAGGCTGCAGGCTCTGTGTGAAGTCAGTGGAATTCCCGGTTGCAATTCTTTTACCATGTCGTGGTATAGTCGACTAAGGCAGCGTCTGGGATCATCCCGGGCGTAAGTTCGAACCCTCATCACGGCCCTTGTGGATTTGTTCAACCCTCTTTCCAAAACAAGTACCAGAGTGTATTGACCCAGGTCTTATCTGAATTATTTTGTTCTATTTTGTTTTGATATACAGTATTTAGTACTTTATTAGCATTCATTTTGTTATACTATATCATCATATGTATACTGTACTGGCAATTCAAGCTTTAACCCCTTTTCACAATTCTAGAGAAAGTAAATTAAGCTTTCTTAATTTCCCTTCATATGGAAGGTTTCAAGTAAATTGATGTGCATTGTATAATATGGTATAGTATCAGAAACCGAACTGCATATCTAAATTTTCTTGACACAAGGTCAAGAAAAAAATTTATTATTACTAACATTTCCAGATATTAATCCCAGTATACTATTTAACTTATTTTGAATAGTTATATAGATTTTTCATTTAAGATCCCTACTTATCATGAATAAACAAAAAAAAATTATTTTTGTATTCAGATTTGGCAATTTGATCATTTTTCAGATTTTACTTGGTAACTATTATCATTACCTAGGCTCAGAACCCTACATTTGTCAGATTTAAACTACATCTGCGAATCTTTTGTAAATTTATTTCCCATTCTATCTTAGTATCATCTGCAAATTTAGTAATGATGCTTTTCAATCCAGTATCTAAATCATTTATATACTGTATATAGTCAACAACAGAGGTTCCAGGACAGAGCCCTGAAGCATTCCACCTGCAACTTTGTCCTACTTTGAACTTCCTCCCAGTTGTGCTTTGTGTTTGTTTCCTTTGAAATAACCAAGAGCTAATCCAACTTAGGACACCATGTTCCTTTACATTTATAATAAAGCTTTTGCAGACATAATATCAAAGGCTTTGCTAAAGTCAAGATACAGTATATACAGTATTGTGACAAGAAAAAATTATGCTAATACTGTATTGTACTTTTCATGGGGTCTAATTAATGGTATTAATGGTACCCACCTGGTTACCGGACACTTAAACGTATCACCAAGCTACATTGATTCATGAGCCCCTACTAGGGACCAAGACCAGAATCTGACCCCTTTACTAAAGGTAAGAGTGTCTGGGGCTCGAGGTTCAACCACACTACCCAAGAGATAAACCACCAGAAAGGTAGAGAACATCAAAACAAGCAACTGCATGGTAACCATGGTAATGCTGTCCCTATGTATATAATCATTACCCGCGACAAAATACTGGGCCATCACTCGTCTGCCCTACCAAGCAGTGACATTGGCCACCAGAGTGCTAGGGAAGCCACTGCACCCTTTGTGCAACCCCTGAACATCATAAGTCTCCACCACCACCATCTCAAAAAACAAGGGCTCAAACTCTAAGATGTCCAAACCAGACACAGGCTACATCAAATTTAAATGGATCACTGCTCCATAACACAGCCATTACCTGTGAAAGGGGCTCAGCTAACTCAAAAGTCCAGTGGAAACAATCCAAAATCCAACAAGATTATCACAGTGTGCCCTTCTGGCACTGAAAGTGCCACAGATCACTCAGAAAAGGCATACAGTGGCAGCAGGCTTGGATAGTACAGCCATTCCTGTCTCCAAACATGAACCAGCAGAGCAAAATACAGTATTGTATCTACTGGTGCAGACCAGCCAGGATGGATTACCACACCCCACAGAAGGAAAAGGTATGCTACTACAGACCCACAAAGGAGCGAAGACTCGTGCAATACCTGGGAAAATTCCCTCAGGGGGAGGTCTTAAACCTTCTTTGGGTTAAATGCAGGGGCTCTGTGAACAGCAATCAAGGAAAATAACCCTGATCTCATGTTACCGTAGCAAACACTAAAAGCAGGGCACACACAAAGGAGGGCACCACACACCCATGTGAAGCATAAAACAAGGAGCAAAGGCTCCTATTCCAAAGTTCAAAGGATGGCTAAGACTTATCTATACAAGCAGACTTGGGCAAAGGCAAAGTGGAATGGTCCAAATCTTGTAAATGAGCAAGGTTGCATCCCAAGACCAATGAAGGCTGTTACTCCCACATGATGGGATGCATGAGAGACTGACCGATAACATAAGATGAGCATAAACATTACATTGTTTCATCATTGGGGCATCTTGGAATGCAGCACAACATTAGAGTTACCATGAAGCAAGAAAGTAATCCAACAAGTGTAACTCACACAGAAACGTTGTGCAAGCTCATACAGCAAACCATGGTGTTGAATGCCTACTTTGTACAAATTAAATTTCATATAGCAGGAGCAGTTTGAACTGTTTTATTTGTCAATTGAGCCACCCAGCCTTGTGCTTGAACTGCACACCCAATAAAATTAGCATTATATACTCTGTAATAATAAACACTTCTTTTTATCCTCAGATTCATCAACATTATTGTAGTGGGCGTAAAGGCAGTGGAGACACACACACTGCTTCACCAGACATTACAGAACCTGCCATACCTCCTTATGAAGAGAAAGTTGGGGAGCCCATCCATTTGAAGAAGGCTAGGTAATTACCTCATTTTTTAATGCTTAATCTGTTTATTGTATCTTATGTTCATGTATGGTATGCATGTGCACAGTACCAAGAGTTAATTACTGTATCTTGGTTAGTTTTTGTTAACAACCCAATCAAATTTGGTTTACACAAATACTGTAATTGGAATAATGATATTCCTTTTGTTAGCAGTAATATGTATATATATATACAAAAATAAAGGTACTGTAGGATGAAAAGAACCTGGTGATCAATCATTACAATAGCTTTATTTAAAAGATACCTCCTATATATGACATAATTAAAATATTAAATATACAATACTGTACAATAGTTATATGTAACCCTACATGCGGTCTCATGAGTACTTGGGCATATAGCACATGCTGCTCTCTATAGCTGTTATCAGTACAAATCCTATAGCTGTTATCAGTACAAATCTTGTGTGTATAACTAACAAGTGAATCAAGATAATCCCTATAGGCTCTGCCTTAGATTTGCAGTTCAGGACATTATAAATAGTTTCTTACATATATCCTTACCTTTACACAAGTGAAATACTGTAACACTATGCAAGATCCCTAACATTAAATTTTGCAGTGAACTTTCCATATTAAACTTAAAGAGCAAATTTCATCTATACTTCTCATTATGTTCAAGTGTGCAAGAAATGTATGTAAAACCCAGATGATTTAGAATGTGTATGGATGTTTCCAGATCCTGAAAGGGCATGAATTTGCAGGAATTTATGCAGCAAAAATTATAATTAACACGTTCACTGCTTAATGCCACATATTCCGTCATAAAACCAAAATTCGGAGTATGCGGGATGACGCAAATGGTGTCATGCAAATTTTTTTTGCAATAGCTTATTATTAAGTATAAACATTGTGGGTGAATGAGTTTAACATTGGGTTGTGTGCTCACCAGGAATGCTCGGCCTACCTTCCAGTGCCCCGCCAGGCCAGCGAAAGTGTTAATACACAAAGCCAGTATATTCACAGCATGGAAGTACAATAGTACTAACAGTTATAACTACAGTATTAATAACTTCAACCATTGCAATTGTTTTGTCACAAAGAGTATCATTGATAAGTATATTACAATGAAATATTCATCATAACCAGAATCTTTGGATTTCTAACATACTCTTAAATATTCTTACTTCATACAGGTTGGCGTATAAGATATATATACTTTTATAATATATCCTTGTATAAGATATATATACTTTTAATATATATTATGTTACCAGTATTAGGCAATGGTTTTTTCTCCTCCAGACTTCAGTATCAGTCCAGAAAGCGTGGCATGTTGGAAAATGGCTTGATACTTAGTACCTTTGCACATAAATTCCTTGAAACTATGAATGAGCAGCAGTTGTCTATGTATGACCGCTTGATTAACCTTCCATCAAATGATTGGGAGATTTATTATTGGGCAACAGGTTGGTATCTTTATAAATTTATTACTAGTAGTTTTTAAGTTAAAACAATCTTGGGTGATTTATAATTTTATTGTGTTTTTCATACAGTATTTATGAAATTATGTAGCTGTGATCAAAATAAAGAAAGCAGTAAGCCAGTATGAAATTGTAATGAGATCCTTCGGATCTGTATCAGTTGGGCAATTCACCTAAAGTGGTTAGAATTTGTCTTATACCAATTAATGTTACATTCAAAAATTGTGTATAAAAATGCCAATCTAACAAGATATATTGTCTAGCTTCTAATAAATTCCAATAAAAATTTACATGTTTTACAGGCGTCCGGCAAACTCCACAAGAATTTGACAATGAAGTAATGACAATGTTGAAAGATTTTGTTAAAAATGATGACAGAGAGAACAGAACGATGCAGCCTGATCTACACTGAATTTTATTTATGTTTAGCTTACTGGAATGTAACAAGGACAAGGATATTGTACTATATCCAAGACACGGCAAGAACACTTGTGTAGGCAATAATTATTCTGCTATTACATCCCATATCTGCTTTCACAAATGTAGATTGCCAGTTTAAATTAAAGAGTAAGAAGGTATAATATAATAACTGTAGTGTATACACATATCTATAGCAGATTAGTTTTTGTAAATACTGAACAGGACAGCACGTCTAAAATAAATACATTAGTTATGATTAAAAATACTACTTTGGAAATATTAATACATTGTGCAGATCCTTGAATTTTACAAGACAATCATTCTGGCTTGATGACTTCCATCCATCTCACAGGATATTCAAAAGCTCCCAAGTTTCACCGGAGATGCCAATATGAGAGCAAAAAGACAAGAAAGAGATAAAAAGTATCAGATTCCCAAAATATTTTATTGAGGTACAAAATCAGAGGGACATTGGTAATGCAAGACTTACTATAATCCTAAAACTGAGGTTACACACAACTGTAAGTGGGCCAAGGATGAGCAGGGCATTGTTGTCATACGTGCCATTAGTTAAGCACATTTGGCCAAAGCAATTTCCTACCCCCCCCCCAATGATTGTGATAGGAGGAAGACCATATTTATGAGTAGTTTGTTATCTGTAATATCAATTACTAATTGTTCCAAGTTGCAGATACCCAAAAAAGTAATCACTTTACGAGATGACACAGTGACATAGGCACAAATTGCTGGGAAGACGGGATACCACGAGCGTAGCTCTCATCCTGTAACTACACTTAGGTAATTACAAATGATTTTCATAGCAGCAGCATTCACAGGGTCATTCGAGAACCAAAATGCTTGGGTCCCCATCGTCATAAATCTGCTAAAGATATAATTTTGCATAATTAGGCAAAGATATATCACTGGATAATTTAAAGTATGAAATTTCCTGGATAAATACCAGTTTGTAAATAGGGCTCTTGATGGAACATCATAATAATAGACAAGGCATTGACTGGATTGTTATATGGTAGAAATACTTAATGGATACTTATACTTAATGGAAGAAATTTCAGAATGGCTATTTGCCCAACCAAACTCATAAATGTTGAGCAAAAACATTTGAGTTCGGTAGGGCAAATAGCCCTTCTGGAATTTCTTCCATTATAACATCTTATAAATTATAATTAATAATTCAATTTTGACTAAACTTGTAATTATAACAGCTTTAAAAAAAAATCTACATACAGTATAAATCTAATGCACTCGTATATGCTTACCGAGATTATGCACAAGGAACTTGTCAAGTACTGTATCTCCCTGCCAAGCCCAGGAGACTGCACCACTATCAAAGTTGCAGGATGTTCAAAAGATACTAGATAAGCATATCACTAGTAGAGACTAGTAGACAATATAACAATGATCACCCTGTATATACCCGACACGCCTGTGGAAGAGAAAGATCAGTTGTAAAATAAAATAAAACAAAAAAATTCTACATTGTGCAAATAACATCAGAACTTAAGATAGAATACATCATACTTTTCAGCTGACACGCTGATATCATCATGATAAGGCTAATATAGCACAGCTTATGTACTATCACACATCCAGATCAACATTTCTTAGAAAAAACAAAAATGTTTCAGCACAAAAATTATATTTGTATTTGTACACATTTAGACTTCCTCCTCATTACCACGTGCCCAGATTTAATGGTGAAAAGAAATCAGCCTGGAGAAAAAAGGACAATTTGCATAAAGGTTAAAAAAAATTATTATTCACAATAACCTACCACCCCATATATTAGCAGTTATCCACAGCAGCACACCAGTGTACTGTATAGTGCTCATGAATTATCATTTAGAGTACCAACAAATACACTCACTGAATAACCACCTATTTCAATGCTTGGCTTGGTGATGGGAAGAGGGGGGAATCAACACACACACATTAACACCCTAATTACAAACTGTGTCCACCCACCTCTTGTACCCTACCATATTCTGCAAATTGTTCACACCTGATCCCATCCCACTCACCATCCTACCCATCCTGCCAGCATCAACTGTTCAATGACAAAACCATTTCTCTTATAAATACTGTACAGCCAAATATGCCACCAGCAACATACCCTCCACTCATTTAAGCCAGAATTAGACAAATTTTAAATAGAATATATATTATCAATTAACTCACCAAGCTGCATAATTATCTCCATGGTGTCACAAAGCTGGTCATTCACACACTGCAGATACTGACAAGACTTAAGGACCAATAACTTCTCAATCCTCCAAATCAAAAGAAACTTCTACATGTTCTTCAATTAAGAGTCCATTCTGCTGAGGTAAAATATAAACATTATCTGTCCAACTGGCAATTATGGAGAATATTTTAAAACAAAAATGTGCAGGTATATAATTGGTGTAGAATTTTGGGATGCAGACTTCAATATTCCCAATAAAAATGTACATTATTTAAAAATATTCATAGGAGGTTTAGAGTACAAATGAATAAGTTTGCTTTGAAGAGTACAGTAAATAAATTGAAGTCATAGGTAAATTTTTCTAATACAGTATAGATTCAAAGTAGTGCAACAAAATTCCTGATAGAAAAAAAAAATTGTCATTATAATTCACTGAATAAGAAATTTTTTTTGTTCAACAGGCTTAGGCAAAGCCTAAATTTGTCAGTGTGCACAGTACAATTGTTCTAACAAGGTGATTACTTTTGTTGTGGTGCTTAACATTTGTTGGTTTACATTAATCTAAATCACAGTTAATGATTTGCCAATGCATAAACTTAATTGGATTAGAAAAGTTGGAAATTTCTTTAGTTAAAACATTTGATAGTACAGTACCTTATATAGTAGTTTGTAATAGCTACTATATTGCAAATTACACAATGCAGTAAAAATATATCGTTCAGTGTACCACAATATTAAGATGATCAATGGTGCTAAATGTAACTTTTACAAAGGATTTTATAGGACAAGCAAATAAGAACACAGGGAAAGCAAGATTTTAGATTATCCAGTAAATATTTTATGAAATACATTACAAAACTGGACACTCCTGTTCAGACGGTAAAGTGCAGATGCTTGGTTCCATCAAGTGCCAAAGTTATTCACTTGTGGCTAATAGAAAGGAACAACAAAATTTAAGTGATGATAAAAGCATTACAAGAATGAAAAGTTAAGTTTTGGAGAGCCTCTAGGAAATAGGTACAGTAATTATCAAGAGGCGGCACCAAGCCAGGGAGAACAGTTAGAACTATGATCCTCTAGGAAATACTTACTGTAACTAGGAGATCCTGGGATGGAGCGAGGGATAAGGGCTTCAGAAACTGTTGTAAGTGATGTAACACAGCCTGTATAGTTTTTTTCACATTAACAAGGCATATGAAATCATCTTTACAATACCAAAGCAAATGGATTGATGGTACAATACTAGATGGAAATATTAAATGCTAAAATTCTAAAGCCAGAATAAAATATTGGCTGGAAGTAGAGCATAAAATTAGTGAATCTTGTCAAACTTGTACCATTTAAAGAATTTTATCAAGGTGAATGGTGGGAAAACAAGAATCCCTTCAAATAGTCTAGTCCAAATATTGGACCATGCTACTACCTCGTGTAAGCTAACAAAGCAATTAGGACTGACAGGTTCCCATTCCAATCGTGTGGATATTGTTCAGATCTGCCAGCACCTACAATGTTTCCCAACTCCGGTATGAGACTAGATAAATGAAGTGCCTATAAATCATAATGCTCGTCATAGGAATATACTTATACTTGCTAGCTAAAGCCTTTATTGAATGAATAATTATATTTTAATAAAAATCTTTATAATTGCTAGCTCTACATGCATTTGCTGTTAGGTATTGCCAGCACAACTTTTAAGTGCTTAGGTTTTAATTAGAATTGGTACAAAGGCACAAAGCCAGAAAGTGGCTTGTATCCAGCAGGATTTCTGGATATGCAAAAGGCATAGTTTAAAAAAATTCACAAGATTCCCATTTTGTACCAGAAATGTTAAGGCTGCATTTCTTATTTGAATAGCCACCAGCTGTCTCCAGACACCTCGGTAGATTTGAGGCCAAAAATTTTAGTTCCTTATTACCATTTTAGTAATTGGTCTTTGCTTCCTATATGTAAAATACACCTCACAGCCTTAGAAACAAAAAAGGCTACCATATATAAATTCTAAACATGTACTTCTACACCACCAATGTCTGAACAAGCACTTCAAACTTTCTAAAACCAGATGAAAGGCCGCTTTTGAAAAGCAGTAGTTTATTCATTATCACAAACCAATTTCACCCAGCCTTGTTCCTCAACATATCTCCTGCCTTGTCTACTCAATCCCCACCTCACATTTACTATGACTACCAATCTTCCCAGCCTGCTTTCTATATAAAAAGAAAATTTCAATTTCAATTCCACCAATTTCAAATTTGTCCTCATTTCATCCAGGTTTTAAATTCTGAAAATGAAACAAAATAACCTGCTGCTATTTATTAGCTTAATACAGACGTTGGGGTTTCCCCATTGTAGACTTTATATGAAGGGAACGAACATTTTGCCAATGCTTTTTAAGAAGCGATACCAAGAAGTTCATTGCAAGGTAGATGTTCTGAACCAGCTCATCAGCATTCATATCCACATGGCCAATTGCAACTGACAAGCACAACACCTGCAGAATTAAAAAAAATGTGATAAAAATGTAATTCACAAAATTGCAGTAAAGTCTTATCAACGAATCAGTAGAAATATGGCTTCAAGGCACAAATTGAGCTCAGATAATACATGCATTGCATCATGGAAATACCAAAGACCAGAGAAGTAAATTGAAAAACCCCACATCCAACCACCAAAGCTGAAAATGACAATTAACCCCACATGCATGACTACCACTTGTGAATCTGGTGAAAGTGGCAGTCATGTATGTGTGGGTAGACATGCTTAAATATAGGAAGAAAAAATGTACCATTTCAATCATCTATAAATTACATACCTTTTTCATCTGGAACTTGATAGTGGCCTTTATTTCATCAACCTTGTCACTCAGCTTTTCAGAGTGAGTGCACATAGTAGGGAACTTGCCGGCCTTGTTAAGACCAGGACCCAACAGACGAGGAATCTGCTTAATCAGGGCATCAGATGCAATAAAAGCATCATATTTCTTGGCTGTTGGAAGAATAGGGCTTTTAAGTTATAACAAAAAAATAACAGCATAAAACTAAGACACTAGATTATCTTCAGAGTGAGCTGAGTGGTAACATCAGTGATCAGTAAAATCAATTCATCATACAAATATACAATTTAATTTTAGTTTACTATCTGCAATTATACAAAAACATTATACTTTTATTGAAATAAATCAAGTGGTGCAATGGTCACTGGGAGCAAAATGTTCAACCAAATACATCTCCCAGATATTTTATATAAACCCCTTAAGACATTAAAATCTTTTTTAATTTAACCAAATGTTACAGCAAAGCTAAATAAATTTTTGAAATTATATTTGCTGAATGTGAATGTGAATCAAACATATGAATGTTTGGAGGTAGATTCGTAACATTTCATTGAATTACATTTGGTAACTAACAAGTACTTAGTATGTTTTAACACTTGCATTTACAAACCCTATTATTCATAGGCTGACCTTGCCTAGTTATTTTCCATATCCCCATACTGCCATTTTATCAGATTTAATCCTTAACTTATAATTAAGTTACTTTGCTGCAAACTATTTTTACAACTTTAGTTAGCAGGGCATGTATTTGAGCAATTTAATTTCATTTACCACTTGCTCAAATACAAATATTTATATTTCTGCAAAATCATTTTTAAACAATTCAGAAATAACTTCAGAAAACGTGGATAACTAATGAGCAACAATGATAATGACTAGTGAAAATATTCAAGGTAATTTTAGATGGTAGAATAGGAACAGCACTGAACATTACTCAACATTTCATGCATTATTAAGTGCAAATGCAATATGGGTATTGCATATTTAAATTGTAGTTCTAGATAATCTCATTCTTTCCAGTTCCCCATAATGCAGTTATCCAATGTGTACACACCTTTGCTGTTAATGCTATAATTATATCCATTACCTATTTTTATTTTTTAAGTCATGTGTCTTCCACAGTATTATAAACAAAATTGCAAATTCTGATGAAGTTGCAATTTAATGATGTTCGCATTTTAAGGGTTCAACAGTAAGTACAACAAAACTACCACATGCAGAGGCACCATGCGTCATACAGACGAGGCAAACAATTATATTGCACCACAATCTTCCTTGAAGAACCTAGCTTAGATATTGATATTTAATTCTTATTATTATTTACTGGGTATTAATAATACTGTAGTACAGTATTCCAAAGAAAAATTGCCTAATTTCACAGGACACACATGTACAACTCACCTAGTTTTTTAACAAGTTTCTTGTCCTTGTTTAGCTTCTTGAGGTCATCAGCCGACATGCATGGTAAATCATTTTCACCCGCTTCATCTATGTGCATCTGGTCCCCAAGAACGCATACCTTCATCTTTGGCTTGGGAATGTGCTTCAACCTACCAGTAGATTAAATAATGTTATCCTATGCCAAACTCCTTCACATACAGTTCTCAAACATTAAAAAATAAAACTATTGAAACCTCAAATTATTCATATGCTTACCACCTATACTAATATTTAATGTGATTAAAACATGTCTAAGAACATGCTAAATAAGCAGTAACCATGAATTGGTCCATTGAATTAGTTGATGCCACCCAAAAGCTTCTTAAAATTAAGTAAAATATTTTCCCCATTTTCCTATTACTTTAATAAATGGAATCTGCAAAATTACATTGCCAAACGTCCACTGTCCTAATGATTCCCCACCCAGCTTACTTTCAACGTTCACAAAAATAAAAGTTGTATTTTACTTAATTTTTGCAAGCAAATGTATTAACCCGTTTTTCACATTAGCAGAGCGATACATTGAATGATAGCCACAAATAAAAAAAAATTGTCCATTGTCAATTTTGCTCAAATGGTTTTGAATAATTTATTTCAAGTATTATTTCTGACTGCCAAGCTAATGGCAACATCTCACTTTTGGCTTTCTTTACAGCCACTGTAACCGAAGTCTTAATGCATTTAAACAGTTTACATGGAAAAGTTCCATTTACTTTCCTCAAAGTGAGTACCCAGAGATCTAGTCGGCCGAACCTTAACATTCAAGTATAATCACATACTCACCAACTTTCCTTGGGTTTACAATGTCTTCAGGCACTAAACCACCAATAAAGGCTAACGGCAAGTTACCTTGCCTCCCCAGTTATTTTAAGACCCTGGGTACAGGTCCGCCAAGGGTGACCATGGCTCCCTAAACCAAGCTGTGGACAACAGGGCACACCACCGCCAGACCACCGAACTGTTATACCTCACGAGCTGCTAACCAAATAAGTATTTAAAAAAACACCCTTGTTTCTCTCTAGGAATGCTATACATGATCAAATTAAATTTGTAATTTATTTTATAATAGTGATAAGTGATTTTTTTTTGTAACTCAGGTTTACCTCAGACCTCAGCATCAACACAGCCAGCAGCACCCTGGATGCCGATACCCCCCCCCCCCAAGTTTCCCCATTTGACAAACATCCCAAATTAACATTAAAACTAAACTAAAAATCTTGCAATAAATTACTCATATCACTATCAAATTTGAGCAAACTGACATTGATGTCCCCACCCACTGTACTCCCTAGTGTGCCCTACTGTACTGCTCTAGCACCCTAGCGTGCCCCAATATACCGGCTTAGCACCCCTCCCCCCACTGTACCGCCCTAGCATGCTCCAATGTACCAGCCTAGCACCTCCCCCCCCCCCCTGTACCAGCCTAGCACCTAGCACCTCTGGTCACCTCCGCTGGTCATGGCTCGGGGCGCCCTGCTGCACCACTGCAGGTCAGGTCAACTTACTTCACAGTGCCACTGAAACGCTTGTCCTTTTGGGGGTCATAGTTCTTCAGGCCAATCTGCAGCTCCACAGTCTCCCTGAAGCGCCTCTTGTTGTCCTTAGAGCCCTGAAGGGCGGCGTTGACACACTCGTAGAGCGTGTCGCGGCTCACCTTGCTGCAGGAGAAAACATTCACCTCAATAATTGTCAAACCCTAAAAATAAACATTTATACACATATCCACCACAAATGGTGTACAAGATGCTCGGCCCACCACCGCGACCGTCCCTCAGACTAGTTAAACATCACTTTTTACTTCAGCAGCTAATACATGCCATCATGGGGACCCGCGTGTCGCCACCACCTTATGTAGCCTCACATCTCCCCCACTCTCACTCATTTCCAGGGCTCCATCACACCAACAAGCATCAGAGCATTGCTCCCGGCACTATGCGAACACTATACAAGGTAATATAAAGTACAGGAAGTGTGTAAAACACGGGACAGACCTGGTCATGGTGCGTATCTGGCTGCGGCTCCCGGGGAAAGACTGAGCATCATGGCCGCTGGTCGGGGCCAGACCTGCAGTAAGTAACTCGCCATAATCTTTGCATTTTCCCGCGATTTCTTTTTATTACACATCATGCATCCCATATTTCTTTATAATTATTCTTTTTTATTTTTGTTTTCAAGTTTTAATATGTGTAAGTTTTGTTTAAAGTATATTCATGCGTGATACATATTTACTGCAATGGATACGTTGGTGGAAAGGATGCACGATGACCCGTGTGTCGTGTGTCCTCGTGTACTGTATGTAATTCTAATACATCTGTAATAAACACTTGAAAGTGTATTTAGTATCGAACTGAGTTCTGAACAAAATCATTTGCTGGCTGGTTAGTAAACTCTTGTGGTGGCTTTCGTAACCCATTAACTCCAATGGTTATTTTGCCGCGAAATTTACCATTTCATAACGCGACACAAAGGGATGTTTGCCACAGGGGGACCACCAGCACCACGGGACCACCAACACCATGGGGGCCACCAGCACCATGGGGACCACCAGTACAAAGGGCCCCATCAACACCAGGGGGTGGGGAGCTACCAACACCATGGGGGCCACCAGCACCATAGGGGCCACCAGCACCATAGGGGCCACCAGCACAAGGAGGCCCACCAGCACCATGAGGGCCACCATGCAGGACCATGGGGCCCACCAGCACAAAGGGCCCCACCAACACCAGGGGGGAAACCAGAACCAAGGGGCCCACCAGCACCATGGGGGCCACCAGCACCAGGGGGGCCACCAGCACCATGGGGGCCACGAGCACCATGGGGGCCACCAACACCATGGGGGCCACCAACATCATGGAGCCCACCAGCACCAGGGGGCCCATCACCTGTCTAAATACATATGTTTAAATGCATATGTTTATTATTATTATTTAGCCTTTGAATAGCCACACTTACCAGAGGGAGCCACACTGACCAGAGGAAACTACACTGACCAGAGGGAGCCACACTGACCAGAGGAAGCCACACTGACCAGAGGAAACAACACTGACCAGAGGGAGCCACACTGACCAGAGGAAACTACACTGACCAGAGGGAGCCACACTGACCAGAGGGAGCCACACTGACCAGAGGGAGCTACACTGACCAGAGGGAGCTACACTGACCAGAGGGAGCTACACTGACCAGAGGGAGCCACACTGACCAGAGGGAGCTACACTGACCAGAGGGAGCTACACTGACCAGAGGGAGCCACACTGACCAGAGGGAGCTACACTGACCAGAGGAAACTACACTGACCAGAGGGAGCCACACTGACCAGAGGGAGCCACACTGACCAGAGGGAGCTACACTGACCAGAGGGAGCTACACTGACCAGAGGGAGCTACACTGACCAGAGGGAGCCACACTGACCAGAGGGAGCTACACTGACCAGAGGGAGCTACACTGACCAGAGGGAGCCACACTGACCAGAGGGAGCTACACTGACCAGAGGGAGCCACACTGACCAGAGGGAGCTACACTGACCAGAGGGAGCTACACTGACCAGAGGGAGCCACACTGACTAGAGGGAGCCACACTGACCAGAGGGAGCTACACTGACCAGAGGGAGCCACACTGACCAGAGGGAGCTACACTGACCAGAGGGAGCCACACTGACCAGAGGGAGCTACACTGACCAGAGGGAGCCACACTGACTAGAGGGAGCCACACTGACCAGAGGGAGCTACACTGACCAGAGGGAGCCACACTGACCAGAGGGAGCTACACTGACCAGAGGGAGCCACACTGACCAGAGGGAGCTACACTGACCAGAGGGAGCCACACTGACCAGAGGGAGCTACACTGACCAGAGGGAGCTACACTGACCAGAGGGAGCTACACTGACCAGAGGGAGCCACACTGACCAGAGGGAACTACACTGACCAGAGGGAGCCACACTGACCAGAGGGAGCTACACTGACCAGAGGGAGCCACACTGACCAGAGGGAGCCACACTGACCAGAGGGTGGGGCTCCAAGAACAGCAAGATCCCGCCCCGACCCTGAGGTGTATTGCTGCCACCAACGACGGCTAGTTTATTGTGCTCCTGTCAGTAGCATTTTATTGTGCACGCCTGTGAGTACCATTTTATTGTGCACCCCCATACTCATCCTGTGAGCCATCTCTCGTTGTCACAACACTTGCACCTTCGGCAGTACCAGTGAAGTGGTGTATTGTTGTTGTTATAGATTCAGCTAGTCAGAACAGTTCCAAGTAGCACGGGCTATGGTGAGCCCGTAGCTAGCAGGAGCGGTGCTGTGTGATGTGTGGAAGTGGTAAGGGAATTATCAATTAAGTTTTTTTTTAATTAAGTAGTTTGAGAGAGAGTGTGCTGGGGTCATGATTAGTAGGAATTTAAAACCAAAAAAATCAACGCATAAATGCTCGAAAAAAGGCAAATTGGATATTATGATTTATTTCTATGGGCGTTAGCAATAAAACACAAATTCTGAATTCGCAGTACGTTAAAACTGATGATTGTGTCTACACTGTAGTTAATAACAATTTATTATATAATTATTATTATACATCAAACGAGAGTAGTATGTAAAGTTTTTCATCCATAAACATGAGGCTTGGTGGCTGGATGAGACGCAAGACACAGTAATGAGGAACAGGATCACTAGAATTGTATCTACAGTTAGTAACTTAAGCCTTCAAAGAAGTTGATTATAACCTTGGATTGCATATAAGCAGTCTGAGAACAATAACCCACCAAGAACTTCAACAAAACCTTGTAGAAATCTGAGGGAAAGTGAAATCGACACTAGTTCCATCTATCATCATATTATCATGCAAGAGGAGCCACACTTCTATGGTTCATCCAATAAAATCAGCAGACTGCTAGGTGTCACTGCTGTTCGGCTTAGACTCGGCTATAAGTATTTCTGGCATTTTTCATATACCTGCTGAAGTAGACCTGACCAAATGTAAAGTGTCAGCAAAATTATTCGCACACCCTCTGTCACTATGTGATGGAATGTGAAAAGATACGTGAATTTAGAGACAGCTATATAACAGGTGTTCAAGAAATGTAAATATTTTATTCAAAATGATCTGTTACTAGAAATACGAATCATATATACCCAGTTTACTAACTTTATGTAGTAAATGTGGGTTATTATAACCTATCCACCGCTGCCCACTGAATGGAGGGGCGGTGTGCAGGATAATCGTATCAATTATGACACTAGCTCTCCACAGATATAATAAGTTGATTCAGTTGAAGACTGTTTTTGGGTACTAATATAATTTGTACCCAATAATTGTTAACACAACAATTATATATAATTAATTTTGTAATTAGCTTATTAAATTAAAACTGTAACTTACTTAGCTAAATAAATTGTGTGGTTTAGTCCCTGAGCTCATTATGTGCCTCTGTAACCCTCTTCACTACAGCTCACATGATGGGTATGAGGTGAATAATAAATGAACTATATCCTCCCGCACAACCATTAAAAAAAAGGAAGCAAGGAAACTCAAGGATTAGATAGGATTATCTCTTTAGGATTTATTACGTTGCAGGTGTAAGGCGCATATTGGCCTTAACCAGCAGTCTCAAATTAGACAGTGAATAAGTTCGACGGAGAGCAAGTGGCGCAAGATTGCAGTTTGAACAGTGACTGCACTGTACGTGGGTAATTGCAGACGAAACAAATTTCGCGTTTTGACATCACGGATAGTTACCTCGGCCAGTTGCATTATTGCGTCGGCATTTCTTTCAGTTAATATATGTATTTATCACTTACATAAAATTGTATAATATAGAGTATAAATAAGAAGAGGCAGTTGTCAAGTAAACTTTATCTTGTACTAGAGAGATGTGTCAGTCTCACCCCACATTGCTCCTCTGTGCTCAAGTGATCCTTGGCCACTGCCAACTTTCTCTCAAACATTGAGTATAACTTACAGACTCATTCTTAAACCATCCACAAGACAGCTTTAATTATAATTATATAAAGTATATGCAATTATTCAGGCTAGGCTGTTGTTATACCAGAGGAAGATAGATATAGTTGGGTCATGTTGTGATGCATGGCAGGCGCTGGGGGTAGCCTTGGTAGGATGCCTGAGGGGCTCAGTAGCTCTTTCTCCCCTCGCCAGGCTCTCACTCCTTCACATATACGGCACTTACATCACCTTACAGCGAATCACAGAACCTTTTAATTAAGTAGCTGGAGACGACACCACTACAGGTTAGAATTAATTCAGATAGTCTTACAAGCAAGACATTCACAGGCAAATAAAAAAAATTTATTTGCCTGTGCAGACAGAAACATGTCCTCCAAGTTATGTTTCTGCCTTACAAGTAAGACTGGTTCATGTTGATAGAGTTTTAGTAAACATTTTGGTGCTTCCATGCACTACAGTTACATTAGTACAGTGAATAGTTACAATTTCATTTATATGGAAAACATATTATAAATTTTTACATCGAGTGCGTTTTTTGTTGCGGTTGCGCACCTGTTGAGTTCAACCAAGATTATAACTAAATGTGTTACAAATATGTAGGTTGTGACGTGGCAGTGTCACGTACTCATCCTATTTTGTTTTAATTTTGCCCTGGAGGGCAAGTTCAATTATTATCTTGTGAGCGAACACATATATCATGCATCCCATACTTAACTTTACTTAATGCATTCACTAAAAATTTTTACATAATTCTGCTACATACAATGAATTTAATATTACTTTTAATTTTCTGTCATGGGATGATAGAAGGTCTCATGTTGATTATTGTATCCTTAATGAAGACCTAGAACTGGTCACATCTGTGAGTATAAGACAATCAGTGATGGTGATAACCTGTTAGTCGCCTTCAATATACCTCACTCACAAGCTGCTGCCGCTGCCGCTGATGATAGCATCTTCCCTAGACCGCATTTATTCTAGACGAAGGCCACTGTTGCTGACCTGGATAAGTTTTAGTGCCTGCTTTTCCCAAAATACAGTAAATCTATCGAAATCATGCATGGATGATTCCTCTGGGCCTCGTAATATATTTAATGTTTTAAAAATAAATATTCAACACTGTGTTATATGCAGGACAGAAGCGATCAAAGCAGACTTAACAACAGCTGTCAGAGACACCCGTGGCGCAGCGGTTATAGCGCAGACAGTCCGTATGTCTCAGGTTTAATTACTGCGGCCGGGTCCGTATGTTTCAAGTTTAATTACTGCGGCAGGACACAAATGTTTGGGAAATGTTTCCTTTTATTTGCTCACCTAGCATTTACGCGTACCTGGTAGTTAGACAGCTGTTGTCAAACAAGCCAGATGTCAGCCAGTGGGGGGGGGGGGCCCTCGAAAAACCTGACGGCTTCCTGTCCCCGACGATCAGACACCAACCATCTTGCACCTACTGTTAGATATCTCACACTGTAACTCCATTAATGACTGAGAAAATTGTAAAGCTAAACAAATGGGAGTTATGATAGTTCCTTTAGGTTCCTTTAGTATCTGCCTTGACAACCTTCAACGCTGGACGCCGTAAATTTATATTTATATGTATTACTGGCGTTCTCTAGCATGGTACATCACTCCTTTGTACTTCTTCCCATTCCATTCAACTGTATAGGTCTCCGATGGGCCACCATTTGAATTATTGTATCTAAGCATGGAGACCTCATCTTCAGAAGGACTTGTATCTGATTTGGAGAAAGTTCAACACAGCGACAAAAATCATCCCAGAACAAAGTCGACTCTCATGCCAATTTAGTTGAAGTTGAGGACCACAGTTTTAACAACACTGCAAACTAGACATGACAGGGCTGATATCGAAATTTAAAATACTGAACAAATTGGAGGATATTAATCCAGACCACTTTAAAAAATCAGATTAACTCATACAAAGAGGAAAGGCTTCAAACTTTACAAGCCACAATGTATAACAGAATTCAGATGGAACCCATGGTACCGCCTGCCCGCCGAAGTCATAACTGCCGAAACATTGTTTTAATTCAAGATCCAGCTGAATAACATTAGTAGGACAAATGGGGGACCTTTGACAAGCCACCGGCGTCCTGTCCTCGTCGAGGCCACTATTAAGATGGTAGCTCTCAGGTAAATTTAGGCAAATATTTGGAACCAGTTCTAATATTTTCCAAATATCTATAATATGTAAATTCTCTAGCCTATGTTTCAGGGTGAACAATTTGAGGGGATTTAAGTATTCCCAATATTTCAATGTTTTATTTAATGAATTCCGGAAGTAAAGGTACCCAGCATATTCTCCAAGTTTGAATGAGACAGTTAAAATGCGACAACATTATACCTCAGACAATGTTATTGTCTTAATTGTAAAGACAATTGTTGTGTTGCTTGTTTAGGTTATGTATAACATATACAAATCTTTTTTACGTGTGTGTATACAGGTGTATGTGAGCGTCGGGACAAGGTCACCATGATGAGTCAGCGAACACTGATGATCCTGGCCCTGGCGGCTCTCCTCCTCCACCAGTCTGTAAGTACAAGCTCAAATATACTGAGAAGCTAATGTCTTGTAAAAGTATTCAACTTTGGTGTAAGGTATTTCTCATGAAGCTAAAGAGGCCCTTGCTTCTTTTAGGGCAGGCTTACGAACCCTGATGGTACCAGTGGTTGGGGTCTGTTCCTTCACGCCGTCCTCATAGCATAACTTTCAGTGTTCTCATAGCCTAGCTCGTAGTCTGTCGTCATATCCCAGCTCTTAGTCTATCGTCAATTCCCAGCTCTTAGTCTGTCGTCATATCTCAGCTCTTAAGTATATTTTTATATCCCAGCTCTTAATCAGTCATCCTTACCCATCTCATTTTCCTCATATATCGTTCCATTGCTATAACAAAAAGTCATGCTGGCTTAGCGCTTTCTCCCCATAAGTCTCAAAAACGTTTGGCATATTTTAAAAATATGAGACTACGTCCTCCTATTCTGCTCTTCTCACTCTATATTACTTACAAATGTATTCCTGTCCAACTTACGGTATCTGTGCATGGGACTCAACCACGGCCAACTACCTAAAACTCATCATCACCCAGCAAAAATAAACTATTAGAACTATAAAAATTTTGCCTTCAGATAATTCACAGCCCTAGTTCATATGCCTATACATGCTAAACATTCACTCACGCAACACTAGTATCTTGTGCGTTTTACGCTTATAAAGCCTTATTCCTCAATACTAAAAGGAATCACCCCATATATTTCACACGACTTCATGAAAATCGTATGGTGGTGTCTATTAATGCTAATATTTCTTAAAGCATTTAATAGATCTACCCCGACCAGTCTGTGTCCGGCCCGTACCCCCATACGTACCCGTATGAGGCTAGTCCAAAGCTAGCCTCTTTCCAGAGGCCTACAACTTTGGATAGACAGACATTGATTGATTGATGAAGATTAAGCCACCCAAGAGGTGGAACGGGCATGAATAACCTGTAAAAAGACAGACAGGCTGACAATCTCCTTTTACGGGCTCACCATAGCCCGTGCTACATGGACACTTCGTTCTGAGTAGCTAAATCTGAAACAACAACAACAGACAATCTCCCATATAGAGGTTTAAGGTGGGGTGGGGTGCACTGTCACTAGGAATCAAATAACCTGCAACCCCCCCCCCCCCACATAAATACATAAATATCTCCATACTTAACTTCCCCGTCAACCAGTTGGCTCCTACCTCTGGTACACTAAGCAGTCAACCTGGCAGTCCTGTATTAGTTAATTGCAGGCAAAGTATGATAGAATTGGTTGAAATTTTTGGCATGATCAGCGAAAACATTGTTCAATATCTTGCTGGCTAAATTTTTCACATACCATCTTAAGCTGCAACTTTAAATTATCATTCAGCTATCATGTTAGGCTATAAACTTTGACCTGTCAATTACAGAAACAGTCTGACTAGAAATCCAAGAGTTTGTTTATTAAGAAGTAACACATTAGTAATGAGGCTTTTTGTCATCTTATGAATTAAGTCATGGAAAGTAGTCGCATTAATTTAATTAACACAATTTTAAATAAATGTCACTAACATATTTTGAAAAAGACTTGCACTATATATCACTAAGTAACTAAGGCATTCCATAAATATTGGTAATGTTAATAGACGCAAAATTAGTGATAAATATAAAATGTTTCTTTTTTTAGACAATTTGAAAATATATTAAACATCTGCACATTAAAATATTAAATTGAAGTGGAGAAATGTAAATGTAATAATGATTAATGTGCCGGATATCAAACCTCGCAAATAAATAGTCATTTTTATTGGATAATGGAGACGTTTATATCAATTAACAATATTTATTAACAAGTATATTTAATATATATATAATACTGTATAATAAGATTAATGTATATAGCACATGTCCATGTACAGCAATGGTAAAAACGAGCAATTACACTTTTCATGTTAAGGCAGATATTATTTATAATGTTGATGGATGATAATAATTATCTTTTCATCAGTGCATGACTATCCATAGGAAATATTCTGTACAATTAATACAAGCAATAGCATATAGGCACTTGCAAACCACCAACAATGACAAATGGTCTAGATGTTAATGAGGAACGATTTAATATAATTGTTTTTTTTGAAGGTTATGATAATCAAGTGAGTCTGAAGAAGGCTCTGGTAGTAACGGGAGATGCTGCTGTTGCAGTAAGTCCCCTGAAGACCATGATGTAAATGTTCCTTATTCCTTATTGACGGAGACAAATTCCGGCTGGTGTAGAAATCATGAATGTTTTACCACAGCTGTCGCTCTCTTTATGTCTTGTGTGACAACTTTATGGCTTACTTATCTAGGCGGGTCTTGAGAGGAACATGTAAGGGACCTGAAGCCGGGTATCCTGATGTAGCCTTTGCCGAAAGTTTCTTCATCAGTGGCCTCATTGAGGGCGAAAGCCAGAAGCTTTTCGGTGGCCAGCGGATGCCAGCCACCAAAGGTACACATGGGGTTGTTGAAGGCGTCCCAGTAGTGGCACTTTTCTGTCTGTCTGAGTGACGGAACGAACTCCACCACACTCACCGTCTCACAGTGGGCCAGCATCAGCACTATACCTGTCATAAACACATCAGTTACATTATCTCTGGGTAAACCAAGAAACCTTGGTTCCCACATTTATAGTTATGCATTACAAGTCTTCTAAAATATATATTTATTGAACACATGTTAAAATACAAAATGTTTTACCGACAACATCTAGATATTAACAAATGTGAGCTTGGTAAACTGCTGGAACATGAGTAGTGTTGTGTATATACATAAGCTTGTGTGTGTGTGTGTGTGTATGTAACTATATGCATTTCAACAGCTTCTGGGCCCGGCCTTTCGCTCACCTATTGCTTTTATCATACCTGCAGTCGAAACTGTGTGGAGCTAGCCTCGACTGCCTTCCCTTTTAGCTCAGTCCATTTATTCTTAAAGTTAGCTTTCAGAAATATTTTGTTTATATTTCAGTGGCTCAAACAAATTTCGATTTTGCAACCATGCCCTCTTGTTCAACATATGTTCATGCTAAACATTTAACCTTTGTCCATTTTGTCTTCAAGAGCCTTAAATGTTGTGATCATTCTCCTTTTATCTATCTCTTTGTCCAGCATGGTGAGGTCTGGTTCTCTCCGCCTTCTCTGGTAGATAAGCTCTAAGCTCAAAGTAAGTAATTATCAAAAGAAGGTACCAAATTGGGGAGACTATGCAGCACCATCAGTGTCGTTGGATATTCAAAAAGTGTTAAATATGACTGAGGATGCCAATATCTACCTAAGCTTAAACACCATCCTTTATTGTCTTTATCTTATAAAGTATCTTCGGAGTTTCACATTGTCTCCTTGTAAAGTGTCAATTAATTTATTTTGTTGCCCCTCAGGTAAATATATATATACATATAATTAAGGTGAGCGACATGGAAGTGCGTTCAGGTGATTGATTGATTGGTTGCTTGCAGGTGAGCGGTACGGCGGTGTGTTCAGGGGAGTGTCAGCGGATGGACTCCACAGGCCGCTGCCGGACCCTGTTCTCCTGCGGTGCCACCGAGGTCCCCAGGGCCATTTCCTCAGTGATAATGATTCCCTGCAGACAGCGATGTTACACCCTAGTCCGCGGCCGCTGTCGCCTCAAGTTCTCATGCTTACTCGGCTAATTTGCACTTCCATGGCGACTATGGATATTTAACTGAATGAATGTTTATTTGGGAATTATTTAGACTAATTAATTCATATATAAATATTAATGTTACCAGATGAAACCTTCCCTCCATTTCTTTTGGGGCATATTTTCTGATTAATGTTACTGGAAGTGTTGGTTGCTGAGGATTGAGATACGAATTAGATACATTCTCTTGTGTAAATTACGTTTATGAAACCCTTTTTTTAAGTGCAAACCCTGTTCTGAAACTCTTCCTGGACAGATGTAATAGAACACATGTCCACCACACCAGACATAAATATCTCTTTGATATCCCCAGAGTCAAACTTAATCTATGTAAACACTCTATGCAAATTAAGGGACCTAGTCTATGGAACTCACTCCCTAATGATTTGAAAAGCTGTCCAACTTTTGCCTTATTCAAAAATAAAACCAAAAAGTACCTAATTTCATCTTCATAGTTTTCTACCAAGTGCTTTATCTTCACACTGTATCTAGTGCTACTCAATCCCCCAATATTTGTACCTAAGCCATATTACTTTACCATTGTAATCTTAGATATCATCTGATATCATGGTTGTTGTAGTGAGTGCATATTCTACTGCAATGATCCTCATATTGTGCTTCAGTGAACCAATGTATAACCCTGAAATGTTATCCTCATGTACCTAGTAATCCTTGTTTCTTTATTGTGTATTGTTAGTATTGTGTATTATTCTAATCTGCTTTTGTCAAAATTTGTCCAATGTACCTGTAAATTTTTTTTTGTCAATTTTACTGTAATTATTCTACTTAAAATTACCTGTACCTGTAAAGAAGAGCTGTAAAGTACCTGTAAACATTTTTTATCAAGTTCACTGTTAATTTATCTAAAATTTAGTTAACCCCCAATGTACCTTCTTGGTACATTGGGGGTTATTTATATTTATTTATATATAAATAAATAAATAAATAAATAAGGTAAGAAACTGAGAATGAAAGGACTAAAAATTACAAAGAAATGTGTAAGCTAACATTACTTAATTATGTAACATTCTGATTAAGACACGAGTTATATAGAAATATATACATATATATGTATCGATATTAATTATCTGATTTAAAGTTGCACTGAGCACATGATAATTGCAATTATATAGCTAATTTATATTAAAGTAATATAAATATAGGCCTATTTTGTTATTTAGAAAATTCAGGACCATACCTTCCAAAATGTTTTGTCTGGCCCATATTTTGTAGGCTGAAACTGAAATTATCCAATTTTGAGAAACTGTTTAATGACTAATGTAAAGGTAAATGACTTAAGAGCGTTGGTGTTATGCTAGACAACAGTGGTGATTTAAGATAGCAGCCTAGCATGATAATTCATGGTAGCAACTCTGCACGATGATTTAAGAGAGTATATTAGCATGATGGTTGAAGGATGTAACCTAGTGCTGTCACAGCACTAGCTAGGCTACATCCTTAAACTAACACGCTATACTGCTAACACCTCCAACCATCATGATTGGGTGCTAAGCTAATACTTATAACGATCATGCTAGGCTACTGCTTTCAAAATCACGTTAGGTAACTAACTCCTCCAACCATCATTCAGGCCTTCATCCCTCATTTTTGGCTACTATTTTTTTTTTGTCAAGCACAGAAAGTCTTGACTGTAAGAATCAAAGAGTTTGTTTATTAAGAAGTAACACATTAGTAATGAGGCTGTTTTGTCATCTTATGAATCAAGTCATGAATAGTAATCGTATTAACACAATTTTAAATGTCATTAATATATTATGCATAATAAGACCTCCACTATATATCACTAAATAACTAAGGTATTCCAACAAATATTGGTAATATTAATAGATGCAACATTAGTGATAAACATGATTTTTGTTTTGTTTAGATAATTTGGAAATATATTAAATATCTGCATATTAAAATATTACATTGAAATGGAGAAAGGTAATTGTAAGAGTATGATCACTCGTACAATTGAACACTGATTCACACTGCGGGGAATGTGTGAATACATACATGTATGTGTGACACTTAGAGAAGTGAGGGTTAGGACCGTAGGCATTCCCTAAACAAAACAAAAAAACCGGTGTTGAGGGAGGCCGGGTGGAAGCACTCACCGAGGTATGCCGGGAGAAGACACTCACCAAGGGAGGCCGGATGGAAGAAGCACTCATAGAGGTGAAGACACTCACCAAGGTAAGCTGGGTGGAAGCACTCACCGAGGAAGCCCGAGGAGGGCGGGTTGGGGAGGACATGGGTGTTGGTGTGGCGCTGGATGACGTCCCACACCCGCCAGAGGGAGGCCGGGTGTAGCAGGTGCATGTCTTCCTGCGGCAGCATGAGCCGTCGACGGAAGTACACTGGGAAGAAGTCGAAATCCGGAGCCGTGTACCACTGCCGGAAGTTAAGTACACTCAATTTACATTGATACCATAAATAAGGAAATAAGACAAATATAGATAGAATAATGTTTAAAATGGATGCAGGTATTGTTTAGAATCGACCAATATAAGGTGGCTACAAATTATTTTTACCCGAAGACCACCACTTACCTAGTAGCCTCGACAGGGACAGGAGTGGGGTGAGTGGGGGAGTGAGACAAGGGGTGGGTGTGGGGGGGGAGAGAGACAAGGGGTGTGTGTGTATGGTGTGTAGGAGTAGGATAACTCCCTCACCTCCTCCAGAGAAGCATTATAATTGCTTGGGTCCCAGACCAGTAGCGCCGTGCCAGAGTACAGCGGGGAACCCCAGAAGTCAAACATGGGCTTGGTCACCACCTGAGAGTTGACGATTCTCAAGGTTGTCCTCGACCCTACGTCGTGCTGGAAGCCCTCAGTTGGAGCGTGGTTGAAGCGAATGACGGCGTCATGAGAGTCTGGCCAACAGCGGTCAATAATAACACTCATTAGTAACAACTATTTTTTACTTAAAGGCACCGTTTAAATACGAAAAATACAGTCCACGATTATAAAGATATATAATTAAATTATTATTATGATTAGGCATATATGGAGATCAGACATTTCTTATCTTTCTCACACACACACACATATATATATATATATATATATATAAATATATATATATATATATATATATATATATATATATATATATATATATATATATATATACATGTCGTACCTAGTAGCCAGAACTCACTTCTCAGCCTACTATGCATGGCCCGATTTGCCTAATAAGCCAAGTTTTCCTCAATTAATATATTTTCTCTAAATTTTTTCTTATGGAATCATAAAGCTACCCATTTCATTATGTATGACGTCAATTTTTTTTCATTGGAGTTAAAATTAACGTAGATATATGATCGAACCTAACCAACCCTACCTAACCTAACCTAACCTATCTCTATAGGTTAGGTTGGGTTATGTAGCCGAAAAAGTTAGGTTAGGTTAGGTTAGGTAGGTTAGGTAGTCGAAAAACAATTAATTCATAAAAACTTGGCTTATTAGGCAAATCGGGCCTTGCATAGTAGGCTGAGAAGTGAGTTCTGGCTACTAGGTACGACATATATATATATATATATATATATATATATATATATATATATATATATATATATATATATATAGGCGTATAGGCGAGGCCACTAGAGTTTATGACCCTCAGATAAATTCATGTACATTTAGTGCACTGAACAGTCGTCCCAGTTCCAGTGCATAGCTCCAAGCCTGAATTCAACAATACCGACTTACCTATATTCATAGGTCTCACAGGCGCCTTTCGCTTGAGGCCAAGTGCATAAGCAAGACGTGTCCACTGCTGTGCTGACACTCCCTCTGACACTCCCATCTTCGCCACATTGTGCGAAGATGGTAGTGAATTTGCAAGAATATTCAAATATCAATCTTGTGTAATCTCACCAACCCATTGTACTTTCTTATGAATAAATTATGACTATTATTAACTAATCAGTATCTCTGTGAGACTGACCTATAAAGTTGCCCAGCTGGGCTCCCTTGATGGCGCCGGCGTTGGTGACGACGGCACACGTGTTGAAATAGCGGCCCTCCAGCAGCCCCGTGCTGGGGAAGTGCTTGGCCACCCCCTGCGAGGTGAAGGGCTCGTCCCCATCCCGCAGGGACCTGAAGGAGGCGCCGCGGAAGGCACACAGCATCTGCTCCTTGGATGGGTTTCCCCGGATTCTGGGCCCCTTGTAGTTAACGCCATACTTGTTCTTATGCTGTTTATGTATATTAATGCAGGTGTTAGTGTATGTTTATTACGTTATATTTAGAGTGCCGGTCATACAATACATTGAGAGTGGCTGTGGCATACATTATATTTAGGGTGGCTGTGGCATACAATACACTGAGTTAGTTATTGGCATATATTATGTTGAGTGTCTCTCATATATTATATTGACATCTGTTGAGTCATACATAACCCCCGCAAGCACAACTAGGTGAGTACATTATATTGTATATATATATATATATATATATATATATATATATATATATATATATATATATATATATATATATATATGTCGTACCTAGTAGCCAGAACGCACTTCTCAGCCTACTATTCAAGGCCCGATTTGCCTAATAAGCCAAGTTTTCATGAATTAATGTTTTTTCGACTACCTAACCTAACCTAGCTTTTTTTGGCTACCTAACCTAACCTTACCTATAAAGATAGGTTAGGTTAGGTTAGGTAGGGTTGGTTAGGTTCGGTCATATATCTACGTTAATTTTAACTCCAATAAAAAAAAATTGACCTCATACATAATGAAATGGGTAGCTTTATCATTTCATAAGAAAAAAATTAGAAAAAATATATTAATTCATGAAAACTTGGCTTATTAGGCAAATCGGGCCTTGCATAGTAGGCCAAAAAGTGAGTTCTGGCTACTAGGTACGACATATATATATATATATATATATATATATATATATATATATATATATATATATATATATATATATATATATATATATTGAAGTTTTCAGTTGCTTATATATATAATGAATATAATATACTAAGCATTGTTATAGGAACAAAATTTAAAAACACGAGAACAGACGGACATACACTCTCTACTGCACATACACTCTCTACTGCACATACACTCTCTACTGCACATACACTCTCTACTGCACATACACTCTCTACTGCACATACACTCTCTACCACACATACACTCTCTACCACACATACACTCTCTACCACACATACACTCTCTTCTGTCTCTACCACACATACACTCTCTTCTGTCTCTACCACACATACACTCTCTTCTGTCTCTACCACACATACACTCTTTTCTGTCTCTACCACACATACACTCTCTTCTGTCTCTACCACACATACACTCTCTTCTGTCTCTACCACACATACACTCTCTTCTGTCTCTACCACACATACACTCTCTTCTGCACATACCTCTACTCTCTACCACACCCCACCAATACAGAAAAGGAGCTTGGAGTCAGAAGCCATCATTCACTGAAAGTTGTACAACAAGTGGGAGCGGCAGTAACAAAAAGCTATCCAAACCCAGGTAGTGATTCAACTGTATAAATCTTTGATGCGCCCCACTCAGATTATTGTACCCAAGCATGGAGACCTTCTCTCCGGAAAGACATACCCGCTTTGGAAAATGTACAACACCGGGCGACATAATTCATTCCAAAAATGTGTCAACTCTCATACCAGGAACGGTTGAGGGCCACAGGACTAAGAACACTGCTAACCAGGCGTGACAGAGCTCATCTCATTGAAACTTAAAATACTGAACATTTTGAAGGATGTTGATCCGGACAACTTCTTCAAAAGGTCAGATGTAACAGAAACAAAGAGCAACGGTTTCAAGCTCAACAAGCCACAATGTAGGACTGAAAACTAGAGATGCTTTTTCACCCAGAGTTATTAACACCTGGAACTGCCTACCTGCCGAAGCCGTAAATACCAAACTCTGTTTAACTTTAAAATCCAGGTACACACACTCACTACCGGCGAACGGTGGGAAACGGCTCTGGCTAGATTACGTATTGGCCATACTCGTTTAACTCACGGTTACTTAATGGAGCGCCGCCCTGCTCCTTATTGTTTAAATTGCATTGTTTCTCTTACGGTCATGCACATTCTTGTTGAATGTCCTGACTTCCAGGACGAGCGTGTGTCTTGCTTTCCGACCGTCCCTCGCGGTCAATTGTCCCTCGATAGACTTCTTGGTGAATCGGATACTTTTGATATCGTTCGCCTTATGCGTTTCTGTTTTCGTATTGGCATCCTTTGTAATATTTATCGCCCTCTGATTACTCCGCACATTTGGTGGTGCTACATAGCCTTCCCGGTTTGGTACCTTCCTTTGATAATTACTTACTTACACTCACTACCATGCATCCACTTTCTATTGCACATACACTCTCTACAACACACACTCTCTTCCGCACACACACTCTGTGCACACACATACTCTCTACGCCACATACACTCTGCCATATATACACCATCTTCTACACATACACTCTTTACTACTCATACACCTTCGACCACACATACACTCTCGACTACACATACTCTCTACCACACATACACTCTTTACCACACATACACTCTCTACTACACATACACTCTTTACCACACATACACTCTACCACACATACACTCTCTACATTGTCTAACACACATGCACTGGTAAACACATGCTCTCTTGCTACACAAATGAACTCTGTTACACATATGCTTTATTACACACATGTGATCTGTAACACATACAATGTGTAACACACATGCAAAATACTACACATATATGCACTCTGTTACATACATCTGTCCTCTCTCACCTTGATGAGAATATTCCCCTCCCGCATCTGTTCTTTACGTAGTCGGACCATGACATCCATTTTATGCCTATCAATGGCCTTCAGGAGCTGCTCCCTGGTCATGGGCGTGGTGGTGGTGATGTTGGGGGCGTGGGTGGGCGAGCGTGGGGGCGAGGGCGGCGGCGGTGGCGGCGGTCCCGCCTCCTGGCGCCGGGAGTAGAATCTAGGTTTCCCCGCCCGGACCTCGATTTCTCGTACTTCTACATTGGGAAAGAGAGACAGTAGATGCAAGAGGAAGTTACCTACCCCATCTACATCTACCCCAGTAAAATACTTGACCTATTATACATATTTTAAACTCCAGCTCCGGAGTTTACCTCGAAGTTGGTAAAAGAAGGCGCAGGGACTCAATGCCCGGAGCCGCCATCTGAGGAGCTGGAGGAACTCGACAACTTACTATAATCTTCTTTGTACCTTATATGTAACTCCTTTTTTGTTGTAACAAAGGTGAAATAAAATATAGTACTTATAATATATATATATATATATATATATATATATATATATATATATATATATATATAATATATATATATATATATATGTTTATTTAGGTAAGGTACATACATACAAGAAATTTTTACAAAGATTGGTTGACTTATAGGTAGAGCTAGTACATACAATGCCTAAAGCCACTATTACGCAAAGCGTTTCGGGCATGAAAAACTTAAATGACAAGCTTAATACTAATTGAGCATAAAGAGTAGAATGAAAAACAAGAAATGAAAACATAGCTGAAAAAGCAGCACAAATACAATTATGTCGACAAACAGCGCTCTTTAAAAAATATATGCGAACAAGCCTGAATGGTCCCCAGGCATATATGCAACTAAAAACTCACACCCTACCCCAGAAGGATTCGAACCCAGATAGCCAGGAGCGCTATGCACCTTGGCGTACCTGGTACCTTAACCATACGGGCATAGATATTTCATCGAATCTTTATTATCGAATCATCGAAAAATTAGTCTCCGTGGTGTAGTGGTAAGACACTCGCCTGGCGTTCCGCGAGCGCTATGTCATGGGTTCGTATCCTGGCCGGGGAGGATTTACTGGGCGCAATTCCTTAACTGTAAGCCTCTGTTTAACGCAACAGTAAAATGTGTACTTGGATGAAAAAACGATTCTTCGCGGCAGGGGATCGTATTCCAGGGACCATAGGATTAAGGACTTGCCCGAAACGCTACGCGTACTAGTGGCTGTACAAGAATGTAACAACTCTTGTATATATCTCAAAAAAAAAAAAAAAAAAAAAAAAAAAAAAATCACCTCACTTTGTGGGGCCACGTGAGCAACACAAATGCGCATTTGTGTTGTTCACGTGGCTCCTTTCCCCCTTCGTCCCTTCTCTCGTCCTCCTAGACAATTTATTAAGAAGCGCTGAAACAACTCCATAGGTCTCGCAGAAAATGTATTGTTACGAAGCACTGAAATCACTGCGAGAAACATACCAAATATTTCACACTGGACGCCATGAAAATCTCACGGGGGGGGGGGGGGGGTCTATAAATATTAATAATAAAGTATTTAACTTAGGCCGATCCCAATAAGACTGTGGCTGTCCCGTATCCCTGATCATTTCCCCTGCATGTTCAGAACTCCAACCTTGGACAGATAGACAATCAGACAGACATTCTGGCACCCCTCCCCCCACAAATAGTGAAAATCTCGGATAAAGTGGGACTCACTGTTATGTAGAGCCGTGGCGGAGGTGTAGTTGGTGACGAGGGGCTGGAAAGTATTGGCGTCGACGTAGCGCCAATACTGCACCCACAGCAGGTAGAGGTAGGCGCTCATCCCCAGGAACACCAGGTTGACGAACACCCACACGCCCAGGCTCACCACCCGCATCCTCGTCCACACTACAGTAGTACTGAAGACCTGCAGAATATGCCACGCGGTCACGCCAATATCAGGTGTGTGTGACGTTACAATAGTGACGTCGAGGCATTTTAAAACAACTGTTTATCGGTTATTGTCGTAAGCTTGTCGACGAGTCTTATATCATGTAAAAGGGCAGAAATTTTCACTTTTAATAATCTGGAATCAAATTAGTTGTAGTTTAAAAAGTAGAGATGAATATACGTCAAGTAATTGCACATCAATTGTCAATTTCAAATTCAAGTAAGTTTATTGAGGTACAAATACACACAAAGGGATGAGGTAGCTCAAGCTATTCTCACCCCGTCATTGTCAAGTGTTCATGTGAATGAAGTTCTTATCACATTCAAAGGCGCATATTATTCTTCAAGTATTATACATCCACACAAAGACAGACAAATTATCTTGACTCTAAAACTGTTGCTGTGAGTTTTCCTAGACACCTCCCAAACCATGTCACCTGATGGATCCCTACAACACTACTGAGTGGTGACGACCTTCCCAATAATAATGTAGTAGTTACAACAATAACCCGTCCCAATAACTATGTAGTAGTTACAACATATCCTTCAATGTAATTATTTGTTTTTCTCCTTCCACTAAAACATGTACACATTTCCCAAACTTACATATTATTGTGCAATGTTTTAATTAAGACCTTAGGCCAGGAACGTTTTAGTTTATTCAACGTCATTTTACGGATCGGAATACGATCCGCCAAACATATATGATTCTTGCTGGGGGCAAGAGTGCAACCTGTCAGCTTACTGAACGCACTACGATTTTTACGCAATCGACTCCGACGTAAAAATTGCGGCGGTTTAGCGAAATTAAAAATACTGCAATATTGACGCTTCCTACGACTAATGAGTATCGACTTTGATAGGGGCTGGTTGTTGTTGTTGTTTTAGATTCAGCTACTCGGAACTAAAAGTTCCAAGTAGCACGGGCTATGGTGAGCCCGTTGTGGGCTTACCTGGCACAGGAGCTGAGCTGTTGGGGCTGGTGGGTAGCCTAGGTTTTAACGTGTTTGGTCTGTAGTACAGTCGCGTTCGTTCTCGACTCCCAATCGTGAATTCCGGGTTCGAATCCTGGGTAGGACAGAAATGGTTTGGCACGTTTTCTATCACCCCAAAGCCTCTCTCTGTTCACCTAGCAGTAAATAGGTACCCAGGACTTAGTAATTTGTTGTGGGGTTGCATCCTGTGGAGGGTCAGTAGATCGCCCTTGGGGCGGGGGGACTTCTATATAAGTCTAACGTGTATATATACACAGACTGCCTGTCCCCGAAAAGAATAATTAAACCATTGCATTTTTTTTACGGCGGGGAAATTGAGAGAACGAGTTGAAGAGCGGAGGAGCATCGCTCACCCAGACATTAATGCTCGCCAGAGGTAAACATAGGCTGTTCTAATACATTATAATAATAATAATAATAATATTGCGTTTTAGTTGGGGGCCGAGTTTTGGTTTTGCTACCCAGTGTTCTCTGTGTGGGGCGGGGCTGGTGCTTGTCACTCTGAGGGCCTCCCTGGGGCTCCCCATTCATCTACCCGTTTGCGTTGCCTTGTCGCGAGGCATAATAGTTTCCAGTGATTGGCGCCACTCGTTTCGCGATTAGGCTTGGCGTTTCTACGTTTCCGAGCTTAACGATTAACCGATCACGGGTACGCCGGGGCGCTTCCGATCCCACGATCTTCGTCGCCCCTAAATCAACAATAATAATAATAATAATAATAATAATAATAATAATAATAATAATAATAATAATAATAATAATAATAATAATAATAATAATAATAATAATAATAATAATAATAATAATTGATTTGTAAGAAGGCACAATGGGTTAGTGAGAGTACATAGAATTGGTATTTTTACATTTATGCAAAGCCACTAATGCGCATAACGTTTCGGGCAGGTCCTTAACCTAACATACCAGAAAAGATAAACGGGTACATTGTAGCAAGGTTTTTATATCAACAGATAACTACAATATATGATGACAGAGGTGATTACACTGGTAAGGATCCAGTCTTAAGTACTAATATTGGGGAAGTGGGTAGTACAAGATACAGTGTGAGTTTGAAGCACAAGGTAGGAAATTATGAGGATGAAATTAGGTAATGTTTTATTTTGATAGACTAAATTATTAAACCTTCACTATAGGTACATTAAACCCACACAGTGTATATTAAACTTTAACATTAGAACAAGGTAGTAGTGGGGGCCGGATTCTTCAAATGAAAAAAAAAAACAGGCAGGTTTAAAAGCGGGCTAACTTAATTGTTTCTATTTAAATATAAACTTAGATTTTTATAATTATTGGTTAAATAGATAAAAACTTTACCCAGTCTGGTTGGGTTTTAAGAAAAGATCCTTCAAGTTTTTTTTATTAAACCCTGCATGATTAGATACGTTAACACCTGTCCTCGTCAACACCTGCATCACTTCCCCAATCAACACATACATTACTTCCCATTTAACATCACTTTCCCGTCAACATATGCATTACTTTCCAGTTACATCTGTATCACTTCCTCGTCGACACCTGTATAATTTCCCCATCACTTATTCCCTTCTCTTCCCCATCAACACAGGCACTACTTCCCCGTTATTACATCCCCGTCAACACATGCATCACGTTCAACACCTGAATTATTTCCCAGTCAATACCTTCATCCCTTCCTCGTCAATACCTACATCACGTCCCTGTCAACACGTACACCATGTCCATGTCAACACCTGCATTACTTCCCCGTCAACACGTACACCATATCCATGTCAACACCTGCATCACGTACACCATATTCATGTCAACACCTGCATCACGTACAGCATATCCATGTCAACACCTGCATCACGTACACCATGTCCATGTCAACACCTGCATCACGTACACCATATCCATGTCAACACCTGCATCACGTACACCATGTCCATGTCAACACGTGCATCACGTCCCCGACAACACGTACATCATCACCTGGCTTCCCCCTTCAACACCTGGCTACAGGAACACGTGCAGCAGCTGACAACACAACACACATATGTACGTACGGCGATGCGGCTGTGAGGCGAGACAAGAGAGGCTGGTAGTATTGATCCAGAGTGACAGCTGTGGCGGGCTTCGACCACACCTCCACCTGCTCCACACTCCTGCAGTACCTATATAGCCATCATGTGAGCCCACAGCTCCATGTCACGCCTGCAGGAGCTCATAGATTACCATCATTGTGGCTCGCAGCACACACCACTCGGCCGGCTCTTCTCTGTCCGTACACTCGCTTGGGTGCAATTATTTTATGAAATCATTAAATATATATACATCTCTTTTTTGTGAAAGTCAGGTTTTGAGGTTCAAAGGCGTGATTATGCACAATTTTGTTGGTCACAATGGAGGTGCTTGCAGTGACAGTACCAGACAGAAGGTGAAGGGCGCGGCAGCAGCCTAGCTCCAGCCGGCTCGGGTCTTCCATACTACTGGCCTCCAGTCGACGACGGGCTGCTGGCGCACGGCCCGCGCCCATGCCACATGCTCTCCTCTGGGTGCTCCACATGCTCTCCTCTGGAGAAGTTGGGGATGATATATAATGATCTAAAATTGTTGATTTCAGTGAGATCACTTACCCTACTCGCTACTCATCCATGCGTAGCGAGTGGGGTAACGACGTAAATGTTCAAGTCCTTATGATAAGAAAATAGGGGAAAACCCTCCACTTGAACTCTTGAAATACTAGATAAACCAGATTCAGGGAGAAGTCTATTTAGACAATTAAGCTTGAGTTTTTAGTAATAAACCATAAAAGTAATCCTCCGAAGATTCCATTAATCAGAAACTTGGGCATCTGAAAGAATGGGGACAGACTTTTACAATATTAGGGAAGATTACAGAAGGCAGACGTCACGAGAGACATCTCCCGTCACGCAGGGTGCAGTCGCACCCCCACAGATCTCCAATATCAGCTCTTGATACTGGTAATGGCTCAAAAGGGCCACCACTTACGGGCTATTCATGCCCGTGCCACCTTTTGGGTGCCTTAATCTTCATCAATCATCAATCAAAGCAGACGTCCCTACACCGGCCATCCGTCCACTGCTCCTTATCAAAATTGCACGAAATGAGATAGCGCACCATGAAACACGTCATGGAGTCATGGAGGGGTAGAGGATAAATACCTTAACAGGTTACATGCGGTACTGAATACCGAATGCCGGGCAACTACTTATAGGGAATTATAGGGAAAAACGAAGATATGCTTTTAGTCTTCATATCTTAAGCCACGTTATTGTGACTCATCGTCTGCATTGGGCACTGCGTTAATTGTATGTTAAAGGTTTGAATGAGGCAGGTGCTAATATCAATGACCTCCTTTACCAGAAGATGGGCTGGTCCTATCATGCAGGTGCTCTATTATGAACACTGAGAATGATAAGCCACAGAAAGTTCACATTTGCTCTTTCACATGTGCTAACAGTAGAACGGTCCATCTAGAAGTGGCCCTTGACTTAAGCTGAGACTTTTCTACGAAACTTTAGCCTTTAATTTACCTAACCACCATCTCTCTAGTGGTCTTGACAGGGACAGGAAGTCGGCAACTTGTCAAATATCCCCCGATTTTATTATCATATGGTGGTCCCTGGGCAAATGTGGTTATTGCCATTTCCGATTTGAATTATTAGCGCAATTACATTTCATTGCTTACTGTACGATGTGATTATCGTGTACTGTTGTTGTTGTTGTTATAGATTCAGCTACTCGGAACAAGTTCCAAGTAGCACGGGCTATGGTGAGCCTGTAGCTTACCTGGCACAGGAGCGGGGCAAATAGCACGGGCTATGGTGAGCCCGTAGTGGACTTACCTGGCACAGGAGCGGTGCCGTCTGGTGTATTGTGTACTATTGGCCGTTATTATATAGTCTTTCCCATCAGTGTTTGAATGTTTCTGGACGACGTTACCAGAAAGAATAGCAGAAAAAAAAAATTGTGGGTCGCAAGATCTTTCTTTTCAGCTGTGTCAGGGACAAGTTTATATGTTAAACTAAACATAAGCATACGAAATACATTGTTGGCCTACACACAGTATTCAATCACTTTTTGTCAATTGTGTGTACATAAATTTATTATTAAAAAAATTATGAAAATTAATAAGTGAAGCAACGAACATAAAAACCATTAGTTATATTTAATGACATCAAATGGTTTGACTTTAATAAAAACTATAAGTTCTTGTTTGGTTTCAGATTCGAATGCAATAAACCCATAATAAGTGAAAAAAAACAAAGAAATATTTTGAATTTCTTTCCGGATTTAGCTACGAAACCATTTGAATACTTCAAAGAATGCGTGAAAATATGCACAAGTAAGTACCTGCTTTAACAAAAATGACTGTTGGGAATAAGACCTTATTAGTGGTCTGTGGGATTTAAATTAGTGGTCCGTGGAATTTAAAATTATGAATTTAGTGGTCCATGAGGTCGGAAAGGTCGGTGAAAGAAGTCTTTCACCGCATACGAAATACAAGTCAGAAAATACAATAGAAAAGTCTTTCACCACAACACCCACACAGCGAGGGTACCAAGCAGTTTTCGTCTTATGATTCAAACACACTATGGCGAGAATAGTTTATTAATAAATTTAATTATTAATAACTTTAATTATAAATTATATAAATTTGAAGAAAATATTAAGGGTAATGAAATACTGTAGATGAAAGTGTTACCCTGGGTAAAATAACTTGATAACATTAACATTGTAAGTTAACAATACACAACTTGTTCAATTAAAATAGATTTAAGTTTAACATCTATATCTGTTACAACATTTGTCCAAGATTGGCCAGATGCTTGTAGTTAGCCTCACACAATTTTCTGTGATGTGTGATTGTATTGCGAGTGTCGTGGAGAGCGTGGTTGGGGTTCAGCCCCGTGCCGATCTTCAAGGATGATTGGCTCCTATTGCAAGTCAACAACGTCTATGAAGTCTGAAATGGGGGTATGATTTTCCACTGAGCTTTTCAAAACAATTTTTGCTGTTTTATCATCCAAAAAACTTAACCACTGCAATGTTAGTTACATCAAAGCATGCTATCCATAACAGCATGCAGTTTGTTACCAGTAACAGAAGACCATTGATTCTGCCAACAGGTACGGATTGAGGAATGAATAACTGGGTAGAAGTCAAAATAATGAACACATTTGTAGGAAATGGGGCAAGTGTAGATAGTCTCCTTAGCAGCAGCTCATTTAAAAGAGACCAGTTTGGCTGGGAACCCAACAAACTCGACTGTCTTAAATCTGCTGGAGATAAGAAACAACCAATGTTTAATTTCGACTATCACAGGATGGACAGGATTAAAGAACTCCAAAGCCATGAGGGCACTGTGAGAGTCAATTGCAACAACAAAGGAAGATTGAGAGCAAAAAACAGTTGATGAAGGGCATACCAAATTGCATAAAGTTCTGCCGTGAAGATGCTAGTTTCCGAGGGCAGGCAACACGTATAGGTATAGTCAGGAAACACAGCAGAGTAGCCTACAACGTCGGCAGACCCCATCTATGAAGACAGAAATGGAGCGAGAGCATGAAGAAAAGTCAGCAAGAGACTATAGAACTAGGAGAACTGAAAAAGCTTTTGTCATGCAGGCCAAGGTTTTACAAATCTTAGGAAGAGGGACATGGAGGAGGGTCCCTCCATGGGGGCAAGGATAGAACGACATGAGGAGAAATATTGGCAACACAAACCGCGAGAAAGAGAACCTTGCAGGCAGGATAATTGTACAGAAAGGGGAAGGTGGTGAAAGAGAACAGGGCCCACAGGAGCGGTAGTGGTCAAAGTATGCCATAAGGGAGAGTGAGGGAGTTGTAGGGACCACACAAAGTAACGAAGACAATAGCGATCACAGCACTACAGAGCCCGGCCTTCCAGCATAGTCCGACTTGGGGTATGGGCACCAACCCCATGAGTCTGAGAAGTTAAATCGATGTCAGAGAATAGCATAAAAATGAACAGGTAAAAATTTTGTCCATGAATAAGCCCCCATATCCATCATGGAGCCACAAATAGAGGATAGGATATCCAAAAAGATGGGACCCCCAGGGATGCATCATGGATATACACCTTGCAATTGCCACCTTAAGAACCGTCAGTCTGTCAAAATCGGGCTCAGCATCGAAGGGAAATTTTGACAATAAAAGTTTCCCCTTGCTCGACAAAGTCAGGTACCACAGTTCTACGGGTGAGAGAATGTGCCTTCCCAAACACCCGGCATCAGAACAGAAGAAGACATCGGAAAGAATATTCAAGAATGGCAAAAAGTCAGCAGAACGGGGACAATCGGAAAGGAAAAGAGGTGGGGAGGAAAAATGAAAGAGGAGGAAGAGTAAAAAGCAACCAGCAAAATTTATGAAGACAGCAGCAGGAGCATAAGAATTCAAATGGACAGAGGACAAGCTGTCCCATAGAGCATCACACTACGACAGTCGCCCACCAAGCTTCCTCACGACGGCAATGGGCTGGAAAGGGAGGGAGCACTGGGTATAAAAGACAATGTTAGAAATATAAAAAAATATATATATATTTTGCCAAAATCCCTGTATGCCACAAAGATTATATAAAATGGATAAATTTACACGTTAATTAATCACATACTTTATTGAGTGGTAATTGAGTACAATTTATTGCAAATCTTTCGAAGTCAATTTTCCTGTCACTTCTTCCTCTTCACTGTCACTGGACACATCCATGGCTTTGCTCGTTGTTGTCTCTGTAATGTGCTTCTTTATTTTCATAGGTGGTGTCGGTAAGGCTTCTTCATCTGACTCAAATGGATCTTTTGCAACTTGCACTACTTCCATCAGATCCTGGAGGTCTTCTACAGGTTCCTGTGGAATTCTAAATTCTGATTTGTTTTTACTTTTTATTTTTCTCATGATTCTCTGCTTTAAGTAGGTTTCATCAGATGTAAGGCAATTGGTAAAGCCTTCTGGTTTGATCAGTGCTTTCCTCCTTTCTAAGTCTTCATCTACTGATTTTTGTACCATTTCAGCTGAAGCTTTAGCTTTAGAAAATGCATTACGAATGCAACCCATAATTTGTTCTTTCTGAAGTGACACTCTGCCTGGAAATACGAGTGAGGTTATCTCTCCATGAGGATTTAAGCCAACCATTAACTTCCCAGACATCACCTGTTGGAATAATAAAATTTCATAAATCAATTATCACTGTACTCTCTAATTCTAATTATTCTTAAAAATACAATATATATGCAATACTGTATATATATTTAAGAGCTTCGGAAATAACATTCATATTTGGATGGCGTTATAAACACAAATACACATGTTTACACTTGTTCCATCATATAAGCTGGGAGCGCTCACATATGTTTTTATGAACAGTATTTGCATTCTGTATGCATGATAAAATCGTGGTGTGTCCATCATATAGAGCATTTTTACCATTAAAAAGACCAGCTGCTAAGTTTGTTGACAAACACTAGTGACCAGAATGAGGAAACAGAAGTAAATACTCTATTCCTGTATAGCACTTACCGAGAAATATGACCAGGAGGATGATGAACCCTTAAATGGAGTAGCATTACTACTAAGAAATAACAATGTTTACACACCATTGTCCAGGGACATATACAAAATGACTATATTTGTCTCTCTTGTCCTTCCACAGCTTTGCTATCAACATCCAGAGGCTGATATTTCTATTAAATTGTTTGTTATATACTGTGCTTGTGTTAAGTCAATAGAGATTTAATTCCTAATTTTCAATCATAAAGTATTATACAGAATGATAATTATTCTCAAATTTATCCATAGCCAATTTATATCTAGGTCCATCCTTCTCTCAACACAACCAAAATAGAACTTCCAATTGATGTTCTACCCATCATTTCCAGCTGACCAGTGAGAATGCAGGACCAGATTAATCTGTCAAGAGGATGGGATAACCACCTCACAGTTCAGTACACCCTCATGGACAAACTATTACTAAATTCTTATTTGGTAATTCACTATCACTCTCTCTGGAGGAGACTAAATTGGACTAGGCAAAATGCATCAGGTCCAATCAAATTTGAAAATGAACTTTGAAGAATTGATTAATCAACTTCCTACTCAAGTGAAAAAGAATGTAAGATATATACAAAGAAGATTCATGTTAGAATCACTGACCAAAATCTTTTGGTTATTCAGTACAGTAGTCAACCACACGTTTACATAAATGTTATTATATCTATATTGAATTATTATCTATAAAGCCATTTTAATGAAGTACCATATAATCAAAGCCTAGTCTCATAGGAAAGAATGAGATAAAGGTGTTCTGGAATCATACTGATTGAGTGGGGAAGCTTCAAGAGTGTAGTTATTGTTCTGGGGGAGATGAGTGCTAGGGTGGGCTGTAAATGTAGTGGAGAAATTGTTGGAAAGTGGCATGTGTAAATATACTTTGTTTGAGCATAGGTTCATCACAGGTATTCATGGAGGCAAAGTGATGAAATGTTGCAAATTAATATGATTGATTGTAAACTCACTGTTTATTGAAGCTGTACAAGTAATGTAGTGTGAAAAGATGAGAGGTTTATGAGAGGAATGTTTGTGGAGTCAGATCATTATGCAGTGCTGTTCAAAATTAGGGTAAGTGGGTGATGGGTGCTTGAATCAGAGAAAAATGTATAGCAGGTGACTAAATGTAAGGAAGATGACAGTGGAAAGAAGTGTAAAATTTATAGAAAAATTTTGGTAATTTTGGTAAAATATTAAGATACCGTATTAGACGATTTAATGGAATGGGAATGTAAAACACGGTAAATATGTGTTTGGGAGCAGACAATGAGATCCCTAAAAAAAAAAAAGCGTAGTAAGTTGGTGAAAAAGGGAAGGAAAAGAGGCACTACATAGTTCACAGGAAGTGTCCTAGGCTGTTAACCTCCATGCTTTGAGGCTTTTATTGTGACATTCTGGTATTGCGCAAAAATTTAAGTGTTATTGTCTGATAACAAAATTATCTGATAGTGCTGAACACTTTTTGCACTTTCCAAAGTCGCTAATTTCGATCAACATTTGCAATGTTTTCAAAGTGTAGGCACCATAGAAATATCAGGAACCTGACTCATGACAGGTACTTGTTGAACTTATATTTGAACTTATACTTGTTGTACTTGGCTTGGAACAGCGCAAAAATGTTTCCAGTAATCCTGTATTACGTGTTCCACAGAATGTTTCATAAGCATACACAGAGCTAAGAACACGTACAATTCAGCCATAGTGGTGTCCTTTCATCATGTCATAAATGAAACAGGTAATAAGCCACCTACATGTTTGAAGTTTCAATGCATACATATTGGTTTCATCAGCAAAATGCAGTATTGCATGAATGGCTTATCAAAATACAGTAAGCCATAAAATATTCACTTTCACTCATATCTTTACCTGTATTGTATATGAGAAAGTGGGTGCAACACCAACATCAGTACAGTATCATCAAACTGTGATTTTGTGTAGTACAAAATTATCACAGTCCTCCCTTGTGAATTCACCCATGCATTTTGTACTGGCATCACCACCACTGGCATAGTAACACCACCTTGGAAGTCACTAACACTCGGTTCATCTATGCTACTTGTATCAGAAGCAGCATCACTGAACACAGAAAATTATTCATCTATAGTACTGTATCACTTTCTTCAAAAATTGGAGACGACACAGGTGGTGATAATAATGGTGAAGGCAATGGCCTGGGAGGCCGCAGCATGCCTGGCACTTGCCCTGTACTGGATACGCTTGATGTATCATCCTCATCATGCTCTATCACTTGTGTTAGGTCTTTATCATGCCTTCCTTCATCAAGATCACTACTCTTATCTTCTTCAAACCATAAAGTCTGAATTTCACCATAAGAGAGCGCTCTTTCGACACTGCGTCCGAGAGGGGATTCGGAGTCAGAGGCGCATGCACGAGCCATGGTTACCCACGACCCTGGGGCATACTGAGAATTTTTTTCAAGATGGCTGCCACTCACTGGAGGTCTCAGGCGTCCATCTTGTACCCAGCCTTCCGTGCGCGCATTTTGATTCTTAAGATATCATAACATCACTCCTGAGTCGGGTGGTGCCACCATACCCCATGTTATGTCAGTGCAGTGGTTAAGGAGAAAAGGAATGCATGAAAAACATTGCAGCAGAAGTATGTGCAAAGTAATGTGAGACATAACACATACCCAGTATAATAATTGCATATTTAATACTGTATTAATAAAACTGTTCTATGAATAAAATTTACAAAAATTTAGTTAAAAAATTCCTTACCCTTTCTTCTTTTTCAGTGGGATCCATAAGCATATAATACTTATCATCAACTACAAAAAATGCATATGTGAGGCAAACAGGCACTTTCTTCATGAATGTGGGAATAGGTTCACGCTCCTTCAGAGTGTGAATGGTGACACGCCCGTCTTCTTCTACTGTTACATCAGGACGATGAAAATGGCGTAGAGCCGCAACAGAAGCTATATTACATGCATCGCCTAGGTTACCTGCATGATTCAGAACCTGAAACAAAAGTTACATTTTATTAAAATTTAGCAGTAAATATTTTCTTCTCACCATTTTTGATGTATTAACTACTGTATAACTAAAATTAAAAACTGCATGACTTCAAAATGTATTATTCAAAGTAAATTAAGAAGCATCAATAGCTAAAGAAAAAATACTGATACATACCAACTCACAAGGAACAATACTAGTAGTGTCTAACGAGTTTTGCAGGGCTACATGCCGTTACTGATATTACAACAGTAACACAATAATTGGAAAACAAAAAAATTAAAAACATATGCACATAATGTAGTTTTCCCCCCTACCATTGTTTGAAGTGTACCTCAAAGTTTTTAAAACATAAAAGTTTAGTAGTGCACGCAGCTGACACAGAGTTGAAAACCAAACATTCTGGAAACTATTCCAGGATGACTTTTCCAAATGTACTGACCAGGATTCTTGGTATTTTCTGATGCCTTTATACTCCATCAATTGACTTCATGTAACTGTAGAATATACAGTACAGTGCAAACTTGAAAATCCAGACTTTGATATACTGTACTATAATGAAAACCTTGAAAGCTCTGAAAGATATGGCTACCATAACAATGCAGTATTTGAAAGTTCTGAACAGTGACCTGCACTTTCATGTGCGTGGAAAATTAGAAACATCCCAGCATCATTAATACAGTACCTTTCAAATGTCACCACAAGATCCTACTGGTACTTGGGGGAATATCTTGGGGTTATCTTGGGATGATTTCGGGGCTTTTTTTTTTTAGTGTCCCCGCGGCCCGGTCCTCGACCAGGCCTCCACCCCCAGGAAGCAGCCCGTGACAGCTGACTAATTCCCAGGTACCTATTTTACTGCTAGGTAACAGGGGCATAGGGTGAAAGAAACTCTGCCCATTGTTTCTCGCCGGCGCCTGGGATCGAACCCAGGACCACAGGATCACAAGTCCCGCGTGCTGTCCGCTCGGCCGACCGGCTCCCTCTGGAGCCGGTCGGAATACTGGAATACTGGAGGATATCATCCAGTTAAAGCAAGCTGTAGAAAGTAAGTAATTAGAGAAAGGAACTCCAGCCACAGGCCCTCAAGGTGAAAAAGTCTCAAGGCTTATGCAACAGTGTTTAGAAAAAATATGCATGAGAAGCAAAAACAAGGCAACAAGAAGCACAGACACCCACCCTCAGGACAAAGTTCAAAATAAAAGTTAACACTTTGCTGAAATATGAAGCCAGGAATAACTTTTGGCTCAAATATAGTAAGTGTTTTAAATTTCAAGTCAATATGATAAGGTGTTCTCACAATATTGAATTGAAAGCTTAAGAAAAGAAAAAGTAACATAACAAAGCCATTAGGAGAGACTGTTTAAACACTAGTTTACTGTTAATTAAGTTAATTAAGTTCATTAATCATTTTGAATCTAAAATGAGATAGTAAGATGAGTAGTTGAAACACTTACGTAAATTTTTCTTACATGTGGGTAATTTATTCATAACATTTGCTTTATATGAAAATTAATAAAGTGAAGAATCATTATAAACAAGGTGATCAACGGTACATACACTTTTTTAAGAAGTGAGAAGCTAAACTTACCGTGACATCCACTCGAATATGCCACACACACTCCTCTGCCATGATACACAGGGAGTCAAGATCAAGACACCGTGACTCTTTGATATTTCTATCCAGGATTAACTGCAACTCGTCAACAAGATCATTTCCTCTTCCAGGTTCAAAATGGGGTGCAGCCATGGGTGATAAGTGAACAGAAATTGATAATTTGCCTTCACTCGGTCGAGATGGCCTTGGCTCAACCACTTCACAAGTTACCTGTAATACAGTGGAATGTAATACTGTATGGAATATATATTTGTTGAAAAAAATCATGTGTTTACTTTCATGAAATGTCCCTTTCTGGTAGACTCCCTGAGCTTAGTCACTAACACAGATAAGCCTCAAGATCATACCAGGTGGAAGGTGTGGGAAAACAGGTGTGGAGGGAGGCAAGTGATGATGAGGAAGGTGTGGAGAAGCAGGTGTGGAGGGAGGCAAGCAATGATGAAGAAGGTGTAGAGAAGCAGGTGTGGAGGGAGGCAAGTGATGATAAGGCAGCCTGTCCTAAGATTTCCCAACGTCAAGAAAATGGTCCATTTAAAGTGTCCTCTTCTAACCTACCAGAGGACCCAAAACAGAAAAGGGACAGTACATCACTTTCGCAAGCTGCTTCCATTTTCTAGTATGACAATTTTTGGCCTTATGTAACACATACAAGTGAAAAGTGACATTCTTTGCAGGAGGGCAGGTTGGATGAGGAAGGTGTGGGGAATCAGGTGTGGAGGGAGGCAAGTGATGATGAGGAAGGTGTGGGGGAAGCAGATGTGAAGGGAGGTAAGTGATGCTGTGGAATTTTATAACACTGGAAACAAAATCAGCCGAGATAAATGAATGACTTGTTTTATCAAATAAGAACTAGGAAAGTAAATTGTGATGAATTCAAGATAATGTCATGAACAATTAAACAAAAAATATAATCTCCAAATTTTACCATTTTAAAACATTTCATTATTGTAGTTAATTAAGATACAATTTAAACAAATTGTAATTCTCTCCAGATGAACAGCTGAAAAACGAAGGATGATTTTCAGACATACCTGAGCTATCACTCTAGTCTGTCCAATGGTGGCAGTGCAGCATCCATAATCCTTACCAAAAGTAAGCGTTATGTCTCGAACTTCGAGAAACTCTCGGTTGTCATATCGAAGCCCAGCCTGAATGGTGGACACTATTGATGTTCTCTCGCAAGTACTTAATGGAACCTCTTTCATCTTGACTTGTTAGAATAGCAGCAAGCTGGGGAGATAAGTCTAGTTATAGTGATTAGGCAGAAATTATTCAAATTAAGTTTATGTCTTTCTGACTTTACCCATTTGTCTAATTATCAGTCCAATTATTTGCTCCCAGTCCCAACATATTGTAATGAAAAATGTTTGGTGTGTAATTAATTTAACACTATTCACCTAACCAAAACAAAAATAAACTTATTATCATACAATATTTATAACAAAAATATCTGAACTCTCTAACTACATTTTTTTTATTATTATTTTCTACCACAGACGTGGCCACACATTAAAAATGCTAACCAGCATATATACATTTTCTTCTGTCCTCCATGGACAGGGTGAGAGATTTGTTAAACATATAGTTCAGGGATTTATTGAACAATCAACCACAGAAGGTGATTGTAGTCCTTTTAAAATGCTAGGCTAAGCTACATATGTAAATACATAAATACACAGATTAACGTATGCCCTACAGTAGCCCTTTATCAAATAAATTTGCACACAAAAAATGTGTAATAAAAGAGGTTATGTGCAGTCAATTTTCTTACCCAACAGAAATCAATGCATTGGAAAATTGGATGCATTTAACAAATTCCAATCCAATTTTTTCTGATGCAATGGGTTATGTATCTTGATAATCATGATAAAGCCAGCTTAACTGATTTAGCCCACTAAAAATTACACAATATTTTCTTCAATTACCTGGATTTTAAGTTATCTGGACATCCAGAGGTACAAACCAGTCCAGAAAATCAGGGTTGCATGGTAATCATCTTAATTTTTATATTTAATAACAAAAATTTATAATTAAAAAAGCTTTATATTAGTATTAACAATGTATTTTTTCTGGATGATTTTGGTATCAAACCATGATACAGGTGGTGTTAATCTGTGCAAGTGTTGCATTCTTGAAAAAAAACAAAAATGTAAAGCCAAACTCGGGCAAATCAAACTCATGAGAAAACTAGGGTTATATTCCAGATACAGTACAGTGTATTGTACCTTCAAAAATAAACTTTTCTCACTATTCTCAAATAAATATGCACTATACCTAAACATCATTTGTTTAAACTTTATTTGATACTTTATAATCCTTACTTTACAGTTAACTTAACATTTACATAATTTACATGCACAAGCATGTAAATTGTATCATCCACTTTTATTAGCCAGTTCTTTATGTTCTTATACGTTTCTCCATTCAGCTTGAAACTTACACATCTTCCTTTTTATCTTCATTACTTCTATTGATGCAAATTCACACACAATAGGAAATTACCAGAAATCCAATAATTAAACATTAAAAACAATTACTGTATTGCATAAAGTAAATGAAGGATAATTACCATAAAATTAATATAGCCCTGGTTCTATGTATTCAGATAGGCCTCAAAAAGCCAAAACAATTAAAACCACATATACAAGGGAAAGGAGGATGCATAACATATATATATACAGTATATATATATATCTTGCATCACTGGATAATTTTAAAGCGTTGACTTCTGTGTGGAATGGGGGTTGGTGTCCACTTCACCAGAGACTGCTGCTGCAAGGACACATGGTACAAAGCTGCTACATTTGTAAAATTGCTTACTCAAGTCCTATAAGTTAACTTGTTTATTTTTAAGTGTTTACTGCATTAAACCCTTAAATTTTACTAATTTACAAGATGTTTCTTTCTGTTATTAACGTTAAAAAAAAAAACTTATGTACTGTTGCTAGAAGTACAGATTCCATAATGTAATAGTCTATGCCTGTCAGCAGTAGCACTTTTATATTGTATATCATTTGTTATACTTCTTTAACATTTTCACATATGTCAGAGTATTTATCTATTAGTACTGTATATCCATTTATAACTATAAATAATTTATTATCTAAATTACTCCAAACACTTTGCATGGTAGTGGCTTCATTTGTATGTGTAACCCCTTATCCCTACAATTGTCTTTTCCTCTTATGTTCTTTGAATACACATTTTCATGAATAAAAATTATTATTATTATTATGCAGTACTTATTTTTCTGTCGGCAAACAAAAATTTTCCTCAAGCAGCTTGGTGCTCAGTATGGACCTTGTTTGCTCTAACTATTAAATTCCAACAATAATAATTACAATATCCACAAATTTGTTATAATTAAAAACATTATATTATTTTGTGCTACAAAAACTTCCCAAGATAAGCTTTGCTCAAGTGTCTACAGGCGAGTTCTGTCACACACTGCCAGAATACTGAAGGGTGAAAGCCACCGACAAACAAATCACAAATTATCACATACAGGAATTTTCTTAACCTTTAAATTAATGGCTAATACAGTATTACAAAGTATAATTTTTAAAAATTCAGAATCTCTATTTGTGAGAGACTTTACACGAGCCAAAAGAAATGGAACTAAAAGTTTCATTAACGATTTTGGTTAAAGAGTTTTTTATAAAATGTGTAAATTTGTATTGTCTTTTTATATACTGTATTAATATTATTTAACTATAAATTAGAAGGAGCTTAACTATAAATTAGAAGAATAATAACTGTATTATTATATAATTAAAATAACATTCCCTCTAATGTGTTACGTGTGATTTCCTCAGAGGCTAAATGTCTCCTTCTTCTAGCCAGATGTGGTACTCCCTCCCTATTTAATGCTAACTATAAATTATATTTTTATATCCAAGTAACAAAAGGCAAAACTGTGTCTTCCATTTTCCAATCAGTAGAAATCTTTACATGCTAATCATGCCCATGCCACCTCCGAGTGGCTTAATCTTCATCAATCAATCAGTAGAAATCTAGTTAAACTATCTGAATGAGTGTATGATTCGGACGACATTTCAACTAGCTTCACTGGCCAGATGAAATTCGAACTTGTGGTAATTGTACCCTGATCTGATGCTGGCGTTATTGATACCGACCGGGCCGGGCCGCGGGGACACTAAAAAGCCCCGAAATCATCTCAAGATAACCTCAAGATGAGGAGAAGGAACGGAGTCTTATCCTCTTGTATGTGCTGTAAAAGCACATTTAATTAAAGTTGTTACTACTCCAAGTTAAAGTGATGCGTATGCATCCTTTACAGGTTCTCTGCGTTGCTGAGTTAGTTAAAAAAAAAACATTTACTATAAAAAGTAAAACTATACCAAATAACATTTGTTTCAGCTATGAACGTAGAGAATTACTTGGTGCATGAGTGTTTACCTGCTGTACATGAGCAGTGAAGGAGTTGTTGTTGTGTTGATTTAGGGGCGACGACGATCGTGGGATCGGATGCGCCCGCAGTGAAGGAGCAGCCACCACAACACATGTATCACAACACATCCGCTACCGTTCTTGTACGGCTATCCTACTCAATCCCAATCTTTCATGAAATCATTGTTCATTATTATTCGCATTTAAGGTACTGTCAATATTATTATTACTAATGGAACAATTGATATTATTGTGTCAATAATAAATTTAAAAAATAAACACTGATGTTTTCAAATTTTTGTTCACGTTTAAACTAAAGAACTGTTGGTGACGCTTATGACAGACACGACCGCCGGACCTTATGGTATATTTACACTAGAGGGAGTCAGCGCGTGTGGCTGTACTCACCTAGTTGTGCTTGCGGGGGTTGAGCTCTGGCTCTTTGGTCCCGCCTCTCAACTGTCAATCAACTGGTGTACAGATTCCTGAGCTACTGGGCTCTATCATATTTACATAATCAGAGCTTTAATATACCAATGTGCTTTAATATACTTACTAATCTCTCTCATCTCATTTTTTTCTTGCAATGTATCTGTTATCATTTTATTAATACTGCTAGAATTTACCTACTTAAAATTATCTGTTAGAAAAAGGACCTGCCCGAAACGCTGCGCGTACAAGATTCAGACCACAGTCTCCGTGGTGTAGTGGTAAGACACTCGGCCGGCGTTCCGCGAGCGCTTTGTCCTGGGTTCGTATCCTGGCCGGGGAGTATTTACTGGGCGCAAATCCTTAACTGTAGCCTCTGTTTAACTCAACAGTAAAATGAGTACTTGGTTGTAAAAACGATTCTTCGCGGCGGGGATCGTATTCCAGGGACAGTATTCCCACATGTGAAGGGATCCACATGAATCTTACTTTATACCCAGTTTTCTTAACATTCTCTCTACACTCTATCACAATATTCTGATATACTGGGCGTCTGCTATTTAAAGACTAACGCTCATCTGCTGTCAATAAAGAAGCAAGCAAGGAAAAATTACAAGATTGTAAATACTATGCTATGTATTCTCTCAAACCCAATGTACCTTCTTGTATATAAATAAATAAATAAATAAATAAATAAAAAATTATTTAAAATCAAAACAAACCTTATTATCTTTTCAGTGGAGTAAGAATTCTTATAGATATACAGTATTTCATTTTTAAATTGCATTGTTTCTTTGGACATACTTACGCATATAATTACTAATATTATATGACATATGTGTGAGTGGTGGAAGGGAGAGAGATATCCCGGGAGGGGTAGAGTAAGGGGCCAGCTGCAGGCCACTGAGAGTAGTCGCTCAGCTGATCCTGCAAGATGGCGCAGTCAGGTCGGTGCTCCTCTGGCTCTCTCACTGCTTTTATGCCCAATAGATGTTTCTGCGGTTGCCTTTGTCGTGTGTTCTGTGTACACATGTTTGTTAGGCGAGGCAGCACCCCAGACGGGCTCGCGTAGTCCACGCCTCTACTATATAATGGATGATTGTACCCTAGTCCCCGGGTTAAAGGTACCCGGTCAAATAATAAACAAGATTTTCGACTAAGCTCATTTTATAATTATTAAAAGAATGTCGTTAGGTTAGGTAGGCTTTGAAATTTGTGGGTGAATCATCTTGGGCCACGGAATTACCTGTATCTGGGCCCAATGCATCATCGGCCACCATCGTTAGTACAGTATTTTGATACAAAATCACATTTGATTTTATGTATCAAATGTATATATGTATACATTTGATACATAAATGTATACATTTATATATGTATATGATTCCCTCCAATTGTAGTGGAGTCAGCCTTCCTCCACACTATCAAATCAAAACTCATAAACGAGACTTTGTATTGAAGAAACCAATGAATTTTAAAATCTAATTTAACCCACCCTAATCAAAGTAACCCGACTCCTGTTAGCAGGCGTAGCTCTTCCTCTGGCATCTTGCTACAAAATACATAAAGGCTCGAGTCACTAAGCACAAATAGCTGGTGATTGTTTATGATTTTGTAATCAGTAATCACTGCTGGAGAGTCTATTTAAGAGTAATTTGGTGAACTCATTAGGAATAGTAACTATGATTGTTATAATTATTGGCTGTTACTATTGAACTCATTGAATTCAGGGTTTGCATTCATTTACAAATCTTGAGATCACAAGTATGTAGCATTGTATTTTATGTATTTTTACACAAACAGATTTTAAGTTTCAGTATTGGATTATCAATTTCTATAGTACCAGTACTGGCTAAAGAGGCAGTATTGGTATCTGTTAACCTGTTGACCAGACCACACACTAGAAGTTGAAGGGACGACGACGTTTCAGTCCGTCCTGGACCATTCTCAAGTCGATTGACAGACCGAAACGTCGTCGTCCCTTCAACTTCTAGTGTGTGGTCTGGTCAACATACTTCAGCCATGTTATTGTGACTCATTGCCTGCATCTGTTAACCTATTGGTACAGTCCAACCTTGATTCAACTAATTATATGGGACCAACCCCAATTCGTTGCAGTGAGGAATTTGTTGCAATCGGAGATACCTCTTGGATGCATTTCCCATGCCCTATGGGCTAATTTTGCTTAGTAAAATTTTCATTTTAGCCTATAATATAATAAACAACTACCATGTCTGCAAACAAAATTAAACCAATCTAGCTCATTTCTCATATTCCCAGTATCAAAACTCATTTTCAAAAGGCACCAGAACCATATCTAAGTTAACAGAAACCTTGACAAATCAAAATAAAAACAAACCATAGAATTTGGTTTTAAATATCCTCAATAACTTCCCAAGACTCCAACTGTTTTTTGTAAAGTTGAGTCCATCTACAAAAATAGTCAAAACCATAAGAGTTACCATTCATACCCTAATATTTCTGACGCTCTGAGGGCTGATTTCACTGAGCGAAATTTTAATTTCAATCTGTCATATGAAAGACAACTCCCAAGAGAACCTGTCTGTAAAGAGATTTAACTATATCTAGCATTTTCTTTTTCCTATGCCCTAGTCTTTAAATCTCATTTTCAAAGGAAAAAGGACCCACATTAATAAACGAAACTTCGGAATCTCAAAATTAAAATGAACTATAGAATTTGGATTTAAATGTTCTCAATGGTTTTCCCAGTGTCCCTTACTACTTTTTGTAATGTTGTTTCCATCTGCAAAAATAATTAAAAATGTGATTGGAGTCATAATTAAATGTTGTCATTCATACCTAATATTTCCCATGCTCTATTGGCAGATTTCATTGAATAAAATTATAGTTTCATCCCGTCATATGAAGGGCAACAGCCAAGAAAATGTCTGTAAATCGTTTAGGAACATTTAGCATATTTCTCATGCCCAAGCTTCAAAATTTAATTTTCAAAAGAAAGAGGGACCATAATTTATTGAACAAAAACCTCAGCAACTGGAGAAAAAAAACATAGAATTTAGTTTTCAATATGCTCAATGGCTGCCCCAAGGCCCACCTATTTCTTGTAATGTTGCCTCCATCTATGAACTCGGTCCCAACATCCTAAGCACATCCACACATCTCCTGCTTCAGCGAACTCTGGTTTATCTAGTTGGGTGAGTAAATCTTGCATAGAAAGTGTGTGTTCCAGCTGAGGATTTGCCGAATCGAGGTTCGTTGCATCGAGATTCCACTGTATTGATACACCTCTGATATCCTTATAAATCAGTAATATCTACAACAGTAATACTGATAATAACAACAAAATATTGTGATAATAGTCACAATATTAATAATTAAAACAGTAATAATTGACAATAGTAATAACTAAGTAACTAATAATCACAACTAACAAATAAAAACTGCAATAAGCACAACCATACACATAATAATAACCAAATAGCAACATGAATTACAGTACCCTGTTTGATTGATAATGTAATAAAATGTCATCATGAACCATATAAATACAGTAATGGCATTAATAAATACAGTATACAATACAGTACTGTATTTGCTTACCCTAACTGCTTTTTTTTTCCTGATATCCCAATTGAATCATTCATTACTAATGTGTTTTGGATACAGTAAAGTACTAAAGTACAGTTTTCTGATTTTTTTTTTTTTATAACACTACACACAGAAATCATAATAGCGCGATGCATCAGGATCCCAGATGCTGTCCTAATCATGACTGAGCTACCATGTCGTAACTCAGTCGATTAAGGCAGCGTCTGGGATCCTCTCGGACATAGGTACGAACCCTCGTCACGGCCCTTGTGGGTTTGTTCATTTGATGCATCATGCTATTGTGATTTCTGTGTGTAATGAAGTAAGGGCGAAGAGGTAGAACAACCTATTGACATAGCTCAGGGGAATTGCGTAAAAACCTTGGTTTGGTTCTCGAAGAGACTGCAGGATCCGTTGGTAAATCAGGATGTTTTCCTGGATGCAATTCTTTTACCATGTCGGAGCTCAGTCGATTAAGGCAACGTCAGGGATCCTCTCGGACGTAAGTTTCGAACCCTCGTCATGGCCCTTGTGGTTCACGTTTTTTATATTTTGATCATTCAATTAGAGATAACTCGATTGTTTCACAATACTGTAGTTAGTATACATTGCAAATGTGGGATTAAATTAAGATGTTTAGTTACATAAACGAATGTTAGGTTGGTGTTTTATTATTTATTATGAAGGCTAACATGAACATTAATCTCATGCAGCCATACAAAACACAACTAGGTTTAGATATCTCAACCAATAATTGTTATTTTCCTTGATGTATTATTGGGGCAATTTCTGTATTACTCTGGCAGTTTACTAATATTCAGCTATGTTTTGCAGATACTGGAGGAGTGAAGGCATTTCCCATTGAGGGACCCTTCAAAAATGAGCGAGCTCGTCTTGCTGGCATGACTGATGCTGATCGAGCTTATCGCAAGCAGTGGTTAAAAGACCAGGTAAATTAAAAATGTACAAATACTGTACAGTAAAATGATGAAAATTTGTAAGCCTATACATTATTTCCAGATATTGATGTTTTATATTCTGTGAATCATTTGGGGGATGCTATCTCACTTTCATACAGTACCATACTGTACAATATCCCTATTAGATTTTTTACAAATACAAATTCTGTACAAAATTTTTCTTGCATTATATATATATTTCAATTTAAATTGATTAGTGCTGTAATTTATAAATTTTGTTTTATTTATGTTATTTTCTGAGCTGGCCCACTCAGGAGCTCTTTCTGAAGCCAGTACCAAAATCTGGTCCATTAAATAGAGGGTTGGAGTCTGGGGCTGTTAAGACCATCGCTGTAAGTAAGAGGAATTCCATTAGAAAAGTAGAGAAACAAACATTTGCAAATGCCGATCCTCTCTAAATAATGAATAAATCAACAAGGGCTGTGACGAGGGTTCGAACCTACGTCCGAGAGGATCCCAAACATGCCTTAATCGACTGAGCTACAACATGGATAAGAATTGCAACTGGGAAATCAACTTGACCTACCATGGCCCTTGTGGATTTGTTCATTTGATGCATCACACTATTGTGATTTCTGTGTGTGTCTAAATAATGATTAATTGGGCTGAACCACTGGCTCATAGCAAATGCTTGCCACCAGATGACAGCCTTTTACCTAGATTCACTAAGTATTATGTATTTCTTTCTAAGCAGCTGTGTTATGAAGGTTCTTATGAACTCTGAACTATGCAAAATTCAACGTGTTTTTTATGTAGTTACTGGCAATTTTGATTTGGTTCACCTACGTTTCAGTAGGGGGGTAGGTGCCTTTTCTGCTGCACGCAGTCAGACTGATGTGAGGTTGGGTCATTTTTCAAATTGTTTTAGGAGGTAAGGCATTCTTGGCTTGGCCAACTTTTTTTTGTCTGTTCTGACCTTGCCTTGTGTAGTTGGGGAATGTAAGTTGCAAGTTGGTTTCTGCAGCTTCTGTTCTTTTGCCTGTCTAGTTATGGGGAGGGAGTGTGTGTTCTATACCTTTTCTCTTTTGTTGCACCTTGTGCACCTCTGGGGGTTTCGGTAGTTACAAAGTTTGCTGCCCTGTGTTCATGGACTCTTGCTCTAGGGTTCACTTTTTCTCCAGTGGTTCAGTGTGTGTTTCCATTGGTTCTGTTGGTCATGTGCTCTTAGGTTCTCATGATCCACTTGTTTACATCTTTGTCCTAGCTTGAGGTTTTGGTGCTCTTTGCATTCCAGTCCTTGGTCTCATTGCTAGGCAGCTCCACACTGGCTTGGAGTTAGGTCAGTTGCCCTGGGGCTCTCCTCCCATGTGTTCGCATCTCCTTTTCCTTCCCACAGTCAGTCTTCTTGGTGTTCTTCCTTATTCTTTGTGATGAGATAGCTCTTGGAGATATTGAAGGGGACCTCTCAGAAAACGTGTTAAATATGATACAAGGCCTCTTTCTGGTGAGTCCCTCAGTAACTCTACATTCCTGCTTTTACCCCTCTTCCTGTAAAACTCAAGGTGTCGTGCATTGGGGATGGGGGTGAATGATTAGATTGGCAGCCCAGAGCCCGGGGTAACCGGGCCTGTCATCTGGTTGAAAAGCATGTGCTACAAACCAGTGGTTCGGCCTGGTTAACAATTGTTTACATTGGATCAATATTGCAAATGTAAAACATTCAGTTGTCTGTTTTGGTGCACACTACCTTTCTGAAATTCTCTCTTGGTTACTATGGTCATCCTAAACCTCCCTTCCCTCCATTGAGTGGACTAGATTTTGGTACGGCATCTTTACTGGTACTGTACTTGTTAATCATTAGTTTGGTGTCGTTCTGTATTGAGGGTTTGAGAGGTATACCAGTATACAACTTGGGGAGCTACTGAAGGACTTGTCAAAAATAACCATTTCATAACTTTTTTATTTTTTTTTTTTTTTTTTTTTTAGATTTTAGCAGAAAGCGAGCCTGCCGTTGTCCCAGGATATTACAAGGCTCGATACAACCCTATCCGTCGCTTTTACCGTTGGCCTCTTGACACACTCTTCAAACCACTAGTACCTGTCCTGGTAAGTATTTGAACGCTATTTGTTTCACTTTGTAATAAATCTCAAATTGGAAAAAGAAAGGTGAAATGAGAAGCGAGACAAATTCTGATGGCAAATCATGTTATCTAATGATGTAATTTTTAAATAATTTTGATCTCACATCAGTGTCACTGACTTTTGACGGTGGTGCAAGTATTAATTTAATGTAAAAAAATTATTTTAAAGAAAAATATGAATACCTGTACTGTACCAGTATTGCATGCCAAAACTTTTTGTATACAGTTGCTTAAATTTTCTTCAAGTTTTTGTATTTTCTCATGGGATGGATTACTCCTTAATGTTGATTTTAAATATTTGATCTCCAGGGCTATGAAACTGCAGCCAAGTACCGTTGGTTCACAGGAAAGTTTGGCCTAGTATTTGCTTTTGGTCTTTCTACATATTATTACTTCAAATATAACCAGAATGTAAGTATTCCACAAAGGGTCAATTTCCCAGTTACACTAATTTTCCATTTTACGGTTTTGTGTTGAATCGTAAATATATACTGTACTATAAAGGCATATATTATTAAGCAGTTAATTGTTTTCTTGATAACAATTTACTGTGCATTCTTTCATAACAGGATTGGACACGGAAAGGTGGCTGGCGAGTAACAAAAAGCAGAAAGATGGTCACTCCAAATGACCCAAGATTCCCCATGGTATCAGATAGAAAGGAAGGTGCTGATTATGCTTCTCGGGAGTTTAAGTCCTCTCCAATTTGAACAGAGCTTTGTGTATAAAATCTAAGCAAAGGTATTTTGAACATTACAGGTTTTTTCACATAATAGCACAGCTCCATATTGGATTAAAAAATTTAGTGGCCAACAGTCATTATAGTTTAATTTAATGTAAATAGGTTGGGTGACATGCCTGAAGTAAATGATTATTATTACAGTATGAATTACATTCATTATCTTTCTAAGGTATCCTCATTTTACTGAAAATATGCATCTTATTTAAAAACAGATACTGTAGTACAGATTTAAATTAACGTGATACTAAACACTGGTATTTTCTCTTCAATCTCTTCTGAGAGGCAACATACTTTCAGAAAGAAATAATGTGCAAGAAATCAAAACCTTGATGATTTTACTTAGCACCTTGTGTGTCTGAACAATACAAATTTCCTAGATACCATTCAGGATGCCAATGCGAGAACAAAAAGGCATAAAACATGCAATGTCAAATGTATCAGATTCACTAAGGATTTTATCTAGGGACAAATGACTTAAAATGACCTAAGGAAAGTAAGGTGCATAATCCTGAAAATCTGGACATTATATAAGATGTGGGACACTGCAATTCTAACGGTAAGGTGCGGGTTTTGTTCTATTGTTGTCCCAAGAGTTAATTGTGTGGGGCATATATGTAACCTAGCCAGAGTGGTTTTCCAACCATTTAGTTAGTTCTAGGAAGGCCATGGTGATGTTTGATAGTACACAATTTGTTATTTGTAATTCTTAGCATTCTTATCCCTCTAATGGAGGAGGATCACACGAGAAATTCAGTTCCGAGAAGTAAAACCAGGTATAAGTGGTTTCTTATAGCAGAGGTGTCCCCGAGGACACCTCTGTCATTGTCAATATGGCTGAGAATCTAGCAAATAATGGTTTTGACAGCTGCTTCAGATGGGCGACCATTTGTCTTGGTCACCCCACCTCTCGTCTTATGCTACTTAGTCTTGTCTAGTACATCCTGGCGAGTCTATAGCCTCATACTCCTCCATTTCCATTCCTCTCGTGTTTTCCCAGACTCAAGTTATGGCTGTCCTGCTTACTCTTTTTCCCTCTACCCTTCATTGGGATTTCGGATCTACTGCATTGAAAATTCCCCCATAGTGGTGCAAAGATTGCAATTTTCCTCGCATAAAAACCCTGTCTCTGAGGGTGGCGCCTTTGGTGAGTGGCCCAATGACCTGAATGTTGACTTAAAAGTAAAAGGGTGCCTTCCTTACTTTGTGATAGGAAGGTAGCTATGGGAATAAGCAGAGTTTAATGATACCTGTACATCATTTAAGTGTAGTAGCTAACCATCTAACATTTCAATGGCTGCAGATCATCTGAAAAGTAATTATCAAAAGAAGGTACCAAGCCTGGAAAACTATTTAGTCAACTGACAGGGTAGAACTCCAAGTAAGGAGGATTGGAGAGTTACAAATGACATGTAATCTTAAAGAACCAGTGGAAGACAGCAGTCCCTTACTTGCCCATCACTAAATTTGAGAATAATTTTGGAATGTTGAAAAATACACATGTTTATGACCACTCATACAAAAATACAAGATTTTATAATAGTTTATTTACAGATATATATATATACATAACTTACAATACTGTAATAAATTTGTCAAAAAGTTATCTACTTGCTAAACTCTTCACACGATAGATATGGTATTAAAAGTCTCTTGCACTGAACAGCTAGGTCTGTGGGCAATATACAACGATAGAAACAAAGAAATAACAGTCCACTAGAATGGCAAATAGTTGGATTGATCATCTCCAATAAGACTAGTAAATCAATGTTATAATGCTGCATCCTTATGCCAAATGGATATTTATAAAAGCTAGTAAATTATGTTGGGGGGAAGGGGGAAGCCCTGAAAAATAATTAATTCCTGCACCAATGTTGAATTTCGTATCTAATCAAGGTAATATTACACAATTTTTTTTTTAACTACCAACATCCCTTATAATTAAGCTTAGTATTCTAACACGACTCCATAACTGCAACCAGCAAGTCATTACCTATGTACTCCAACACTCATATTCCAGCAAGCTGACTCCTAACTGTGGGATTACTACTGCCCATATAATAAAAAAAAAATCCTGTACATCTATCACACATGAAATAACTAATGCTGGATACACTGGTGTATCCAGTAAAGATGAGAAAAACTTACAAAAGAAAAAAAGTAATGCAGTATGAACTAAAATGTTCCTACTGTTTAGACTTGTGTATTTTAATAATGTAACATTTGATTATCTTGAAATATGTGCATCTTAACAAATACAACCAAGAAAGTAATGGCACTAGACAATCCAAGTTCTAAAACTCAGTCCTAAACAGCACAGCTACTACGTCTGACAGTGTCACATGTAGTAGCTTTTTGTTTTTTATTTTGGTGACCTTGAAATTCATTAAGTTCCGTACAAAAGTAATATTTGAACTTATAAATCAATAAAAATGGCAAAGTCCTTTACATTAAATAAAAAAAATAAAGAAGTTTGCAGAGGAACCAGTTCATTATTCACACACACACATGGCCACCTGCAAGTCTCTTCTTAGTATGGGGGATAATCCTCTACATGCAATGGCAATTACTCAAATTTGTAAAATTGTGAAAAACTTTAGTCATACTTCCTCTACAACACTAAACTTACCTCTACTTCAATAAACTACCCTTCTATTGCACTATTTCATAATTGACAGACTGACAACCCTTTTTGAGTCGCCACTCGGATATGAACACACAAAACTTTCAAGCACATATACTGTACCGTCATTTATCACCTTTTACCAACCAATGTGCAATTGAAAAAAAAGCTACCCCATTTAAAAAATATCAAATATGCCTTGTATCAATAGCAATCCAATTTTCTCTTGGCAGCACTGAATCTTGTCAACTGTTTCCTTAAAAATACAAATGTCAAGAATTTGCACTTCACAGCACCGCATTCCAACAAGTATTTACCTTTTGCATAAACATATTGAGTAACTGTTACTGTGAACTCTCAATACACACACACACATCTCTATCAATCAAACAATAACAAGAGTAAATACCTGTGCCCTTTCAATACACTTAAAACCCATTTATTTGTTGAATCCCAACAGAGTGAAGCATGCACAATATGCCTGACAGCAGCTAAAATATATATCTATGCATCCACTACTCAAAAGTGTACACAAAATGTATACTGGTATATATCCTTCAGTGACTGCAATTATTGTAAACCTACTCTACTCACAGAATGGCCCACCAAGCACTCTTAGTTACATTTCCTTAAACACAGATGCATTTGTATTAAATGGCTTCATTTATATTGTGTGCATTTACTTTAATAAAAGAATCTTGCACAGAGTGAGATCATGTGATTTACTGTAGTTTAAAGCAGAAATAAAAATTAAGAATATTAACCCTAGACACTTGCATGAGTACTGTATATATTCAAAACATTTGCAGACTGTACCTTTAGTTTGAAAGCCAATTCTGACAATTTTGATGATGCTATTATGCAATTACTCAGCAGATTAAGCACCAATTACAGTGATTCATAAAATGCAGCATAATTTGCACTTGATCATTAAACAATACTAATGTAGTTTAGTAACCTGAAATTGACAATAGTTTTGTGAAAAAATGTTATACACTACAACTCATTGCCTCAAAATTTAATACTAGTGTTAATTATTTCTTTGGAAGGCAAATGTGAAATTTCCTAGATGCCCAAACAATAAATTAAACTATTCGGCATGACAAATACTGTACTGTACTGACTTTAGGAACAGGAAAAAAAATAATAGAGGTGTATACAGAAATAATGAATTACCATAAGGACAAAGAATTTACTGTTACTGTTAACCAATCTTGTCAAAAATATTGCAACTGTTGAATAATATAGAAGACAAAAATGGTTGACAAAAAGCATTTTTTTGTCAACCAATGACAAAAAAATCTGTACTAAATTATACTGTACAACAAAAACTAAATATCTAAACAGTAATTTTGTAGAACACACAAACTAACATTGTAGGACAATTTACGTGAAACTGAGTAACAAAAAAAAAAAAGTGAAGTTCACAAAAGCTTTATAAATAAAGTTAACATGCTAATATTTGAGTGAAAATGTGTTTGAATGAAATCCACTGATGTTTGGATGAAATCTATCATGATGAGGGTTTGGATGAAATCCACCGTGAAGGGCTTTTGGATGAAATCCACCATGAAGGGCTTTTGGATGAAATCCACCATGACAGGTTTTCGGATGAAATTCACCGTGATGGTTTTTTGAATGAAATCTACTATGATTGGCGTTTGGATGAAATGCACCGTGATGGGTGTTTGGATGAAATCCACCGTGATGGGTGTTTGGACGAAATCCCCATTGACAGGTGTTTAAATGAAATCACTACGTGTAGACCAGTTAATGAGTTTGGAAACAAAGAATAAGCCACTTAGGATGGTTTTTTAAACATGGTGCATCAATTGTCTACATGTGCCAATTGACTACAGTATGAAGTGTACTGTACTTCTCATAGTTATACAAAAACAATCACTATACAACAAATGGCAAAAACAAGTTCTAATGTCCCGATATATTCGTGGAATTCCTGGGTTACCTTGAGCAAGGATTAAATAACTTAATTATTTGGCAGCTTTTTCATGATTTACAATTTACTGGTGTACATACCAGTCACGTCAAAGCACACATTACTGTGCTCAAATTATAGATTCTAAAATTTTATCTAGTTTTATATCGAGTAGCTAACTACACAAAAGTTAGATGTGTATAGTAAGGTTACTCAAAATGGATTTAATGAATGTGTACATAAATATACATGTTTGTTTTTGCATTCACATACACTGTACAGGAATGTACACATTGCTGGTATATTTATTTATTTTCTAGGCTCCAAAAAATGAATCGGTTAAAATGTTCACAGTGCTAATACTGTGTTTTGATGTTTATTTTAGTAAACCCTCTCTCTCTCTTTAAATGTAACAAATATTGGCTTTGTAGGAAATAAACGCAAGGATCAAGCAGAGGAAAGGAATAAGGGCCACTATCAGATTGCTAATAAAAAATTAACTTTTTGTGATTTCAAAGCATTGATATTTTACATAAATGATCAGGTCATTTTATGCAGGTTCAGAAAACCTCATTTACAGTAGATGTCAGTATGTAGAATATAAACTATTCTAATCAGGGTAAACTAACTACAAATCTAATTTCATGACTAAATACAATTTATTGTAGAGCATTCAAAAATTTTAATCAGCATTTAGGAAACTGCTAATAAAAGTTTTACTACATTTTTCTACATGCTTACACGTTGAAATACGTAAACACTGGCTATACTAGCCAGCACACAGTCCTGCTTACAGTTATCTTGTAATTAACATTCTTACTGATAATGTGCAATTTGATCATTAACCAAATTATAGACATATTCTCTACAGAATAACAATATGAAATGTAAGGAAGAGGAGCAAGTGTATAACCCTTCAGTGACAACGTTATCTAAAACAAACAATTGATTTTACAAACCTTTACACCTTAAATTAATTGTTCTTTCTTCATGTTCTGGAAAGGTTCAATGATGTGCTATATATTACAAGGGCCAAAACATAATAGTTAAAATAACACAAAAGTATAAAATATGACCTAAATGTTGCTTTAATAATAATAATAATAATAATAGCCATTATTGCAATTTATACCTCTTCTAGGAACTGATAGTTCCTTACTAACAAGACCTTGCTGAACATGTCATAAATATTCATCTTGATCTTGCCGTCCACCACACTTTTGTACAACTCATTTTTTGGCAGCAATCTGAAGATGTTACACAATCACTTTGTCTTTCATATCCATTACATAAATGTTTTAAAACATCAATCTCTGAAGGTAATTTGACAGCTACTGTGACTGGCAGTTATATCCCTTCATCTAAGATGTAATAGCAAATATAAGTTATAAGAGGAAGACAGAAAGAAAGATAAAAACAAAATTTGGAATAAATAATAAGCTTGCAAACCTTGAACAATCAGTAAGGATTTGAGTGAATAACTTCTACAAACAACATGGTAAATCAGTTAAGAGTATAAATGCTAGAAGAGAGAGAATACGATGGAAGTATATAGTAAGATAAGTCTATAGTTGTGATCCTTTTCATGTGGTTGTGGGTCGCTGCACAATGTCCTGCTCCAGGGTGAAGCTGTAGTAGTACTGAAAATAGCCAATAAACAAACAGCTGTTAAAATCAACTTCATTAAAACTTAAAATGCATTCTAAATTACATTATAAATTTAAACTGCTTATTTTTATAAAGAAGACTGACCAAGTCAATTATGCAAGAATATCTATCACTTACTGATACCTCCATTTACTGTTATTGTCACTACTCTCATTTACGTCTTTTATCACAACAGACTTTCTCAAGCACAACTGTGGCTTCTGTGCTCCAACATCTTTACATCACTAACTCAGAAGAAACACTCAATATGAAGGAGGACAAGACAAATTAAAAAACTATAACATTTACTACAATACACCACACTTGCAAAGGCATTCAAATTACTCTATTACCCAATAGTAATTGAAGTAAATAAACAATCTGAAATACAGTACTGTATATCAACACAGTTTTAGAGAGTTATGCAAATTGAAGAGAATATTCCCATGATGATGACAAAGAATTATTTTAGTACAAAGAGATGAAACTTAGTTGGTTAGTACTTACAGTGGAGTGAGTGATGGGTAACAGGTTGGGGAAGAATAGCCCCACACAACACTTGAATAGTCTTACAATTAGCATGTCATTAATTATATCTCAGTAAGAATTTTATGTAGTACCATACACCTTATATAAAAAAAAATCAGATAATGATAACACTATTGCACTCTTCGAACGGCTATGGTGTCTGATTTTTTTCTCTCGAGTCTGAGCATCGGATTGTGCTGGCATCCGATAAAAAAATATTTGTATAAAATTCATTTATTATCTGATCGATTTTGGGATAGTTTCAAGATGAGTGCCTTTAGAGTGCGCACAATTTGACACCAAAATGAAAGATGTAACACGAAACTTGATGTCAGAACACATGAAAGATTATAGATGCGTTTTTGGTCAAAATTTAAAATATGTTAAAATTCTATTTATTGTGCTATTATTATGGGACTAGTTTTAAAATGCGTGCCTTTAGATTGCGAATAATTTGATACCAAAATGAAAGATGTAACATGAAAATTGATGTCAGAACACTGGAAAGATATAAATAATTTTGTGATGATGAGCGTCCAAAATTAAAAAATTTGTTAAAATACAGTACCAGTTATTGCTCTATTATTATGGGAATAGTTTTTAAATACACTCCTTTATATTGCGAACAATTTGATACCAAAATGAAAGACATAACACGAAAACTGATATTATCAAACTGAACGAGTATACATATTAGGCTGCGGTGTGCAAATTGGTGCTCATACACGGGTAACTTTAGGCTTTGCCGCGGGAAGTCACGCTGGGCTTTTGGACATTGTATGCATATACACCTGCAGGGAATTTAATTGCGAACACAATGATACCAAAACGAACGACGTAGCATGAGAATTAAGGTGAGAAAACGGAAACAAGTACTGTATACACAATGTCGGTGTTGCTGCTCGCTCCCCCGCACGCTCGCCTGCACGCCAAGGGCGTGACCTCTAAGTTGGCGGCGCTCATGCCCGAGGCGCGAAAGTCTTAAAACTACAAAAAAAATTGGGTTCAAGTGTGCTTCTCTACAATTAAAGAGTAAAAAAATATTGATTCTACATTAAGGAGGACAAAAATTTGTCTGATTACCGAGTTAGTAACTAGTTTTTATTAAATTAATTACTGTACTGTATAACAATGTAGGCAAAAGAAGGACAAGCCAGTTTTTTTAATAAGAAACTGCTGCACAATACAGGTATAATGTAATTAATTTTCTATTGGTAACTAAGTTACACTTGCATCCTGATTCTGTGTAACAGGGCAACCCATATTCAATTCTGCTACTAATTCCATTGCTAAATGTATCCAAATTTATTTTTTTAAATGTAATAGAAGGCAATTATAGTAAGAAACACACATTAAGAAAATTAATGGATTTTTCCTGTGCTTCTCTCAAATCCTAACAGCACAGCCAGCAACATTAAACCTATGACAAGACATAGTGAAGAAGTTGTGATAATAGAAATAGAAGAAATACTGTACAGTACCTATAGTACTTGAAAGTGGAGCAAAATACAAGGTATGGCTACACCCAATTTCCTCTTCATTTAAAACAAGACTAAGTGAATACAAAAAAACACCTTTCTGAGCTGTACAATTTGATTATCCCCCCTCAAGGTAAGATTCCCTATATCCTCTGGAATACAATCAGGCAGGAGACATTCTAGGCACAAGTGCCATTGGGCACTTTGAACAGCATCTGCAGAGTCATTACAGAGTACATTACAAAAATACAGTACTCTAATCCATGCACTGTATCTGCATGAAGGGAACTATCGGGAGAAGGCGCCAAGCCATTACAGTATAGTGCTTTCTTGTGATCACATGGGACTGCCAAATAAGGTATAAAAGTGGACAATCGACCCAATGACACAAACCATCAAAGCAAGTAATAAATATTTTAGATACCACTGTGAAAACCCTGTTTCCCATACAAAATGCTTTGACATGTATCTTGACACAAATACAGTATAGCATTTGTATGAGCTGGGATATCTCAGCATTGGAACAGTAAAGTATAGCCCAAGGGTTGACAAACTGTGAGGTAGATTTATCGGTGAGAGAGCTAATTATCATTGGAGTGAGACAAATAGGTATACAGTAGTGTATGATGGACACCAGTATGTAGGAACCAAGTCTTAAAAGAAAATCAGACTAAAATATTTTTCTTTTCTTTTTTCTTTCTTTTTTTTAATTAAAAAAACATGTTTGAATGTAAAGCATATCACCCTAACTAAACATGACAAACTATTCCCTCTTCAGCAATGGATGGGATTCACTTACTCTTTTGCCAAGCTCCACAGAAGCATGTGACTGGCAGAGATGGAAGAAAGCAAAACTGTGTTGCATAAACAGACTTGGAGAGAGATGCAGTACTGTACAAGTATAAGAAAAAAAAAAAAAACATTTGAATTTAATGAAATGCCTATTTTTTTTTTTTTTATGGGTCCTTCAGTAGCTTCCTGAGCTACACTGGTATGCCTCACAAACCCTTAGTATCTTACAATGCTCTAATTTATGAGTGCTAACTGGAGATTAATACTAGAACTTGGTCCTTCTCAATAGAGAGAAGGAAAGTCTGGGAGTGTAGGACCACCAGAGTAACCAAGAGAATGACCACTAGAAAGGTAGTGTACCAAAACAGACAACTGCATAGATCACATTTGAAATGCTGACCCTATGTAAATTGATAACTGGGCTGAACTGCTGGTTTGTACCACCAGATGGCAGCTCTGCCCAGTCAGAGACATGGGGTGCCACCCCCCATCATTCACATAGATGCACACCATCATTCCCATTGGAAGAAAGAAAGGCCAAGAATAGGGTACTACTGAGGTACCCCAGATATAAGTGTTTCATTACATTCAATGCTGGTTTTCCAGAAGGGCTTTCCCTTGGTACTTCTCCAAGCTATCTCACCATGGAGAATAAACATCATCATCAGGAAGGCTTACTGTGAAGAGCAGCAGCATTATACCTGTCCTCAATAGACAATTCAAATGTCCCATTAAAAAATATGAGAGCCCCCTTAAAATAAAGATGATCCTGCAGCAAGGAAGCAAAAGCTGTAAACTTAAAATGTCAACCCAAATATTAAATGTTCCAGACCATAGGGGTGAAAATAACCTTATGTCCAGCAGGGATTTAGCCTAGCACCGTGACATTAAACACTAGGCTTAGTTTTGTTACTTGCCATATTGTTTCATCATTGTGTCCAACAACAGAGGGGAAAATTGTCTCAAGGTTCCATAAAACCTTCAGTACAAGATCTCCAGGTACCAAAATGATCTGTGTGCTAAATACACAGTATAAAAAACAGCTTGTCTGATATGGTGCATAGTTGCAAATGCTAATTTCACAAGCTATGTATCAGAAAGCCATAGAAGTGAGAATGTTCTCAAGAGTTAAGCCCTGACATTGAGAACAGGAAGTGAGAAAAATAATACTGTATGTTAAAGCATAGGTCACCTACACACTAAAAACAAACAAACTTATCTTTCTGCTCAAAGCCTGTGGACTTTGCTATGGACAGTCAGACAGTGAAGAGTAGGGGGGTCCGGAGATCATGCTGTGGCAACAGTGCTATCTGGCGATAGGTTGGAATATTAGGTTGTTTGGCAGGTGGGGGCTAGTAGGTGGAGACCTTGACTGGCAATCAAATGTGATTACACAATGGGAAAACAATTACATAGCACTGAGCTGTTATGGAATGTAAATGTCAATCTTTCTCAGCTGTAATGAGCTCATCCCTCAGTGACCACAGAGCACATTTAATGACCTTGCAGAAACCATCTCAAAAGTTGCATATAGTGCAGGTACTGTGAAAGTCTAGTGCCTAACTGACCATGATCCTTGTCCAGAGGACACAATATTTCTTACCTTAAGGTGCAACAAAATGCAATGTCTCAGAAAAAGGGGATTATAAGTTAATGGCACACAATGTAAAATCTATCACCATCTATAGTTTATCATTTGTTTACAATCTCAGTAAAGTAAATCTCATCTCCCTGCTATACTATATCTACTTATCATACATGTTGAAGCTGCAGCAATTATTCCTACCTCATCTTCAATTTGTTGTCTGCTCTTCTTGCTAATTGTTGGCAAGGTTACTGATCCATTATCAGAGGATTTCACATACTTCTTGTTTAGGACGAATGGCACACCGAATAAAGCTGCGAAGAAATAATTAGTTGTAAGATAATAGATTAGCAAATTTGCCTGCCAGTAAACTGACATTGCACCTGTGTCATGTGTGTGGGTATATTTATGTCAGAGTAGGCTGTATACAATATCTTGAAAGAAACCTTGTTTAAGATTTTGACAGCAATTTATGGGTACTAGTTTTGCTTGGTTCATGCAGGTCAGCGTTCAATCCCCGACCATTCAAGTGATTTGGCACCATTACTTCCCCCGTCCCATCCCAATCCTTATCCTGATCCCTTGTAAGTGCTATATAGTCGTGATGGCTTTGCACTTTCTCCTGATAGTTCCCTTCATTACCATTGGCATATTTCCTTTCCAAATATGACTATTTTTACTCCTTAACACAGTCCAGTATCCTTCCAGTTATCTGTCTGCTTCTTAATCTTATATAATCTACTATGCCTTCTCTCCCATCTCATCTTGGACACACTGTTGTTAAACAATCTGGTTTGTCATGCACAACTTTTTAACTTTACTTTCTAAAACCAGTTGACTTCTGTTGTTTTCAATAGTTAAGTTCTGTATGAATTTTTTATATTTTACTTCTCCATCTTCACTATGTTGCACTATACCACCACATCACAAAATTAAAGTAGCTAGGCTAAATATAATTTCACATATCACTAAATAAAATTTTCCAGTTTATATTGATTACTCATCCATAATTATTAATAAGTAATCATTGAATGCAAAGAATGGCACAAAATATTTATACCATTGGATGCCTACACATTTTTTAACGTCTACTTACTTGAGTGTCCAGTGCCATACAGTGTGTTAATGTTTTGACTCTCATGGGTTGGGGAAGCGTAGGAGGGCAGGTTACGAGGGGGTAGTGGGGGAGCAGGACCCTGGGGCCGGCCGGACCCAGCACCAGGTGGAGCTGGAGCAGGTCTGGTTGGGCCTAAGCCAGGGTACAGACCTCCTCCCCCTCCCCCACCACCACCTCCACTACTTCCTCTGCCACTGGGATCCACACTGCCAATACAAAATACAACCATTTATATATAACAATGTTCTTCCTGATACTGTGCATCTTAAACAATTTTGTCATGTGTTCTCCTACCAAGCCAATCTCTACCAAAATATGAGACATAATAGAAAGCCGAGGATGGGTTTGTTCAACACAGGAGATGTCACTCCTCACAGTTCAACATCCTTGTAACTGTCTGGTCAGTATCCACATATTCTTTTATTTTGGAAAAGGAAACATGGAAGGTATTTTTGACAAGTAATAACATTTATACTGTAAACTGTGTTTAGTTTTGCACAAACAGTAAATCTTAAAACATAACCGAAAACCTACAGTATGATGGGTAAACTAATGCAGCATGTTTGGCTATAAAGAAAGATGCCTATGTATGTTTTTAAAAGTAATTTATATTCCAAAGCTCAAGCATGTCGTGGCCTGACCATGCCAGATTTTCAAAGCTTGATTGTACTGTACCTATTAAAAGGTAATAAATTACTGTACTTTACTGCAATGCAGCATATTTTATGCAAAATAAAATATAAACAAAAAATTATTTAAAGCATTTATTATTTAAACAAAAAAGTTAATAAAAATGATTAATTAATATACAATCCATAACCTTATCTGAAAAAACTTTGAAATTACAGTATACTGTGCAATGTAAACTTTTTTGTGTGTGTGAATCTGAAAGCATGATGGTGTGGACCTTTCCACACATTTAATCACACTAACAATACAAAATTTTGCCTGAAATTTTACTGGTGGGATATGAGTACAAGCAGCAGTACAATACATGATAACTTTATTGTTGAGAAATTACACACATGTCTCCGACTTGAAATATGGTGAAACAGTGGTAAAGCATGCAAAGACAACCACATGTGGTAAAAGAAATACTAACCCATAGAGAAGTGGTGATGAAGCCTGTGCAGGAGGCTTATACTGTGGAGTGGGTGCAGGTCCAGGCTTGATGCATACACACAAGCCATTCATCTCTCCAACAAGTGAGAATCCTTCAGGTGCCACCTTGGAGCGACTTAAGATTATAATATCTGTAATGGTTTGTGTTGCCATGTTACGTGGTACTTGTTTGTAACACAGCTGCTTCTTCTTGAATGCCTTCTGATCTGTAACAAATTTAGTAATTATACAGTAATAAAAAAAATTGTCTTTAGTTCACATGAAAAGATCTTGTGCATGACCCTTTGTCAATCTCCAAAGTCAGCTTTGTCCAAAAAACAAGGCTTTACTAGTGATAGGGAGCACTCAAGAATATTCAGCCCACCACTGAGAAGCCCTACAGGAAACTCAGCAAGAACTCAACTCTTGACTACAACCTGGTGGCAGCACCGACATACTACACTAAGTTTAATTTGGTCCCCAACTTCACGATGGGAAATAAAACTCAAGAGGTGAGCAGGGAGTACCAGAACAATAAGCTTCATATGAACGTGAAGCATATTTTCTGAGCTAACTTCATAGATCACTCCGTCAGATACACGTCAGGAACAGCCAATGAATTCATTTCCAGATGACAAAGGAACAAGAGACTTATTCAATGAGACTGGTTCAATAAGAACCAGTCCAATGTCACATGCTGTAACTCCAGTGTGGGAGGCTTGGTATGTAACAGATTGCAAAATTATGGCTGACCATGAAATTCTCCCCGAACATGCATATCACAACAGGACATTGCCTTAAAGTTGGTGAACTTCTGACATCATGAGTTTGAGGATAAACCTGCAGTTGATTTGCTTCACCATTCATTGAAGCAGCTGAGAGAAATGGGCTTTAGTTCAGGAGACCATAGCTGGAGAGCTTAGAAAGAGCAACTTAAACCATGAATATTGGGAAGACAAGAAGTAACAATACATGACAGCAACTGGTCAAAGGGAATGATGTAATGTGAGGAGTTCACTTTTTGCCAGAAAGTGAGAAATCATTTAGCTAAAAGCAGAAGTCTTCCCTGTCAAAATATGTAAATACCGGATGTATATACTTGAAGCCTTGCTTCTCATCATTAAAGTGAACAGAAGCCCAGTCTTCAACATAACATCAGTAAAGGATGGGGTTGCACAAAACCTTTGTGCAGGAAATAGGAAATCCAACATGATATCCAAGGACCAGCAGGCTCCAAATCACACAATAAATGATGTGGTTACCATGGTCACCATATTACACAAAAATAATTTCAGACAATTAGAAATGTTCTTTTCATACTCACATCCAAACTCTTCTAAATCTTTTGGGTGTCAACTGCTTCATGATGTTCAAGAACAGAAGACCTAACAAGAATCCTCAAAACACCCAGTGAATAAATCTGCATAGTTATACAGCTATGTCACAAAGACAAAAGGGGACTAGACAAATGAGGAGAAATGTTCTGCAAACATTTGGACACACGGAGCAGGGTGATGGAAGGAGTGCAATATGAGTTTACAGGAAGACATTTGCCATACTGGAAGAAAAAATCATAAAGCAAAATTAGCTCCCATGAAGATACAAGAAGAAAAAACAAGAAAAGATCTGTGATGCTTTGTGCTCACCCCTCAAGAACAGTTTTCAGAGGAACATCAATGATACACAGGTAACCAATTCAAAAAACAAAAAATCTGCCAAGAGTAATCCAGCACAGAGGTGAAACCTGGGGTAAATACTCTGCTGCTGGGCACTAGTTAACAAGTGCTCATGTCCAGTGAAACAAAAGTACTTAAAGATAATCAAAAGGTACTAAATCAATTCTGACCACTAACTACTTGAATGAAATATGACTAGGCTTGAGACATCAGACGAGACATTTTATCAAAAGCAGTAATTGGTAGTCCTTTTTGATGCCTTGTAGCATTTGGAAGGGAATTGAATAGGTAAGAATAAATCTTCCAGATATCATTCTGAGCTGGATGAGTATTCTCTAGTGGCATCCTAGCAGCAGTATGGTAACACCCAGTATAAATGACTGAGAAGATCCATGCTGTGCTTATACAGATTCAGCCTATCCCCACTTATCTACATCCTATCAAGGGGATCAGTACAATCTTGCATTATGGAGTAACAGTACTACAGCTCAGAAAGAGATCTGAACTTTAACAGTATCGCTCTCCCGACGAGAGCGCCGCAGACTTTGACGTCATGGGGCCAATGGTGCGGGCGAGCGTGCGGCGACGCCCAAATGTTTATACTCGTTTCAGTTTTCTCACCATGATTCTCGTGCTACGTCTTTCATTTTGGTATTGTGTTCGCAATTAAAATCCCTGCAGATGTATATGCACATAATGTCCAAAAGCCTTGCGAGACTCCCCACAGCAAAGCCTAAAGTCGGAAAAGTTACCCGTGAGTGCACAAAATCAGAAAAATGTGCATGCTCGTTTCAGTTTTCTCACCTTAATGCTCATGCTACGTCGCTCGTTTTGGTATCATTGTGTTCGCAATTAAATTCCCTACAGGTGTATTGGAATATAATGTACAAAAGCCTGGCGTGCCACCCCGCAGGAAAGCCTAAAGTTACTTGTAAACAAGCGCCAATTTGTATGCTGCAACCTAATGTGTATACTCGTTCAGTTTGATAACATCAATTTTCGTGTTATGTCTTTCATTTTGGTATCAAATTGTTCGCAATAAAAAGGCGCGTATTTTAAAACTAGTCCCATAATAATAGAGCAATAACTGGAATTTTAACAAATATTTTAATTCTGGAAGATCATCATCACAAATTATTTATATCTTTCCAGTGTTCTGACAAATTGTTGTGTTACATCTTTCATTTTGGTATCAAATTGTTCGCAACGTAAAGGTGCGCATTTTAAAACTAGTCCCAACATAATAGCACAATAAATAGAATTTTAAATATTTTAAAATTTTGACCAAAAACCTATTTATAATCATATAAGTGTTCGGACATCAAGTTTCAGGTTACATCTTTCATTTTGGTATCAAATTGTATGCATTCTATAGGCGCTTAATTTGAAACTATCCCGAGGTCAATCGGATAAAAAATGAATTTTATATAAATATTTTTGTAGTGGACGCGAGTCCTGTCCAAGGTTAGGACTCTGGAGAAAAAAATGGACATGATACGTGTCCAAAGTGAGCAATAGTGTTAACATTGTTTATGCAATGTTTAAAGCTACAGAGTTTTGTTTTGTCTAGAGTAACTGTTAACTAGCAGTTTGATCTTAAGAGTAAGCACATCCACACATGCGAGTTTATATAGAGTACTACTACCAGGAAAATTTGCTGTACAGTATATCTAAATAATAATGTTTACTATGCTAATATAAGGCAATTTGTAGCAGCAACAAATGAGTAAAAACTTGGTCAGCTGATCTTCAGTCAGATGGTCAAGGTTAGCTTATCAAAATTTTCTTAAGACTTAGATTACAACACAGAAAGACCCTTTGTAATTCAATACGCCCTAATTATCCTCAATGTTTGTTTTTTTTATCTCTGTATTATGTTTGTTTTTTATCTCTGTATTTAATGCTTCTTTTGCTTGTTTTGTTTATTGCTTGTGAATGCTCCCTGCAAGTATCATATTCAGTTGATGTGCTGCATTTTTCTTGCATATAAATAGTTGTGAGAAATTAAGTTCCTAACTTCACTTTATAGAATGAATTAACAGTTCTAGTCATCATCATTGACCTTTGTATAAACTAAAAAAAAAGATAATGGATGCTTTTCTGGTTCCAAAATGCTGTAAGATTGCTAGATAGGTTATCTTATCATTACTTATCTCACCCAGCATGATAACATGACAACAGGTTACATGTGGGGCAACCTGAACATGTCTTCAGAATATCCAATAACTAAATAAATGCAAAATGCAGCTTTTAAATTTACAAAAAAAAAAAAAAAAAAAAAATAAGTAACAAAGTGCAGTAGTCTCACTTGAATGAACAATTAGTTTCAAAGCACTTATACAGCAAAAAAAAAAAAAAATTAAACTGCATTCATTCTACATTATCACTTTTCAGTATTTTATGCCAAAATTATGCTTTTATGTGTACAGTATAGTACTGTACACACAAATCATGTTTTTCAATATACAACATTTTAATACCAACATTTAGAAAATATAAATTTTCATTATATAAAAGATTATTGTTAAATATGTAAAGCTTTTTAAACCCACAATCACAATTTTGCTGTCGATCACAATGATTACACGAGTGAAAACTAAATTTTTCTGCCTTCAGTATAATGGGCTCAATTCAAGTAAAACTCTGCTGTATATGTAAGAAAAAGAAGGATGAAGGAATACAGTAAGAAGAAAAATCAATCTGAAATCAATTAATTGCTTTAGCATGTTATGTGTTCCAATTGTTTAATGCATATATTAACTTACTCGTATCAAATGTTTGCTCTACAATGGTGTATCCTACGGGCCTTGCATCTCGATCATTGACAATAGCCAGGTGCTCCACAACATACCCCATGTAGCCTTCAGTCTTGCTGTGACACAAGTAACGAGTCACCCTCCGGAAAAATCCATCTTTATAAAGATCTGCATCTATATCTTGGTCATGGGTTTTGGATACCTGAAAATTATAAAATTTTATTAATAAAAATTAAAATAGTACTGTACTAAGAACATATTACAGTATACTGTATTTAACAAATATATCAAGTGATAAAAATTACAAGACATTTCACCAATGCAGATGAAGTCACAATAACGTGGCTGAAAAATGTTGACCAAACCACACACAAGAGATTTAAGAGATGACGACGTTTCGGTCCGTCCTGGACAATTATCAAGTCGATTGTGTGACGATTATCAAGTCGCACACAATCAACTGGATAATGGTCCAGGATGGACCGAAACGTCATTGTCTCTTCAATTTCTAGTGTGGTTTGGTCAACATTTCATCAATTATAGTATTTATTCACGTAAATAATAGTCATAAACGAGTGAGAATCATGAATCTAACAATGACTGCTAATAAATAAAAAAATCTAGTAAATAATTCTTATTATTTTTTACACAGATTACATTACTTAGATTAGAAGGTAAATGTGATAGTTGACAGCTGTTAAACGTAAGTCACAGACAGAACTATTACAACAGGGAAAGAAAAAGTAGTTACCCTAGTCTCTCTGTTGGTAACCCACAGAACCATTACTGTGGTTGAAAAACAAAAGGTTACCCTTTGTCTTCACTGACAGTTCTTTTTATTGATTACACTCAAAATCCGTTGAATAGCTCACACATTCTTGCTCATAAGTGCAAACAAATAGTTGCTATTTCAGTTTTAATGCACGTTAAACTTTTCTGAAGGCATCGTGAAATTTCATGGGATAATTATTTTCATGTGGTCATAGTGCTGCCATCTGGTAGATGTCAGGGGAAGGGGCCTTTTGGGCCTACTGGTAGGTACAGAAAGAGCTGTTTGGCATTCACTGTGATATCAAGTAGCACTTGATATTAAGTTTATTTAAATACCCTTCTAGGGGCCATTACTGGCTGGAATGAGTATTCACTATCCCCGAAGCACCAGTGTGATTCAGCAGGAATAATTTAAAAGATGTCAATTGTGCTGGCGCAGAATCTTAACTAGCCCTGACTATGCATGATCCTATCTTTGGGACCAGTAGGATCTTGCCTTAAGAAAGTAATCAAGTGGGATCATTCAGAGTATCCACGAAAGATTATACAATAGCAAATACACTTTCTACAGCATGGAAAATAAATGTGGCCAGTAAAACATGCCAAAATACAATACACTATAATTATAATGAAAATATCAAAACTTGTCAAGTTGTTAACATACTGGTGTGTAGTTTGGAGGACATCCAGACAGCTCCTCCACAACGCACACAGACATAATCGGTCGGTCATCTGGTAGTGGTAGAGCATTGTACAAGTCCCGCATCATTCAACCACCAATCTGGTAATGTATAGATAATGCTGTCAGAATATATCACTGTTAAAGTTATAAGCAGCTTGCACTGAAAATTAATTAACAATTGCATTAAACTGACCACTAATTTAAAAGAATACAGTACCCTAAACTGACACAAATTTAAATATTCTAATATCTTAACACACCTTTGTTCTTTATGAACTGTTGTAGCACATTCTTTCCTCCGCTCACTATTGCAAACAACAACCTTAAAAAAAGCACAACACTGGAGAGTTATTTTAGCACTTGCTAAACATTAACAGTGTTAACAATGGCAAGTAATCGTTGCCGCCCCTTATCAACAACAACAAGTCACAAGAATGTTACAAGAATGTAACAACTCTTGTATATATCTCAAAAAAACAACAACAACAACAATGGCAAGCATTGTCACATTTGAAATAGCCTAGAAAACGAGATCACAGCTGGCGATACTGTACAGTACAGTATTTGTAAATGCTATTACAAAAAATTATAGTATGTAGCTATGATTTGTATATACAAAACAGTACTGTACAATACAATAATTTATAGACTCTAAAGGACAAAAGAACAAACAATACAGTACATAACATTAGCAGCATATGCTAAGCTGGCAAATATATAAAAAGTGTACAATAATAGGAACCTCAACAAAGAGTATTTGAGCTCCAGTATGGAATGAGTAGGATCTATAAATGGCCAAAAGTTATTTAATACCACATCAAAATTGCTCTATAAATGACCTTATTATATTCTAACCTAACAAAAATAATCAGATAAATTGTACTGTACAGAATTTCATATACAGTACTGTATTTTGTTGATAAGCTGTGTGACATCACTGTAATGTCATAGTTTTAACTACATGGGCCATTTCATATATTACTGTATGGAACCCACACTATGTGGATCACAAAGAATATAAAGTTAAAAATCCAGAGAATTACATCAAGCATGGTACCAGAAATGGTGAACTAAGTAATTTAACTGGTTAAAAAAATTCATAAATATAACAATGATGGAGCACAGATAGAAACAGGAAATACAAATTAGGCACAGTACACACCTCTTGAGTACAAGTGGTTAACATATGCAATAAACTGGAGGCTACCATCTACACCAACTCAATCCACAGATTAAAAAGGAGATCTGCAAACCATTATAGGTAAAAGCATTATACAGTACTATACCCAACTGATTCCTCCTCTTAAATCTACTCTTATTATAATTATAATACAATAATTAGAAGTACTCTATTGTAATAAATTATAACAACCTTCTTCCGCCACAACACAGTCTTCTGTACAGTACAGGAAACTGTCTTGAGTGTATTCACCTATATGTTTGCTCAGAAACTTCACTGCTGTTATTAAAAATTATATGTAAATGTAACAGTAAGGATAATTTCATAAATAACAATACTATACTATACAGTACAAGCAAACAATGACATCATTCCTTACCTCTACTGTACTTATTATTATTTGTTTTTGCAATTGCCTGCTTGGTGTCCTATGTAAGGAAACCCGGCTGGTGAACCCTTGTGTGACCCTTCTGCCACTCCCACACCAGAAGACCTTCTGCCAGCCCACAGGACGGGCGCCGTGCATAATAAATGAACTAAACTTTTGTTGTCTCAGGAAGCAGCAGCAGCAGCGGCCTGACACAAGGGTGAGGAATTTCCTGCTGGTGGCGAGGCTGCTACTCTCGCCACAAAGACCAGACCCAGCGTGACCAGGCAGGCCCGAGAGGTCCCGGACCTGCCTCCCAACCTCGCCTTCCCCAACATTAAACAATTGAGGAAATGATTTAAAAACTGTCCCGCGGACCTGTCCTGAATCGACTGCCTCGCCTCCCTGAGAACTGATCATTTCCTCCTTGTGGAGGTGCCTGGCCTCGCCCTGGGTGGGGGGCGAGGGCCGCCACAGCCTGGCGAGGAGGAGGAGAGTAAGGGAGAGGAACAACAGTAGTGTATACCTGTGTAATACTGCAGGAAGGAGCAGGAGGACGGGGTGGTGAGCCGAGCACAGCAACCAGCGCTCCCACACTGATCACCCGCCGCTACCCCCACACCTCACCTCCAACACTGTCCCCGCTACCCCCACACCTCACCTCCAACACTGTCCCCGCTACTCCCACACCTCACCTCCAACACTGTCCCCGCTACCCCCACACCTCACCTCCAACACTGTCCCCGCTACCCCCACACCTCGCCTTTAACACTGTCCCCGCTACCCCCACACCTCACCTCCAACACTGTCTCCGCTACCCCCACACCTCACCTCCAACACTGTCCCCGCTACCCCCACACCTCACCTCCAACACTGTCCCCGCTACCCCCACACCTCACCTCCAACACTGTCCCCGCTACCCCCACACCTCACCTCCAACACTGTCCCCGCTACCCAACACCTCACCTCCAACACTGTCCCCGCTACTCCCACACCTCACCTCCAACACTGTCCCCGCTACCCCATACCTCACCTCCAACACTGTCCCCACTACCCCCACACCTCACCTCCAACACTGTCCCCGCTACCCCACACCTCACTTCCAACACTGTCCCTGCTACTCCCACACCTCACCTCCAACACTGTCCCCGCTACTCCCACACCTCACCTCCAACACTGACCCCGCTACCCCCACACATCACCTCCAACACTGTCCCCGCTACCCCACACCTCACCTCCAACACTGTCCCCGCTACCCCCACACCTCACCTCCAACACTGTCCCCGCTACCCCTACACCTCACCTCCAACACTGTCCCCGCTACCCCCACACCTCACCTCCAACACTGTCCCCGCTACCCCCCCCACACCTCACCTCCAACACTGTCCCCGCTACCCCCCCCCACACCTCACCTCCAACACTGTCCCCGCTACCCCCCCCACACCTCACCTCCAACACTGTCTCCGCTACCCCCACACCTCACCTCCAAGAATGTCCCCGCTACCACCACACCTCACCTCCAACACTGTCCCCGCTACCCCTACACCTCACCTCCAACACTGACCCCGCTACCCCCCCCCACACCTCACCTCCAACACTGTCCCCGCTATCCCCCCCACACCTCACCTCCAACACTGTCCCCGCTACCCCCCCACAACTCACCTCCAACACTGTCCCCGCTACCCCCCCCCCACAACTCACCTCCAACACTGTCCCCGCTACCCCCCCCACAACTCACCTCCAACACTGTCCCCGCTACCCCCCCCACAACTCACCTCCAACACTGTCCCCGCTACCCCCCCCCCACAACTCACCTCCAACACTGTCCCCGCTATCCCCCCCACAACTCACCTCCAACACTGTCCCCGCTACCCCCATACCTCACCTCCAACACTGTCCCCGCTACCCCCACACCTCACCTCCAACACTGTCCCCGCTACCCCACACACCTCATCTCCAACACTGTCCCCGCTACCCCACACACCTCATCTCCAACACTGTCCCCGCTACCCCCATACCTCATCTCCAACACTGTCCCCGCTACCCCCACACCTCACCTCCAGCTCTTATCAGCAGCAATCCACTATCATTTCTTTACCTTCATGAATATTTTGCAAATTTGAATATCATTTGCAGCCTTGATCACCAGGTGATCTGATATGATATGACAAATACTGTAGGCATTTGGGTACTCAGCTTCCACCTGTGTTCCCTTGTTCGTGTACCACCCGTGTTAAATAATCCATCCTTATCTACCCTGTCAATTCCCCTGAGAATTTTGTATATGGTGATCATATCTCCACTTGCTCTTCTGTCTTCCAGTGACGTGAGGTGCAGTTCCCTCAGCCTTTCCTTGTAACTCATGCCTCTTAGTTCTGGGACTAGCAGGGAGCAATGTCCCTGCTTCCACACGCAGGGACTAAAAGCCCAACCATTTAATAATTATATGCCTGCTAAAAGTTGAAGAATTTCGCTGTTAATGGAATTATATTGTCGTTTTAATATTGACCATTAGATTTTATGCGGGACGTACACATTTTGTGTCCGAAATGGTAGAAAATATTGTACGATACGCCTTTTGTGGCAACTGATAATTATCACAACAACAACAACAGCTGACAGGTGCCTCTCCAGTACCACTGGGTGACGTGCCTCTCCAGTGCCACCGGGTGACGTGCATCTCCAGTGCCACCGGGTGACGTGCCTCTCCAGTGCCACCGGGTGACGTGTCTCTCCAGTGCCACCGGGTGACGTGCCTCTCCAGTGCCACCGGGTGACGTGCCTCTCCAGTGCCACCGGGTGACGTGCCTCTCCAGTGCCACCGGGTGACGTGCCTCTCCAGTGCCACCGGGTGACGTGCCTCTCCAGTGCCACCGGGTGATGTGCAACTGCAGTACCGTCAAATGAACGGGGAAATACAGCTGTATCCCCATCAATTGCTCCAATGTTTAACGATTCTTCGCGGCAGGGGATCGTATTCCAGGGACCATAGGATTAAGGACTTGCCCGAAACGCTACGCGTACTAGTGGCTGTACAAGAATGTGATAACTCTTGTATATATCTCAAAAAAAAAAAAAAAAATGTGGACTCCAGTACAGCCGAGTTCATATAGTCTAATGTCATTATAGCCTCAAAAACAACAACTCGCTGCAAACCTGCCGGTCAACACCTAACATGATGGACCAGATTTATGAAGAACTTGAGGCCATTGAAGCCATATTCTGCAGGGAAAATGAGTTTTCTCTACACTCAAAGGGTAGGAGGCTACAGTAATTATGTTCATATAATTGACACGATTAGTGAGGGAAAGATTCTTTTATTTGCTGATAACTTTATACAGTATAATTTTTATGGGCATTTCAAACCTCTTTTTGTGGAAGCTAATAAATATTATTATTATTATTAATTATGAATCCTCTCATAGTTTGGGAAAGATCATATCGGTTGATGCTCAGCAATTTATGTGGACAGATGTCATATCTATTTTGGGCAATGAACTTTATTAGGCTTCAGCCTTTCTGGCTCTGTATCTAAACTGTGCTTTTCTGCGGCTCTGTCTGGATCAGCCAGGAGATGCTCTTTGATGGTTAGGTGTTATTATGTCTGGCTATTAGATATGACATATATATATGTTATACCTAATAGCTAGAAAACACTACTTGGCCTAGTGTGCAAGGCCCAATTTGCCTAACAGGTAAAATATTTGTTATTTTTAAATATTTCTATAAATTGGTTGATTTCAAATAATATTATCATATTACATTAAGAACACAAATATGTATGTGTGTATGGATGATTTCTTCTAGATGGATTTAAAAATTTTAACAGAGTTTTGGCATTTATGACTTCGGTGAGTTGGCGGGTCCCTGGATTTACAATCCTCTGGGTGAAAAAGCATCTATTTTCAGTCCTGCATTGTGGCTTGTTGAGCTTGAAACTGTTGCTCCTTGTTTGTTATATCTTAAGCAGTCCCTGTGGCGAAGTGGTAAAACACACTCGCCTGGCGTTTTGTGAGCGCTTTGGCCTAGGTTCATATCCTGGCCAGGGAGGATTGACTGGGAGCCAATCTATAACTGTAGCCTCTGTTCACCCAGCGGTTAATGGGTACCTAGTTGTTAAAACGATTTGGCGGGTCATATTCAGGGGGAAATTAGGATTAAGGACTTGCCTGAAATGCTATGCGTGCTAGTGGCTGTACAAGAATGTAAGAATTCTTGTACAGTATATATATAAATAAAATACACAAAAAAATAAAAACATTATTTTTATTACATACATACACAATGATCACAAAAAACACTGATCCAAGTATGCAGAAAAACCACGTGTGAAAAATAGAAAATGCTAAACGTGTTTTCGGCTCAATTGGAGTTTATCAGAGCAAAATATTCATGTAGGTAAAGAAATGATAGTGAATTGCTGCTGATAATTATTAATTAGTGGATTGCTGCTGATAACTATTAATGATAGTGGATTGCTGCTGATAAAGTCTAAACGGAGTAGATCATTTTAGCAGATGATACCCCCCCTCATATGGTATACTGTACATTAATTAATCGGTATTTGCCATAGATATCTCTTCTGTAGAATTTGCGGTTACAACAAGCCCGATAGCCAGTCCAGACTTGGAGATAACTGTAGTGTTTAACTTGTCTGCAAACTCTTATCCCAATGAACCTCCGTCAGTGTCTGTACAGGTAAGGCCTTTACGGTAATACTGAAATGTTATGGTAGTTTTTTAAGTAAGAAATTAGCACATTCCATTTTATTAGTTTTTTTGTGTTAGCAAACATTAAACATTGACATTTTACATTTCTTGTACAGGCTATTTAAAAAAATATTTTAATTATTTTCAATTTATCTTTGTCCCATAATAGGGATTCCTTATAATTTTAACACTTTTGTTCTTTCTTCCAAAAAACTTCCATTCACTAGCTTTGGAATAAGTGCCTTATTATATTAGCTTGAACTTTAAATATTTAAATATGAAAAAAGTGTCATTGAAAAGTGTCATGAAAATTGAGCAATATAACTTCTTTTGTTTCTTTATGATATGTCAAAGAAAGCATTATCATTTTGACACTTTCAGGTTGATTTATTTGAATACAGAAATATAGAAACCCCTCTGAATGTAATGCATTAATAAGAAAATCATTTGCATGTTGCATTATATTAACATGTATATTTTTTGTTCTGATGGTTACTTATTAAATGTAATCACTTCCAGTGCTCCTCGTTGACACGCGTGGAGTGCGACAGCGTGAAAACCTTTTTGAAAAATATTGCGGAGTCATGCTGTGGAGCACCAATGATTCTGAACCTTCTCACAGCTTTACAAGAAAACGAAGACATTAGAGGAACACCTCGGAATACACCTACATTAGAAAACGACACAAGTAAAGGTGTTGTAGTCTTGTGTGTAAACTCATGATTATTTATATAATGATTTTATACATTAATTTCCCTTAAAATTAAATTAATGTGGGATGTGATCCAGGAAAATTGCAAACGAATCAATATTGCACAAAATAAATTTAAATTGCAAAATTGGAATGGACTCCACATAACTGTTGTGTCCCCCATACATTTCACAAAACCTTTTCATAAGTTCTCTTGCCACTTTAATCTACCAACACATACTTGCTAAAGATTTTAAACTAATATACCCACCAGTGTTGATGATGGTCATTGTACTGTACTTACTAGTGATGGTGCTGGGGTCATTGTACTCACCAATGTGGATGATGGGATCATTGTACTACCAGTGTTGATGAGAGGGTCTTTGTAATTACCTAAGTGTAGTTACAGGATGAGAACTACGCTCGTGGTGTCCCGTCTTCCCAGCACTCTTTGTCATATAACGTTTTGAAATTACTGACGGTTTTGGCCTCCACCCCCTTCTCACCTAACTTGTTCCAACCATCTACCACTGTGTTTGCGAAAGTGAATTTTCTTATATTTCTTCAGCAGCTTTGTTTAGTTAGTTTATATCTATGACCTCTTGTTCTTGAAGTTCTAGGTCTCGGGAATTCTTCCCTATCAATTTTATCGATTTATGTTACTATTTTGTACGTAGTGATCATATCGCATCTTTTTCTTTGATCTTCTAGTTTAGGCATATTTAATGTCTCTAACCTCTTCTGTACAGTACTACCAATGTACTTACTAATACAATGTACAGTACAATACATTGTACAGTACTACCAATGCTGATGATACTGTAGTGTCATTATACAAGTACAGTAGTATGATTGTGGTGTTCCATAGGGGTCCTTTGGTTTTGGGTCTTGGTTCCTTCTGCCCAGGGTTCATATCTTTCTTTGTCTGGGTACTGCAGTTTGCCATTCTTTGTGTGCCCTGGGTGTCGCTTTGTCTGTCAACCCAGTATTTTTGGTTCCTTGTTCCTGGGGCTCAGTTTCTGCTGGGTAGTACAGCTTGGTGGGTTTTGTGTTGCTTCTGATATTATTTTCTTGGTCTGAGTGATCTTGTATCTTAAGTTTCCTGTGCCTTTATAGAGGCACCAGGTTTTGACCTCTGGTCCCCTGTAGACTCATAATGACTCGCAACGGACTGGTGTCACTCAAATTGTGCCAGACCTATCCAGGTGGATAGCAACATGAAGCCACCGAGGACCCATCAGAGAAGAGGCATTTCATTACATTCAATGGTGGTTTTTCATCCATTATAAGTATGGAATATAAAGAATCTAAGCTGGAAAGCTTGGTCCCCAGGTTTGATATTCTTGTTTTATTCAGTTAGGAATACTGTATAGTAACAATGTTATTTCATGTACATATTGTTTCTACTGTTTCTTCAGTTAGTGAAAGGCTATTTTTAATATTTGTTAGAAAACATTAATGGTAAATGTAAGTTATTAGTACTGTATTTGGTTTCATTTGAATCAAATTGTGAACCACACAAGTGTACTTGCAGGACCTATAACATGTGTACTGCACCTAGACCACATGCGGAATAAAACAAGATACCTTAAAACAATAAAAAGCTGGTGTGAAGAGTTGGACCTATTCGGACGGATAATATTCTGTGTGCATTGGATATTTATTATTTTACAAGGGAATGAGGAAAATATGAAGGTATGTATTCTAATGTCAGTTAATCCTACTTGATATGAATGGTTGTGAAGCTCCAGTTTTTGTGGGGCACAGATTAGTCAAAATACAGTACAGCAGTACAGATAAATAATGTTATTTAGTACAGTACTGTACATGTACTGAATTTTTTATATTATGGAAATAGAATAAGCTAGAAAAAATGTAAATGTAGTGTTTGTATTACATTTTAAATAGTTATCACTTACCAGTTCAGATCATATGGGATGAGCCCCCCATTCAAATTATACAAAGAGTTGTGGTACCTGATATTTTTATGGTGCATATAATTTAATTTTTATTTCCACAAACAGTGCTCTATATTAATAACAGAATTACATTAATATGGCAGCTTTACATAGAAATATAGTAATTAAAACTGAACTAAGAGATTTGATTTGATGTAATCTTTATTTATATTTCTTGATCTGGCAAGGAAATTAAAAATCGATGAAATAAATGGTAAAGTACTAGAATGGATAAATCAATAGTTAAAACCATTTAGGATGACCCTTTGTTAAAGCAAAGGGTCATCCTAAATAGAAATGAATCTGACTGGGAAAATGTGGCAAGTGGAGTACATAAAGGTTCCATTGTGGGACCAACCCTTTGTGTCATATGCTGTACATCACTGATAGATAAGAATATTACAAACATCATCATCATCAGAATTTTAGATGACAAAGAAAATAAGTAGGAAACAAAAATTATATTGAGACCTTACAAATCTACTTGAACCTCACAAATGGTTGGGAGATTGGCAAATGCCTTTTAATATTGAAAAATGCAAAACTTTGCATGTAGTGTAATACATAAGAATGCACATTGCAACTATCAAATCAACAACACTACAATACAGGAAATTGATGAAAAAGACCTAAGAGATCTAGGATCCACCAGCCATTGAAAGTTTCACAAGTGGGAAGGGCAACTATCAGGAGAAAGCACCAAGCCATTATGACTATATAGCACTTGGGGGGATCAGGATAAGGATTTTGGGATGGGACAGAGGGGAAGGAATGGTGCCCAACCACCTGGATGGTCGGGGATTGAATGATGATCTGCATGAAGGGAGACTTTCACTCTACCATCTAGCCCAAGTGGTTGGGAGGCGCAGTATAAAAAAAAAAAAAAAACACCACCAAACCTTAGGAATAGTCAAACAAATCTTAAGACTTCAAAGACAAATGTGGTTATTCAACTGCACAAGCATCTGATGTTCCTCCATTTGGACTATTGTATTTAACCATGAGCACCTCGTCTTCAAAAGAATATGTCTGCTCTGGAGAAAATTTAACAATGGGCGACAAAAAACATCCCTTAACTAAATTTTTTGAGAGATATATACAAGAGTTGTTACATTCTTGTACAGCCACTAGTACGCGTTGCGTTTCGGGCAGGTCCCTGGAATACGATCCCCTGCCGCGAAGAATTGTTTTTTCATCCAAGTACACATTTTACTGTTGCGTTAAACAGAGGCTACAGTTAAGGAATTGCGCCCAGTAAATCCTCCCCGGCCAAGATACGAACCCATGACATAGCGCTCGCGGAACGCCAGGTGAGTGTCTTACCACTACACCACGGAGACTGTTAAGACACTCATACCAAGAATGAGGTGCCACATGACTATAAAATTACAAACCAGATACTGTATAAGAGGGTTGATCTAATTGAGACTTTTAAAATACTAAACAAGTTTAAGATATTAATCCAGACCACTTCTTTAAATGAAGTGGTCATTTAAAATGGTCACAGATGCAACACTTACAAGAGGCAACAGCAACAAGTTAAGCTCAACAAGTTACCCTAGGACAGAAAACAAGAGATGCTTTTTCACTCAGTGTTATAAACCCATGGAATCACCTGCCTGCTATACTGTAGTTGTAAATGCCAAGATTTTAAATGATTCAGTTCAAAATCCAGTTGGAAAAATTCCTCTGGAACAATGGGGAACCTATGACAAATCACTGGTTTCCTTTCCCTGTCGAGGCCACTAGAGAGATGGCGACCCCTCGGGTAAATAATGAATGATTTTTGTAATTTTCCAAGAAAATCCACACTGGGTGGATGATCGCTGAAAAAATTCTGCAGTGGAAGAGTGAAGTGCATTTAATGGACATAAATTATAAAAATTTAACAATAGTACTAGTTAAAGAGAAAGAAGAGTTCTGGTACAGCATGTTGCATTTTCCTCATATGTATAGCATTGTTTTCTTAATACAATAGTTTTAGTACCACTGTTAATTCATGAGCTAATTGTTCCATTCCCTGTTGAAAGGGCTGAAAGAAGTTTACAAAACACTCCTTGCCCCAAATTTCAACAAATCTAGTTACAATATCCTCAACCAAAATTTAATGTGGGCTTACTATTTCTGTCAGATATATCTCCAGAGGAACAGAACTCAGTGCGTGGATGTTGACTCATCGGGCAAACCATGTAAAGAACGGTTGTTGTCTGTGCTTTACCAAGGTTGTCATCACAAGAAGTTCATGGATTTTGAAGTATGCCAGGTAGAAAATATTGCCGAATTAAGAAGTTGGATGGCAAATTGTAGCTCATTAGATTTATTTAAAGATGTCATAGCACCAGTCATCTCTAAACGATAAATTATTTTATTGTATTGAGAGCACTGGAACTATAATTAACATAACATCATTAAAGGAGAATGTAACAAAACAAGTTAATTTAGCAAATTTAATGTATTCAGAGCAGCTTTAGTCTGTAACAGTGCACATCTCCATGTCTCTTACTCGTTAAAAAAAGTGTTGTTGTCTAGAAATTACAAAGGGTGTGTGTCTGAATGTATGATTTATTGTTTCATTTACAACATAAACTTGCCAATGATCTGTTTCTCTGCCAACAGTGCATCTACCAATCTTTTAATGACTGGTAGTCTCTTACTTTAGTTTCAAATGTTATTGATGTATTTTCTGAATTGTGAAATGTGCTTCCCCATTTTAACCTCTATTGTTGGAGTCAAAATTATTCTATAGGACAATCATTGAATGCTGTGATATTAAATCTGACATAAAAGATAAGTTCAAGAATTGCAGTTGTATATTTGTTTCAGAGTGCTGCTAATAATATAGTTTGATGCAAATTGTGAAAAGATTTCACAGTTGCTGTATGTTAAAATGTCGAGTGCTGAGATTAAAGTACTGGTGTGTTATGATTGTTGCCAAACTAGGGAGGTACCCCTTCCTACTTGGCCCAACCATATTTCAATATTGTGCTCAGATTTTTAATACCTGATATTATAAATAAATAAATAAACAAATAAATTTTTATTCAGGTAAGGTACATACATACAAGGTAAGATACAAAGTTGATGGATTTATAGATAGAGCTAGTACATACAATGCCTAAAGCCACTATTACACAAAGCGTTTCAGGCAGATTTCAGATATTCTTGATACATATTATAATGCATTAAATTTGCATGACAAAATCAACAATATTTTGTATAGGAAAGAGCGTCCTTGTTTTGGACAGCAGGATGATCTTGGCAGGCTTCTTCTGCCATAAATATTCATCCTACAACCAACAGATGGCTGCATAGTGTGTGGTGTTGTGATAACATTTTGGTGTATGTTGTTTGTTTGAATCTAGCTCTTCAAAAGTATATTGTATGGGAGGGTTTCCTAGATACACCAGGCCTCCGCTCTAAGAGTGCCTATCAGAGACAAGACTGATCTGCGCAAAGAGACAAAAAGGAGCCCCGAGGATCAAAGATAACCACAGAAACCACAAAAACCCACCGTAGAGCGAAGATGCTCCAAACAAACAACTTCTTTGACAAATTGTAACCCCAATGAAAATAATGGAAACAACTTTTACAGTGGGGAAATTCCTGCCATAACATACCTACCTGCTAACATACCTGCTTGATGGGGTTCTGGGAGTTCTTCTACTCCCCAAGCCCGGCCCGAGGCCAGACTTGACTTGTGAGAGTTTGGTCCACCAGGCTGTTGCTTGGAGCGGCCCTCAGGCCCACATACCCACCACAGTCCGGCTGGTCCGGCACTCCGGCACTCCTTGAAGAAAACAATCTAGTTTCCTCTTGAAGATGTCCACGGTTGTTCCGGCAATATTTCTGATGCTCGCTGGGAGGACGTTGAACAACCGCGGACCCCTGATGTTCATACAGTGTTCTCTGATTGTGCTTATGGCACCTCTGTTCTTCACTGGTTCTATTCTGCATTTTCTTCCATGTCGTTCACTCCAGTACGTTGTTATTTTACTGTGGAGATTTGGGACCTGTCCCTCCAGTATTTTCCATGTGTATATTATTTGGTATCTCTCGTCTCCTTTCTAGTGAGTACATTTGGAGAGCTTTTAGACGATCCTAATAATTTAGGTGCTTTATCTCGTCTATGCGTGCCGTATATGTTCTCTGTATTCCCTCTATTTCAGCAATCTCTCCTGCTCTGAAGGGGGAAGTGAGTACTGAGCAGTACTCAAGACGGGACAACACAAGTGATTTGAAGAGTACAACCATTGTGATGGGATCCCTGGACTTGAAGGTTCTCGTAACCCATCCTATCATTTTTCTGGCTGACGCAATACTTGCTTGGCTATGCTCCCTAAACGTTAGGTCGTCGGACATCATTATTCCCGAATCCTTGACATGCTGTTTTCCTACTATGGGCAGATTCGATTGTGTTTTGTACCCTGTATTATGTTTCAGATCCTTATTTTTGCCGTATCTGAGTACCTGGAATGTATCACCGTTAAACATCATGTTATTTTCTGCTGCCCAGTCGAAAACTTTGTTAATGTCTGTTTGTAGTTTTTCAATGTCTTCAGCAGAGGTAATTTTTCATGCTGATTTTTGTATAATTTGCAAAGGATGACACGAAGCTGTGACTTGTGTTTTTGTCTATATCTGATATGAGAATAAGGAACAGCAGTGGTGCAAGGACTGTCCCTTGAGGTACAGAGCTTTTAACTGCGCTCGGACTTGATTTTACTTGATTGACTATTACTCTTTGTGTTCTGTTCGACAGGAAATTGAGTATCCTATTTTACCAGTTATACCAGAAATAACATAGGGCAGCTCAGGTGACCCAAGGTCTTGCTTAGCCAGCCGCATATTCATGACCTTGGTGTTGACCAGAGGAACGTCCCTCTTCTGGACTTGCAATCCACTCTTGACTTTAAGGTAATTATAATTTAGAATTATAATTATGATACCAGGGGTCCTGGTAGTACAGTCAGGTTCATTCTTGATTCACAATCAAGAATTCCAGGTTCGAATCCCAGGCATGACAAAAATGATTGGACATACTGTATTTCCTATCACCTTGTGCCCCTGTTCACCTAGCTGTAAGTACTTATCCAGGAGTTGGTCAGCTATTTATGGGGTTGCATTCTGAGAGGATCAGTAATTCAACCATGGGGGGGGGACTTCTATATAAGCCTAACGTATGTGTGTGTGTATATATAAATAAATATTAATGCACTGTACTGTATTTATGTGTGTGTGTGTGTGTGTATATATATATATATATATATATATATATATATATATATATATATATATATATATATATATATATATATATATATATATATATATATATATATGTTGTACCTAGTAGCCAGAACGCACTTCTGAGCCTACTATGCAAGGCCCGATTTGCTTAATAAGCCAAGTTTTCCTGAATTAATATATTTCCTCTATTTTTTTTCTTATGAAATGATAAAGCTACCCATTTCATTATGTATGATGTTAATTTTATTTTATTGGAGTTAAAATTAACGTAGATATATGACCGAACCTAACCAATCCTACCTAACCTAACCTAACCTATCTCTATTGGTTAGGTTAGGTTAGGTAGCCGAAAAAGGTAGGTTAGGTTAGGTTAGGTAGGTTAGGTTGTCGAAAAACAATTAATTCATGAAAACTTGGCTTATTAGGCAAATCAGGCCTTGAATAGTAGGCTGAGAAGTGCGTTCTGGCTACTAGGTACGACATATATATATATATATATATATATATATGTCGTACCTAGTAGCCAGAACGCACTTCTCAGCCTACTATGCAAGGCCCGATTTGCCTAATAAGCCAAGTTTTCCTGAATTAATATATTTTCTCTAATTTTTTTCTTATGAAATGATAAAGCTACCCATTTCATTATGTATGAAGTCAATTTTTTTTTTATTGGAGTTAAAATTAACGTAGATATATGACCGAACCTAACCAACCCTACCTAACCTAACCTAACCTATTTCTATATGTTAGGTTAGGTTAGGTAGCAGAAAAAGTTAGGTTAGGTTAGGTTAGGTAGGTTAGGTAGTCGAAAACACATTAATTCATGAAAACTTGGCTTATTAGGCAAATCGGGCCTTGCATAGTAGGCTGAGAAGTGCGTTCTGGCTACTAGGTACGACATATATATATATATATATATATATATATATATATATATATATATATGTTGTACCTAGTAGCCAGAACGTCGTACTCGGCCTACTATACAAGGCCCGATTTGCCTAATATGCCAAGTTTTCCTGAACTAATATATTTTCTATAATTTTTTTCTTATGAAATGATAAAGCTACCCATTTCATTATGTATGAGGTCAATTTTTTTTATTGGAGTTAAAATTAATGTAGATATATGACCGAACCTAACCAACCCTACCTAACCTAACCTAACCTATCTTTATAGGTAAGGTTAGGTTAGGTAGCCGAGAAAGTTAGGTTAGGTTAGGTTAGGTAGGTTAGGTAGTCGAAAAACAATTAATTCATGAAAACGTGGCTTATTAGGCAAATCGGGCCTTGCATAGTAGGCTGAGAAGTGCGTTCTGGCTACTAGGTACGACATATATATATATATATATATATATATACTGTATATATATATACTGTATATATATATATACTGTATATATATATATATATATATATATATATATATATATATATATATATATATATATATATATATATATATATATACAAACAAGCTTGAATGGTCCCCAAGCATATATGCAACTGAAAACTCCACACCCCAGAAGTGACTCAAACCTAGACTGCCAAGGGCACTATGCAACTGGCGTATCTGGTACCTTAACCACTTGACCAACCGTGACCGTACAAAAGACGATGGGAGCTGAGGCTCTTTCCCCCACCGTCCCGACGGCACTTGGTGGTGACCTTAGGCATAGTTATTTCATCAAATCACCTCATTTTGTGGGGCCATGTGAGCAACACAAATGCGAACAAGCTTGAATGGTCCCCAGGCATATATGCGTCTGAAAACTCCACACTCCAGAAGTGACTCGAACCCATACTGCCCAGAGCACTATGCAACTGGTGTACAGGAGACCTTAACCACTCGACCATCAGTGACCGTACAAAAGAGGATGGTAGTCGAGGCTATTTGCCCATCATCCCAACGGCACTTTGGGCAAATAGCCTCGGCTACTTGTTTCCTGGTACTGCCCTGCAGCAGGTTTTGCGGAGTCTTTGTCTCACGTCATTTTGGGCGGCTAGTCCTGGCTTCAGTACAGTACCTGGGACCTATCTGAATTTTTCAGCATCCTATTTGTGATATCCTATCCCATAATGCAGTCTTGCCTAATGTGCCACTGACTGAAGGGGGCTTAACATGAGTTAAGTGAGGACAGATATTAGACTCTGATGGAAACAATCCAATACCCAGCAGGCAGAATGGTAGAGACAGGTAGTGTCTATCCAGCACCAAGAGCACTCGGAGTCAAGCACTCGGGAAAGTTACATAAACTGGCTGCGGCTCAGAAGTAATTGCAGCTATGCCTGCTCTGAGAATGGGAAGGTACAGGAGGAAAACTACTGTACAGACCAGGCAAGGAAGTGATACACAGTACACACCCAAACACCAGACCTCGGAAAATGTGAAGTTAATGGTATCGTGCCACAGACCTCAACCAGGTGGTAATGTTGCACAGCAAAGTGTACCTCTGAAATGAGTCTTTGTGAGATTGGCTTGAGCTTGTGTGGAAACCCACTCTCTATCCCATGCATAGAAAAAGGACCTCAAGACATATATACTGTATTCACTA